AACAATTACTTTTGAATAAATTTTGAAATCACGAACCGTGTCACGAACCGCATACAAATTAGAAACGCAGTCTGCCGGTGAAATATAGAGGGAGCAAAAGTATATGGAACGGAAGAGCATCGAGTGTTGTTCTCGGGCGCCACCATTACGTAGCAGCGCCATCTGCAACAACTACTTTCGCATCAGCTGCATATACTCATCTGCATATTTCCCCCACCCGCGAGTACGCGACGTCTATAATGTTTCGTTATAATGGAAACCTGTTTGTTTCAGCGACGGGAATGTATTTTGGATATTTTTCTGCGTTGATCCTTTCCCCGAAATGCACACTCACGAGTTTGGAAAGAAATGTCTACGTCCAGGCCTACGAAGATCGACCTGTTCGCGAGAGTACGGCGATATCTCGATGATCCCGTGAACTAGAAAGTAATCAAACGGTCCAAGGGGGAAAAATCTAAACGCGCACGAAGCGAACCAGCACGCTACACGTTTCGCAATTATTCCAAGAGAAAATGTCAAAGACGGAAACACCTTTTAATGAACCAGCTTCGCGTTTTTCACTCGATCTTTCTCTACATATACAGGGTGTTCGGCCACCCCTGGGAAAAATTTTAACACGAGATTCTAGAGGCCAAAATAAGACGAAAATCAAGAATATCAATTTCTTGACTGAGGCTTCCATAAAAAGTTATTAATGATTAAATTAAAAAATTTCAAATCGTTCTAAAAAAATTATTTTCCGTTGCGGGGGTTAAGTATAATCATTTTTGGTCATTACACATACCCCCGAAATCCTACCCACTTTCGAGAAAAAAATTCCTTACCGAAAATCTAATTTGGCGCCAAAATTTTCCGACGAGAAAAAAAAGTTTCAAATCGTTCTGGAAAAATTATTTTCGGTTGCGGGGGTCGATTACAATCATTTTTGGTCATTATACATACCCCCGAAATCCTACCCACTTTCGAGAAAAAAATTCCTTACCGAAAATCTAATTTGGCGCCAAAATTTTCCGACGAGAAAAAAAAGTTTCAAATCGTTCTGGAAAAATTATTTTCGGTTGTGGGGATCGATAACAATCATTTTTGGTCATTACACATACCCCCGAAATCCTACCCACTTTGGAGAAAAAAATTCCTTACCGAAAATACTAATTAGGCGCCAAAATTCTTCTACATATGTATACCATCTTCGCTATTCCGATCTTAGCAAATACAATTTTACCAATCTCTGATCTGACTTCTTTTCAGTTGCATGATACATCCATTTATGGAAATGAACAATTAAGAACCAGCTACCATGCTGATGGATGGCGGGAAACAGTTTGAAGAAATCACAGTTGTACTTTTATAGAATTTATATACAAACACGTTACTCGTAAAGCTGTCGAAACCAGACTGAGCCCGAGATAGGTCGACCACGTGCATGGTACCTTTTCACGAAACCTAGATGGCAGAGTACGATGCCTATATCGTAGATGTCGCGATTGTCGCCACACCGGAATTTCCATGTTTCGATAATTTGTAACCCACCTACAAGGTAGCGATTTCCAACGGAAATCGAGGGAATTATTCTCGACCCATTTTCACCGTTCGCGAGTCGGAATTGCCTCATCGGCAAAGACCATTTTAAATCCAATTATCCGGGATAATTTTTTGCTCGCGGATCCGCAGAATATTTTACGGCCGATCGTAAACGACGATGGAAAAATCGGGTCGGTGTAGTAAAACTATTCGAACGGTCTCTACCCTGCTCGAAAGTACAACGAACGAAATTTCTCTGAGAACACACTGTTGCGTTCGATAGAAAAAAAAAAAGGGGGGGAAAAATGAAACGTCTCGATTATGCTATTATGAAACGAAACCGTTTATCGTCCGCTGTCTGTAGCGCGGTTTTCTCGTACCAGAAAGCACATTCTTGCTGCGCGTGCGCTCGAACCGCGACGGAGCTGTTCTTTTTCGCCTTTGTAAATTTCTAGCGGTCCCTAACGCGAATTAATTTGAACGGCTGCCGTGACTAATTATACAGGAAGTGCGAACCGAAACACGGAATATACGCGATACCGGAAGCATCGCGGTTTATACGTATACTGCGCCTCCGTTGTCCTTAACACTGTTTCCACTCCGGTTTTGCAAACAAAATTGAACGCTTATTAGTAAACAAACGGTTGTAAATCAATCAAACGCCTTTCTTTTTAATTCTGTTCGTAAAGAATAAAGAGACTTAAAAATTATATTTTTTATTAATAATTTCACATGGAATAATATTTTCTTTTAAACTATATGAAAATAATTTATTAGTCCATTCTATACCACCTTTTAATAAATAATAGTTAAGTCTTTTAATTTAACAATTTTTTCTACAGTGTTTTAATTTTCTATATTTTCTGTTTGAAATAGACTCGGTACCAGCGGAAACCAACCAGCATTTGTTGCGTTTTACACCACGCTGTACACCGACTTCCATTGTCGAACGGGATTAAAAGACTTGGCTACTATTTAATAAAAGATAATCAGAAATGGACTAGAAAAATATTTTTGTACAGTTTAAGGGTCCCTCTTCTTGTTCCTAAGAGTCTAGTACGATAGAACTTTAGATTCCTTGTAAACTAAAATTAAAAAGGACGCTTTAGCTTACTATTGTAAGAAGCCTAGTCTGTTTGAAACAATTGCTCCTTGGGGATAATGTAATTGAGAATAGATGGTCCCAGTGAACTTTTCTCAATATCGAATCGCCATTTTAGCTGCGTACGAGGAACGTTTTCTGGCACACGGAGCCATAGAATGGAGTTTGAATAATCGTTCTTGTAGTCTTTCGCGGCCCGAGCCGGTGAAATTTATTCCGCGGACCGCAAATTTCTGGCCGCGCATTGCGTAACCGGTGTGACATAGAAAGAGGAGAAAGGCGTGATTACGTTAACCGTAAATATAAATCGAAAGCATTTCCCCTGCGCGGTGGACAGCGGGATTAGGTCATCGGGATAACTCGACGAACAAAAATCACTTACGAAATCTTACTTTTTGGATGACTTAAAAAAGTTGGAGATTCCGTTGAAAAATAACGAAAAAATCTACCTGAAATAATTTCTTTCTCTATCTCTTTCTAAGCACTTATTGAACGACCCTAGTATGTCTTACTTTTGAACCCACAGAATCCTATTTCCTTAACACTTTAATGGCCGCACGTATCGCGTGAAGACCGTTGTGGCGTCGCCACCAGAGGGCTCGCGCTCTCACAAGCGCTCGACCAACCCCTCAGTTGCTATATATACTCGAACGACTTCTCAATATCCCAATCGTCTAAGGCAGGACCTGCTAGGAAGCTTTACTAATGAGTAAAGCACTAGCAGCCCCGGACAAAACGCGTCCCCTACTTTCCTTTTCTGTCCTCCTACGAATTTCCCGAGTTCCTAACCTGACCGCAGCGAAGCAGCGCCACGCCGTTGTCAACACACACTATTATTATAAGGAATTATAAATGCACCCTCGACAAACGTGATAAGTTGAATAATGTATGATGAAATGGTGACTGATACACGGTAGATCACGCACACGCCACACAGTGGCCGTCAAAATGTTTTAATGGCAGAATAGTTTATGAGCGAATGAATTGCATGTAATGCAAACCGTGTTAGCTAGGAAGAATCAATAAAATCCTGACGATCCTTCCTATCATCGGTTACAGGAGACAATTCGGTTACCAACGAAAATGACTTCACTCGACACAATTAGGCGACACGGGACTGTAAATTCGTTTCCTAACAATTCACACGTGTAGTGAATGGAGTTACGTGACACCAACGTGCCCGAATATTTTCAACGTTTGCTAGTTATTGTACGCCCCGAGCAGAAAGCGAGAGGAGACCGTGTTACTTTCCCGACGCTTGTTAAATCTATATAAACAAAAATTGCGGCTTTCTCTGTGATTCTTGCAATTTCAGACGCATTATACCAAACCGAATCTCAGATACTTTTATAGTATGTTCGTTTATCCGTCGTTGGTCTCGCGTCGCCATTACGCGCGTTGATCAATATTGATCGCATGAGTTTTCACCTGGGTAGTTAAAAGAGAAATGAACTCTAACTGCGAGACGTTAAGGGAAATGAATTGGAACTCGTTCATTTCTAAATAGCATCCAAATGTATAGACAAATATCGTTCGAGTAGGGAAATCCGATGAATTTTAGTTGGAGAAATCGGAGTTGCTCGAAGAAGAACGGTTTCCATGCTATTGACTCCGTCGATCACGCAATCTAATTTCGAACAATTACCGTTTGCGTAATCCATCGCACGATTAGGTACTTCTATCGAGAATATCGGGGGAAAAACTGATTTTAACTATTTAGAATAAAAAAATAAGACTTAAATATACAATAATTATAGAGGGTGTTCGGTTAACACTGAGAAAAATTTTAATGGTGGATTCTAGGGGCCAAAATAAGACGAAAATCAAGAATACCAATTTATTGATGGAGGCTTTGTTAAAAAGTTATTAACGTTTAAAGTTTCGACCATACTGAATTTTTTTCTCCAAAATGCGCAAGATTTCGGGGTTATGTTTATTCACCAAAAATGATTGTAATTTACCCCCCTACCTAAAAATAATTTTTTTAGAACGATTCCAAATTTTTTTTTTCGTCAAAAAATTTCACACCTCGAATTTTTTTCTCGAAAGTGGGTAGGATTTCGAGGGTATGTCTATTCACCAAAAATGATTATAATTTACCTCCTTAGCTAATAGTAATTTTTTTAGAACGATTTGAAATTTTTTTTTTCGCCGAAAAGTTTCACACCTTCTCGAATTTTTTTCTCGAAACTGGTTACGATTTCGAGGATATGTCTAATGACCAAAGATGATTGCAATTGACCCCCGCAACGGAAAATAATATTTTTAGAACGATTTGAAATTGTTGAATTTAATTGTTAATAACTTTTTAACGAAGCCTCGATCAACAAATTGTTATTCTTGATTTTCGTCTTATTGTGGCCTCTAGAATTCCCCGATTACAATTTTTCCCAGGGTTGGCCGAACACCCTGTACATATTCACAGCCGACACTTCGAAGCTTGTTTGTAAACAATTTTGTTTCGTCAAATATGGAAAATCAGAAGTTGCATTTACGCCATATTTTGCTTGCCCGTTACCAAAATGGTAAGAATGCTGTTTCAAGCGAGGATAAAATCAAAGAAAAACCGCTAGATTACACCTTTGGTGTTTACACGTGCCAACGCGATGCCGAGTTTCGTTACGTAAAATCCAGTTTAACGTTTTGTGGGGCAACGCGCGGCGGCCGGGGGTATCGCCTTTTCGAAAATGCTTTCATTACTGCCGGACAATTTATTCGCAAGAATGGAAGAAAGAGAAAGAAGCGTTTAAAACCGCTCGCGAGCGGCCGCTGGATGGGACGGGACGCCCGAAAACCGGTACCACTCCGCTCGCATTTCACCCTGGGCTTCTGGATATTAAATAATTATTATTTCGAAAGCGAGAGTGTAACTACGGCGCCAGCGTTGCCCCGTCGATGTTAGGCCGTGGTTAGTAACAAGAAACCATCAACAGTCCAGGCGAGATTAACGTGGTCCCTTCCAGGCTGTCGCAACGTTAGCCAAAAATAACATTTTCTGATTCTACGGATCGTCTGTGAAATTTAATTAAAATATTAGCAATCTCCACTGTTTAATATCGGATAATTATTATTTGCTACGCCGTATTACCTGGAATCAAACTCGAGTATTCGAGAACTTTTGTCATTCGAATGTCCTGTGTGATACAATTCGGATAACATTTTTATGAGTAATAACTAATGATTAGTGATCTATAAATTAGCTCATCTATGACGCAGGGGGATCTCTACGTAGACCATCACCAGTTAATAACGTCGTATGTTCAAGTATATCCATTATCGTAGGAATAGGAATCATCCGCGTCTTGGAAGTTACAAAAGTGTACATTTCATAGCTCGATGCTCTTCACGGTACAGGGTTTAACGATTCAAGGATGACTTGGTCAACATCTGGAATACAAAAGATCGAATTATTGCTGTTGCTAGCAAAAGAAACCGGACACAGTCGATGCATCCTATCCTATTCTATCTATTTACCAAGGCTATTTCTTTAAATGCATATGTTATAAAGCTCGAGTCGAACAAGAATTTGAAAGCGTCGAGTAACTCTCTGTATCTCTCATCGAGGACTTGCTACAATATGCATACAACATGGATACAAATTATTATACAATTTAGAGATTGAGACGATCCTCTGCAAAGCTCCTATTTCATCACTCTATTGATAAAAATGCAAATTTGCATAGCGATCCGCCAGAGTCACGTGTCTGTTATGGTTTCATTTTGGTGTTTTTGTAAACAATGAACAGAAACAACAGAATCGTGAAGTCTCTTGCATTCGATTCAAGTTACAAAGTTTGTGTCAAGAATTTGAAAGCGTCGAGCAACTCTCTGTGTCTCTAATGGAGGACTTGCTAGTTGATAATTGAAAGTTCTATCGCTGTTATTGGGAAACCCGTTGCGCTGTGATGTTTGGTAGTCGTTGATCGACGATTCGCGTGACACGTCCTGATCGTTTACTGTTTCAGAGCTACCGACATTGCTCATGCGTGTACCCGGTAACAAGGGAGGGGGCCGGGTACACGATCGCGGCCTAAATTCGACGTCCTTCCCTCCGGCAATGCTGTTCCACTTCCTGCACACGCCTCTCTCTTCCTTTAAATCGACTGGATCGTTTTTTTTTTTCCTTCGAACTTCCTCTCCCTTTGCCGGCTTTCCTCTTTCTTGTTTTCATCGGGCAGGAATGCGTCAGCGCGGGAAGAAAGTCGTCTAAACGGAACGCGGGGAAAGTAGACGCGCGGTGCAGGGTCGGGACGACTTGTTGTTGCTTTTACTCCGTGCACGAGGATCTTCCTGTTCTTAATAAATCCTCTAATTTCATCACCTTGCACAGCTTGTTCGGCCACACCTGGAAAAAATTTTAAGGGATGATTCTACAAGCCAAAATAAGACGAAAATCAAGAATACCAATTTGTTGATGGAGGCTCGATTAAAAAGTTATTAACAATTAAATTCAAACATTTCAAATTGTTTTAAAAAAATTATTTTTAGGTAGAGAGGTCAGTTACCATTATTTTTGGTGAATAGACAAACCCTCGAAATCCTAACCAGATTTGAGAAAAAAATTCGAGAAGGTGTGAAATATTTCGACAAAATTAAAAATTTCAAATCATTCTGGAAAAATTATTTTTAGCTAGGGAGATCAATTACAATCATTTTTGGTGAATAGACATACCCTCGAAATCCTAACCAGTTTCGAGAAAAAAATTCAACAAGTGCCAAAATTTTTCGACGAAAAAAAAAATTTCAAATCATTCTAAAAAAATTATTTTTAGCTAGGGAGGCAAATTACAATCATTTTTGGTGAATAGACATACCCTCAAAATCCTAACCGATTTCTAGAAAAAAATTCGAGAAGGTGTGAAATTTTTTGACGAAAAAAAAAATTTCAAATCGTTCTAAAAAAATTATTTTTAGGTAGAGAGGTCAATTACGATCATTTTTGGTGAATAGACATATCCTCGAAATCCTAACCAGTTTTGAGAAAAAAATTCAAGTGCCAAAATTTTTCGACGAAAAAAAAAATTTCAAATCGTTCTAAAAAAATTATTTTTAGGTAGAGAGGTCAATTACAATCATTTTTGGTCATTATACATATCCTCCAAATCCTAGGCACTTTCGAGAAAAAAATTCCTTACCGAAAATCTAATTTGGCGCCAAAATTTTTCGACGAAAAAAGAAAACTTTCAAATCGTTCTAAAAAAATTATTTTTAGGGAGGGAGGCAAATTACAATCATTTTTGGTGAATAGACATACCCTCGAATTCCTAATCAGTTTCGAGAAAAAAAATTCAATAAATGTCTAAATTTTTCGACGAAAAAATTTCAAACCGTTAAAATGCCTCCTTTCCTTGTCTGCCCTCCTGCGAATTTCTCGAGTTCCTAACCTCAACAAAGCAGCGCCACGAAATGTTTGTTTCCCGCCAACTATGACTATTTTTAGCTTTTCTTGTTACGTTGCAGGTTGAGGAGGAAGAAGCAAGGAGTTACTGAGGGCGAGGGGGCATCGATCCTGTTACTCGTCGCATTGACTCCTGTTATCTGTTCCGCCGGAATCCTAGACCCTTGGCAATGGGCGCGAAGCGATCGTATCGAGGTCAACATTCCTTGGTTGCCATGTAATTATCGCCGATAGTTATATTTCAAATAATAGCTAGAATAACAGAGCCTTGCTCCAACGAATAAAACAAATAAATAAAGATTGCAATACTCGAACGTTGGAATGAAATTACATAAAATCTATTGCACTTACGTTGCCTACTTATCCGGGATTGTTGAATTACAGCCATTTTGTTACGCGTTAACGAATATCCGAGTTACAAGTTATCGCCAAACGTCAAACTGAAGGTTCGAAGCAAGAAAGAAGGACTAAATTCGCTAAAAGAGCACTTAATCGCAATGTCAATGTACCTCGAAACCGGACGAATGTTTCATAATTTTTGTAATTTATGCTCGAGTGTGTTTTCATTGTTAGTCGAGAACGAGACGCGTTGCTACGACGAGCTAGGCTGTTTGAATATAACCAGGAGCTGGTACCACCTCATCCACAGACCACTGAACGTGTTCCCTCTACCGAGAGAAGTTATCAACACAAGGTTTATCTTGTACACGAAAGAAAATCCTACGGAAGTGAGTATATTTAAGTCCGGGTTACATCGTCAATCTACTGTCGAAAGACTGAGATTTATTTTTTTTTAAATATTTCTATCGATCGGTGGTGCAACATATTGATAGATGTCGCTTGATCTAATCATCGTCTATTACTTTTTAGTTTATTCGTTTCTGTTTCAGGGCCAGGTGCTAGTAGTCGCTAAGGATAAGTCTATCAAACGATCCTACTTTAATCCAAAAAGGAAAACGAAATTCATCATACATGGTTTTATAGATACTCCTCTTAGTAATTGGGTCAAGGTAAGCCCAATGATTCTTTAACGTTAATTTTACACTTGTTTAATTCACGATTGTTACAGCCAGGTAGATACTGTATTTTATTTAAAAACAACTGACTGCTTAAGGCCATTGCGAAATTAAGTAATAGTAGACACTAATGTTTCGACGAAAATGAATAGAAATAAATCGATATAAGTTAGTAAACTTGGAATGACACAACCCTTGTTTTGAACAGATTGAAGAACTGCATTGAATAGCATGATTGAAATTACGGGGAGATTACGATTTCCGTGGCCCCATGTTTAGCGGTTAAATTTGTGTTCTTGGGGTCATTTAAAAAAAAAAAAAAATGTATATGTCACGGGTATCGAATGGGCCTGGTACAGTCGGTAAAGTAGATTTTCTGTTTTTTTTTATAAACCTTGCAAATATCTCTGAAATTATCTGTCATACACTGGAGTAACGTTTGACGTAATCGAGAATAAAGACAGTGGCCATGAGCGGATCAGTTGGACCGTTCTCTGATCATAGACAAGCATTATTGCATACAAGTTCTACGTTAGCGAGAATCCATCTGTATTATTGTTGCCAAACCTAGTGTCGCGTAACGCGTAATTTACATAAAATGTACTACATATGTATACATGTATATCTAACTTAATATCTCAGTGGCTGTTCAAGACACACGCACAACCTAAGACTGGTAAATTTTTTCACAGAACAAGCGGCTCTCGTGAACAATTTAGTGTCGCCCAGTTAGATGAATCGCCCTGTACAATTAACAGTGAAGCTCAAAAATTGTCGAAGACCTTCTTTGTAAATAATATCTTGTGTGATCGGTATCTTTGTCAACATGGTCACCTGAATTTTCATTAATCGTAGGAGATGAGGAACGAGCTACTGAACCACGACGATTACAACGTCATCGTCGTCGACTGGGCCGGAGGTAGCCTCCCACTTTATACCCAGGCGACCGCCAACACCAGACTCGTAGGCCTCGAGATAGCCCATCTGATCAAGCACTTGCAGGTAAATGCTTTCTTTACTTTTACATTTTCTTCTTTTATAGTACCTTGTAACCGATCTACATATTACTCGAAACTAATTAATTTCAAACTCTCTCTCTCTCTTTCTCGTTCAACTGCAACGCCATCTACGGCAGAACGCTCAAGTTTGTCGAGAAATAGTACACTGCGTCGCCACCTACTGGCGAAGCAGCGAGATTAAAAAGAGAGGGCAATAGTGTGCAACAAAGAGAGAGAGAGATCACATTTCCGCCATTTTGATAAATCGAACCATTGTTCGATAATTTGTTAATTACTCTTTTTCTAGGATTAATTTATGAACATTATGGAGATTCAAGGACACCTTTTATAACCTCCACGTCCGTAATTCGGAAATCGGCACATTTTTTCGAATTATTTAACGTAACGTTAATAACTTTTTAACGAAGCCTCGATCAACAAATTGCTATTCTTGATTTTCGTCTTATTTTGGCCTCCAGAATCTCCCATTAAAATTTTCCCCAGGGGTAACCCAGACGATGTGAATCATTATTACAAAACACTATTAATTCAGTTCCTTGAGAATTGAATATGTCGCGTATCCGAACGGTTATTCGATCAATCGTAATGTATTAATAATTGCTAGCTAGTTCGACGAATTTCTGCCTAAAAAGGTGGTTGAGAAAAACAATAAAAATGATCGTCCCCCTATGAAACAGACAAATTATAGACTGGATCCGAACGATGTGCACTTAATCGGGCACAGTTTAGGGGCGCACACAGCCGGTTATGCCGGTGAAAAATTAAGTGGAAATATTGGCCGCATCACAGGTTTGGATCCTGCCGAGCCCTACTTCCAAGGAATGCCAAGTCATCTGAGACTCGATTACACAGATGCGAAGCTGGTCGATGTCATTCACACCGATGGTAAAAGCATCTTTTTCCTAGGTAAGAAGGCCATTCGTCGATGGAACAGCCTGAAAAATTACAAGTCTTCTTAAAAATAACCTGAATAAACAAATTTAATCACCGGTAGGTACGAGTACAAGATGAAGTGCACCATCTTCTTACATTGTTATTCTCCTTTCTAAAATAAATATGTCTACGAGAAATAGACATCCCTGTTCCACGTTTTGTAATTTCTTAGGCTGTTAAAGGGTTAAAGTTACTTACTGCAAACTAAGAGAAAAGAGGTTAGACAAATCTCAACGCACATCCAAACTAATTTAGTATACGATAAGGACTTCCAGGATACGGGATGAGCCAGCCGTGCGGTCATCTAGACTTCTATCCGAACAATGGCAAGGAACAGCCAGGGTGCACGGACTTGAGCGAGACGACACCATCCTTGCCTCTGACGCTGATCAGGGAGGGCCTGGAAGAAGCATCGAGGGTGTTAGTGGCCTGCAATCACGTGCGTGCCATTAAACTGTTCATCGAGAGCATAAACTCTAGGTGCCAGTACGTAGCGCACGAATGCTCCAGTTACGCCAGCTTTCTAAGAGGCGAGTGTTTCTCTTGCAAGAGCAACAACAGCCTCAGTTGCGGCGTAATGGGATATCATGCGGACAGTAGTCCAGCGCTGGTCAGACGTCAGGCAATGGGGCACGATGTCCTGTCGTTGCTGGGCTCGAAATTCTTTTTCTCCACTGGCAAAGACGACCCCTATTGCAGTGAGTAGCGACGATACGTTCTGTTCTTTCCTTTCTTACTCTTTCACCTGCAAAAATTATAACCAAAATTGTCGGACTGTTTCTCACTCGGGATATTAATCCATTATATACACCACTAACCACACAGAATAAGAACAGCTATATACGTATAATAATGCTAGAACGTAGAACTACCGCGTAGATGTGACTCGTCTCGCACGCAGTGATGGACTGTGGGACATTCGTGGGAATTTTGGGCATGCGCACTAGAATTTTCGTGGGATTCCTTTTTGCGCATGCGTTAGCTTTCTGCCATCAGAAAGAACGCGCGAAAATCGACACGCTGCGTTATACCTATTCTCTAACAAAAATATTATTCAAATATAATAAACAGTTAAGAGCAAAATTGAACCAACGATAATGTTTTTCTATAAAACGATTGGAATTTTACAAAAACCTATTGAAAACTGTCCAACAGTTTTTCGTTTCTTGGGATTCTTTGAATTTCCGCGAGTATCTTGCAATTATTTCATCGCCGTGAATCGCGACAAACTACTTTCACCGTTTTATCGTCGCAAAGGAAATTGCGATACGTCTCGACGTTAATTTAACACTGGCCTACATTCGTATCGATTAGAAATCTACAACGTCAATTTCGCCGCACGATTAATATCCACGCAATTTATCGACGACTGAAATAAAAATTGTAACCGGATAAAACGTTATTTGTCGTTATCTGTGATGCCAGTCTCTCAACAATATCAACGATTACTTGCTATTTTATGTCTTTTATTTCAATTCTTTCAATTTCAGGGAGACATTATCGAATTACTATCAACCTTGCGCGACCACCGACTGCGGAAAGCTGGGTTCAAGGTTTCATGAAGGTCACTCTTCGCGCCGAAAATGGTATAATGCGCGACGTCGATCTCACCCCGAGGTAACTTTTCTTCCCACTTTATACGATAGTCTGAATAGTTTTAAACTCTTCGATTTTCATAGAAATAATAATATAAATCTTTCTACGTAATGTAATAAACTTTTATAAAGAAAATCGTGTACTCAATTTATTTAACAATTAATTAATAGTAGCGTACTCGGTAAAAATTTGATTGTCACTGTTTCAGTGATTTAGAAATGAATATTGTGGGTTCTTTTACCAAGTATTAAAAATAAATTATTAAAAAAAAAAAAAATAAGAAACACGATTCATATTCCACAATTTCCCATATTCTAAGCACCACGATTTCATTTTTTAAATAACGTTGCGTGGCTGGTTGCAAAGCGACCATAAACGCGCGTCTGCAGTAAGCTGTACTTTCGAAAACAAATTTTATCGTTTCTTTCGCTCGTAACTTGCAGCGGTTACATGAAATTGGAACACGGATCGACGGTGCGAATGGTCGTCGCGCATCCAACCGGGGCGACCGGAGAAATTGGAAAAATTAGACGAGTCGAACTTTCATGGATGTACGACATGGACGTCCTGCAGCCGCGATCGCTGTGCTTTTTTTGGTGCAACGATCGGCTTTACGTGAACAGCGTCACCGTCGATGTTATGGAGCTTCCAGGCAGAGGGTAAGCCCCTAGGTTGAACGCAATTCTTTCTACAAAATTGTCAAATCATGCTACAATTAATACAGTTCTTTAAATGTGATTCTTTGTATATGAATAATAATGATAAAAATTGACTGTTACTAAAAATACGTCCTTAATGAAGAATCCATGTGGCTACGTACAACCTTCCAATGTCGAAAAGTTCAGTCCAGTTGCACGAGACATCTCTGTACACCTAAAAAGTTTCAAACACAATATTAATCAATTTCTATCACTCACCATTCTAAATAACATTAATGGTTTACAAACTAATCCTGTTACATATATTACAGATATGAAAGTGGCATAAGTTCATTTATGTTCGAATTGAGATTGAAGGGTTTGCGTTGGATTAAATTTAAAAACATGGAGAACAGATGACATAGTAGAGTAATGTTTCTGAGTTTCTAAGTGTATCAAATTTATCATCCCAATTAGCATAATTAATATTGTTTAGGAAATAATATATTTTTGATGGCTGTGATTGGACTTACGCCACTTTCAAAATAAATGGCTCATATATTGCTTCTGTTGCATGTGTATCTGTGCGAATAAGTTAGTATGATTACGTTTACCTGTGTTATTTTGTACGTGCAGGAAAAGAGAGGCAGATTTCACCAGTAAACTTTGTTCGGCGAGCAGACAAGAGTACGCAGAGATTGCTAGTGGATCCACAGCATCGTTCATCGATAATTGCTAACGCAGCGCCTTGAATTTACTAAACAGTGGTATTGATTATTAGCTCAAGGTATTTTAATGCTGTTCCTGTAGAAAGTATGATAATTAAACGCTTGTAGCAGGATAACGAACATTGTATAGAGTTTATCCAGACAAATTTAACACGTATCTATTTACAAATCTATGCTCGTTTCAAAGAGCGTGCTTCTGGTAAAAGTTCGTTTGGAAAAATATTTGCCTTCGATTATAATCATATAATATAGATACAGAGTGTTCGGCTATTAATGATCATCGTTTTAGATGGCGATTCTACGGACCAAAATGAGACCGAATCTGCGTTTGAGACTTTTTTTAGTTTGAGACCTGCTAGGTATTGTAATCAATAGTATTGCAAAAGAGAAAAACTGTCGAGAGTATCTTTTGTACGAAAAAATACGTTGTAAAACCTTCTGTATGTACATGTAGTTATCACAAAATTATGAAAAATGTAATGTTTCGAGTAATTATATCCAAATGCCATAGAAATCTTTCCGTACAAAAATGAAAAAGAAAGATAGTAATCTTTTCCAGAATCTCGCTATTTTGAAAGACTATTCGAACATGTTCCCGAGAAACGCAACGTTATCTTAGATCGAAGAAAGTGTGATGTGTGGAATAGGCGTGTATCTGCAGCAGTATTAATATGATCGATTACTTTTGTACATCTTGTATATAAAATTGGGTATATGTAACTAAGGTAATGCTAGAGTAGTGTAAAAAAGCAAGTGTTTTGCGAGCGATTATCAACGGTTACTGGCAAAAAATTGCTATACTAATTTCTGTATGTTATTTACACGAAAACAATGCCTGTTGCGGCACAATTGCGACAATAGTTTGTGATATTTTTTTTTTCTTCTTGTATAATTTAAATATTATATTTAATACATAATTTACTGGTAACGTTCGATTTGAAATTGTACAAAACAAGAATAAAACAACGGCTGTATACAAACATCAATACCTTGTACCGCGTATTTTTAAACGCGTCTTAAATATCGAAAATAATTTTTTATAAACGTTTCGAATGTAAAAATATAAATCGGTCGGTGCCATACGCAAACGACACGACGTCGCATGTTGCTGGTCGGAATTTTTAACGGTGTACGGTTCTTATAGAGAAAAAAAATAGTATGATAATCTTTTCTTTTTTACGAGAATAAACGTTTAAATGCTGCGGGGAAAGAAACACACTTGTACAGCTTGCTAATTTTTTGCAATGTTTACTCCTCGATAAACGTTGTACACGTCGATTCGTCGCTTATACAAAAAGATCATCGCGGAGTGCAGCTATACACGGTAACACATGATTCTTATCTTACACGAGATTCAACAATAATCGAGTAAAAAAGCCGTCCGCGTTTGGTCAACGCGGTAACAAAGATTGGTAAAATACAGAGTGTTCGAGAATTATGGCGCACAACGAAACATTTAAATTTCTCACACCTAATAGAAATCGAACAATTCTTCCATCATTTTGCGATCTAAGAATGTTTTTTTTTTTTTTTTTTTTTGAATGAGACAGGATAATACTTAATTTCGGGCACGAAGACAAGGGATCTATAGATCGAACGTCGCGCCTGGATAAAGCGGAAAACAGCTATTATAAGATTTATACAACTATACAGAAAAATAGTGCAGATAAAAAGTAACTATTTTAACACTTTTCTACATCCACGTAATTCGCGAAAATGGTCTATTTGCTTAAATTTCTTCTTCGAACATTCGAGATGAAAATACCCATATACGCTACTTGTGTCTTGTACAACGAAAATTGTTATTCGTTTAAGTAATGTAGTCGCGTCTTTTAACTTGTATATATATGTATATATATTATTACAAATATTTCCTGTTGAAACGTGTAAATAAAAGTTAAAATCCTTAAAAAATAACGATTGAATTCTTAGTCTTTTATCAAACAGACACATAACGCACGAGGGAACAAAAATAATAGTGACGGACTTGAAAATTTATTTCTATTCTCTTTCTATCCTTTACCCAGCTGATACTGGCCCGATATCAAAAGTGACGCGTTCCTTCAACAGATTTATTTAAAAAGAAAAATCTGTTACTTAAATTTTGTCATGTTTACATTTAAAGTAGCGTTTTATTATTAACTATTATAAGAAAGAAATACTTTCATTGTATAACATTTGGATCAGGATTGAAAGGGGTCCGAACGAAGTACTTTTTACAATCATTTTCATCGAAGGGGCACCACACTCCGATGGTTTAATATTATTCTAATAAACATATGAAGTAGAAGGAGGAAGGGGTGGGAGGGAAACCTCACGATGTGACACAGTCAGTCTTCAAAATCTCAGATCTCCGAATCGAAATTGTTTGCACGTTGAAAAAGGAAGCCTCTTGCAAAATGAAAAAGTGCTTTTCGATTTCCATCTGTTCCATAATTTTGGAACGCTCTGTACGTAATACGATATATAGTGATATACATAATATAATCTAATAATCTCTATCTGTATAACATATAATTTGCATATAAATAATAAATAGAAAACGAGGAGCGGGGGGCTGATGATTAGCTTGGTAAGACTTTAGCAGTAAATTGCCATTACGAACATTCATAGGACTATTGGGGGGGAGAGAGAGAGAGAAGGGGGGCTGGTGATAATGACCAAACAAAGTGAAGAATAATAGAGAACAGTGAAAGAACTAACAATAATAATTGTGAATATACAACTGATTCATTTGGCATAGTAGTCTAGAGCGTCTTTCTAGCGCAATAAAATAGGTCAGTGAAGATCATCGACCCAAGCAGTTTCTAACGACTCGATAAGAGTACGAACAAAAGCCATTTCTTTTCGTGCATTTTCCAAGATCACGCGGGGATCCTGAGAGGTGCACCGCAATATATTCGGCGCCATCACCATTGCTAAATTGTTTGCGTCCATTTTAGTGCGTGCAACCACTTCTGGTCTCGCGAATATCTGAAATGTAACGTTCCTTTACGTTGCAACAGGGGAACAGGGAGGGTGGGGACAACGCGACTGAAAATATTTACCTGCAGAAACCGTATCAGGTGACACAGAACTCGACGGTTCAGATCAGGTAGTCGGTCCACAAGCGCGGCGACATTAGCCGCGGAAACTTCGACGTCGTCGTGTCTCATAGATACGCACTCCGTGTAAAATGAATCAGGTATCAGGGGTTCGTAGAGCTCTCGAACCCATAGTTTCAACAAAGAAGCAGGCGCGTGTGCATCTTGAGAAGCTGCCGAAATTGTACCATCCTCGAACCTATCTAAACACGCTTTCAAAGCGCTCACTTCATCCGCGTCCGCGGATACCCTGAAGATACCTTCGGTTAGGATACCGCCGCACGCCAACACCTGACGCGTCAACGTGGTCTGTATCCATGGTAACTCTCGGTTAGGAAATCTGTCTCTTTGCAGAGCCATTACTTCCGCAAGCGTTGCTCCGAACATGGACGCTCGGAAAATTTGAATCTATAACAAACGAAAGTGAAATAGATCAACGTTTATTTCATCGTTAGAAAAAGAAAAAAATAATAAGAACATACTCTCGCTTGATCGATATCTTCTATAGTAGCCTTGCGAGGTTGTCGTTTGCCGTGTGCCCCGATTCGTTGCAAACGTCGACAGGCAACGGTCGCGTAATGACTGACTTGCACGTGAATCGGCCACTTGGCCACTTCCGAGAATTGGAAATTGGGATCACGGTGTCTGTTCATGTATCCCTCGAGGTAAGGCTCGAACGTGGCGCTGGGTGGCACGAAGGCCAGGCACACGGCCATCAGCTCCCAACCTCTGCGCAGACTTTCTTTCCGCGGATTCTCCGTGGTCTGTCTGCAGATCTGCACGTACAATTCATCGCGCAACGGTGGCTTTGAAAATGCAGTATTTACAATGTCCATGGCCACGCTGTCCAACGTCATTCCCAGGTTGGCCTTACGGTCGCCCATGTACACTTGCACCAACCTGAACAGATTACAAGCCTCGCGCTTCAGTAATTTCTCACCGTCCACCACCACGAGCATAGGTTGCGGTATAGGATCCTTCGACCAGCTGAGAATGTCCCGTACGCTGAACTTTTTCCGAAACAGCAGTCTCAGACCCTTCGGTCGGCCGCAGTTCAAATTCAGATTGTCTTGTGCGTATTTCTCGATGTCGCCGCCGCCCGCGCTATCGTTCCGCCTTGCCTCGTCGATGTCGGTGTTGTCGACCCCGATACCGATACCGATACCGATGGCGGGAACAAAACCAATAGTGGACACTGGAATTGTCGTTTGTCTCGTGGTCGTCACGCTGTCCCGCGGCTCCGTCTGCGCGACGATACTAGGCGGCGACGGGGGTCGTACTTGCGGCCTCGTCAGTGTGTCAGCAGTATTGTAATAAGTCGCTAAGCCCGCGGTATCGTAAGTACCCAAATCTACAATAACAATTACAGATATATTTACATACACCAATGCACACACACACACAAATATATGTATATTAATATTTTGTATGTGTATCGATCACAAAGCGAACTTCTCTACGAATAACAACGATTAACCTGCATAGTGATCTTCGAGGTATTCTTGGCTAGAAGAATCACCTTGGTTGCTCGCTGCCTCGTCGTCCGCGAACTGATCGTCGGAATCGTCGTCGGCTCTACCGCCGATACCCTCGCCTCTACCGCCTTCTTCGTCCAAGGAATCATCACCTTCTTCCGTCAACAAAGGATCTCCGAACTTGTAACAACCTAGAAAATTCAACGACTTATCAACAGCGTAAGATACTGTACACTTTGGTAAAACAACCAACCAGCAACTTCTTCGTACGGTTGTCTTTCGTGAAAATCGACAAATGATCGTGTACCTGAGAGTTTTGCTTGTTGAAGAATATAATGTTGAAGTGGCAACAAGTGATCGGGGTCGGATAACAGATTTCCGTAAAACGGCGACGGAGGCGGACTCGGATTACCATTACTCTTTTTCTTTTTCCCGTCGTCCCCTTCCGTAAGACCTTCCGTTTCTTCCCCCACCGCACTGTTGCTACTACTGTTACTGCTATTGCTACTGCTAGTATTACTGCTAAGTCTTTGTCTAGGTTGCTCGTGACTTTGACTTATTAAATAACGCTCGTGCATGGAATCGTCGTCTCTGTCTCTCCTTCTTGATTGCTGCTGATGCAGATGCATATGCTGCAACTTTTGTTGCTGCTTTTGCTGCTGCACGAAACTGTAACTGCGAGCCAATGGTTGTGGTCCGCCTTGAAAAAGAAATATATTTGTACATATAGAACAGACCCCGATGCTACAGACTGATAATTTAAGATCAACGAAATTTGCTTACAATCCAAGGAATTATTACACGCCGTGTTTCTTCTATACTCTTTTTCTGTGTCGCGTTCGCGTTCCCTCTCCCTTTCTGCAACCTCGATGCTCCTTTGTTTCGACGCGTTGCTCAAGATACCAGTACCCCTTAAAAGGCTCTTAGACGGTTCGTTTCTTTCCGTCAACATTCCGCCGTACATATCTCTAACGTTCGCCTCCGAAAGGGACACCGAGCATCCATGATGCCTTCTTCCTATACTACCAGTATTATCTTGTTTATTCATATTACGCGGATGCATGGAACTTGGATAAAAGGCTGATGTGTTTGTTTTGTCCAAACTATTTACTCTTTCTCTGTGATGAATCTCTCTCTCTCTATCTCTATGATAACGGTTACTACTTTCCACCAGGGAGCCATACTTTTCACCCTGCGATTTATAACTATGACTCAATTGAACATCTGGCGGACGGTATGGAGGCATTTCTTGCCTGAATATCCTAGACTCCATCAACGAATCACGATATGGCGAAGTGCTTGGCTCAGGACCGTACGAACCTCTACTGCTTTCTCTACCTACAAAATTACAGATAGAAATAAGGTTATTTTTCTCTTCCAGTTTTATCCATTCCGTTTTCTAATCGCGTACAAGTAACGTGGAACTTAAAAGATTACGAAATTTAACTCACATTCTTACCATTTTTATTCTTTTCCAAATCTAAATTCCCTGCTCTACCCTCGCGCTGCGAATCAACGAACGTCTTCTTCTTAAAAAGAGGTGTACTGGTTGAAAGTGATAAACCTAATGGCGGTGGCTCGCCCAATGGCACTGACTTCTGATTCTTTACGCTCTCCAGAGTTCCACTTTTGTGTCTAGCCTCTAACGTGCCGCTGTGCTGTCTGGGCGACGATTGTGCATGATTTGTCGGCGTTTGAGCAGCGGAACGTTGGTGGTGACGGTGCGGGGAATCCAACAATCGATACCCGGTCGATTCCAACGACGTTCGACTGTGAGACACGGAACTGTCGCTGGAACGTCCAGAGTCCTGAGAATGATTATGTTGACGACGCACTGTGGGCACTTCATGATGCCTATGATGCCTATTATTGTGATGATGATGATGATGATGATGACGCCTTGAAGACGGAGACGGCGAAGGAGGAGATGTTTGAAGGTCTATGCCAACACCGGATGTTCGTGTTTTATTTACACTACCACTTTGCTACAAGGAAAAACACATTACAGCGTCTCTAACCTATCACACGATATCTCTGGAACAGGGAACTTACCAACGAAGAAGACAAATTAGAACTTTCTTGGTGACTAAACCGTGTTGATCGACTAACGGAAGGCGTTTGTGTCTGGGTTGATACAGATTCTTTCTTTCTTGGCTCGGTCGGTTTCTGAATATTGATTCCACTGCTGCTCGCTGGCTCAGTATTCTGTTTTAATGTCTACCACACGTTTTCAATTAGCTTTTGCGCATAACAAGATACAATAATTTTTTTTTTATATCAATTTGTGACGGTGTAATGTTAAAAGCAAAAATAGTACATGCATAAATATTAGATATTGAAATCCCTCTGTCACGATTGCTTGGAATACAAATTCATGGTATTATTACGGATAAAGTATTTATCTGTGCTAAAAACTAAGTAAGAAATATCATATTATTATTGTGTTTTTGCAGCTTCTCTAAATATTATAATTTTACGAGATTATCAAGAACGTTATATGGTATGATATAAACCACAGTTTTTTCTCTTAGTTACAAACATCTATTTATAGCTGAAAGGAGAACAGCTGGCTTGCACACTTGTATCTCCACAGAGTGGCTACATCAATGTATACAAATCATTATATGTACATAAATAGTCCACAAAGTTGACACGTCTGATAAACCAAACGCTATGCCCATTAAACAAACATACACCCAGGACTCCTTTTACGCAATACTTTTTAATATGATTTGCTTGCAATATAAAATTACTATTAACATCATCGACCCTCCGAATAAAATATTTATTATCAAAGATGAATCACTCACTTGAAGCTTTGCTAAAGGTATGATATCACAATCGCTTGGACGGTGCCACACAGTTTGTTGGGAGGTTGCATTATAATAATAAAAGCGTGAAGTATTTTGATCAAATAATTCCCACCACTGATTGTTATCTGTTTTTTTCCTGTAATTAAAAGCACAGCAGTGAACTGTACACCGAAATATATAGCATCTGGCAAATCGTTAAGATTACCATAAAAGAAAGAATTCGTAATTAAACTTTATAAAATGTAGGCTGCTTGGGTCATTTATATTCGAAGCATGCATCGAGATAGAAATCGTACGGTTTGTAAATAGTTCCAAAGCTACAAAAGGAAAACCTTGTACAAAGATAACTTTCGCTTAGATTTTAAAATACATCGTGATCCTGAACAATTAATTGTTCTACTTGTCGAAATCGTTTATTTTATAATATCGTTGTCTCTAAACTAATTGAAATTAAGCTGCAAGAAAAATGTTATCTCGACGATAAATGTACTATCGGCTTGTCTAAAAATTTTTGAAAATATTTGCTTTTACATAGGATGTAATATCTATATCTTACACTGGTACACCAGGTGGAGGATCCCATACACATTCTCCAGTCGTAAGATTGGCATACATGTGCTCTCTGGTTCGTGGTTCTATAATTTCCACCCATTCCATTCTACTGTAATTATAAAAAATTTATTAATATTTTATTCAATATTTTACAATTATATATTGTTAATATTTATAGAAATTTTTATTACTCATTGCCAATCCGATCAAAACAATTTAACATTGTCGCGAGATTACAGGGTTTCTATAACCAAAAATTTATTTAAAAAATGTTTTAATTATCGATTTAATAAAACGTCATCGTGTTTAAAACTGATAAAGCGTCATACAGAAACGTTAAATCATTAATACACATAGGGTAAATATGAGATAAATTAGTTACTATAATTAAAAATTCTAAATATAGTATAACAAAGTAGAAAAAGTGTAGGCAACAAAAACGCGTTTAATAAATAATTAAAACGAATATCGAATAAACGAGAGTTTACGATCAAAGAGAATATATTCGTTAAAATTTCAAAATTTTTTAATGAAAACAAGGCAGGTTCGTTTCAAGTTATAAATAATTAATCAATAGCATTCTGCCAAATCTGTAGCAAAGCGAAGCATGACCAACGATGATTTATCGGAAGTTTCTTTCCGTGGAAAGTGACTACTGAATAGAGAAAAGCATCAGGGAAAACCGAAACGATGTAAAAAAATACATAAAATCGAGCCAAGTTTCGTTGTATAATAAAAGGGTGTTCACCCCCACCTCCATAACCATAAATTGACAGAAATGCTGGCCGCAATACGCGCAACTGTCTGATGTCATGCTATCCATTTAATTGACTGAAATTGGTAGCAGAAATTCGTTTAAACATACACGGTTTGTGTGTCGGGAGGAAGAAAAAAAATGAAAGCACCGAGAGGGACAGAGAAAGGGGAGAAAACACAAGTTCGATAACGCGTACGAGGTGTAAAAACGTGTAAGAATCGCGATAGACAAGACCCACCCAGTCGATACGGCGAATATTAAATGCACAAATGCACGATTAGGAGTTCTACGAACACGACGAAACTCTCTCTCCAAGAAAACTGGGACGGGTCGCTGAGAAAAAAATTCACTATCGATCTGCGAAACATAGCCACTATACCCTGTCTATATTTCCATTTCCCTAGAAATAGAAAATTATCTCCTTACCCGTCGGATGCCATCTCGGAGAATCGGTCGCCGAGCTTAAGCGGCACAAAACATCGCACGTCACTTCAAAAACACTTTGTGACACTTCGTGAGCACGACAGTGACACTTGGATGTCGCAACGTCCCATTTCCATGAGCACGAGCGACGCACAGACCCTTCATGACAGTCTACCGGCGGCCATCTTTTTTTCTTCTGTTCATTTTATCGTTCTGCCACTATACGAACGAAAACTTACTTTATACGAGATTTTAAACGCGTCTATCATAGTGCTACCCCGCAGCCACTTTTAACACCAACGGTGATAGAGTCCAGTTTCGATGTAAACATAACCAAAACTAGCCCAACGCAATATAATTTGGTACGGGTTTTCGCGAGAATCAATCGCGAATAAACACTGAAATAAATACGATATAGGGTGGATTTCCTCCTTGTGGAGTTTAAATTCTAACCTATTGGCACCCTCGATCGGTTTTCTATTTTTTGTTTTACCTTTTTTTTTACAGTGAAATTTTTCAATTATAATTACATGATAATGTCACAACGTTGTATCATTTTTCCGTGCCTCGTCAACAAGTGACGCTGCAGTCGTGTACCAACTGCTTAGCGGAATTCCTCGAAGCTAGGGAAACACTGTAAACTGTCGTTACAATTTTACTTAAATAATAACAGTGACTTGCACCGACCGAACAAGAAGATTAGGTATCTACATTAAATTTTGTCACAGTGGTATTAACCATGGATACAATGGATACAATGGATCAAGATATATTGACAGTATTAAAACTTTTAATGATAGGTGAATCAAATGTTGGAAAATCAAGGTATTTGTCGAAAAGTATTAATTGCTTGTTTACAACATAATTGGAATCAATATATTTACATTGTTACCTTTGTTAGCATCATACTTAGATTCACTGAGAATGAATTCTTCGATTATATGCAGAGTACAATCGGTATGGATTATAAAACTAAACAGATTACAATCGATGGCAATACAGTGAAACTTGCTATATGGGTCAGTTTTGATTAAGCCTATCGTAACAATTTTATATACAGCGATGTCTGTCAAATTTTAAGATGATTCAGATCTGGCTTCCGTATTCCATGGAAGATAGCGATAGAAAACTTTCTTTCTTTTATCTTATCAATCTGATTGACTGTCTAGAGCATTAAGTAAAGTATTAGTAAACAACAAATAATAGAAATTAGTTTACCGATGAATCTGTGAATAAACTTTGCCTAGTCTTATTTAGGTAAAGTAAAATCTATAAAGAAAAGCTACTTTTATTATTTTCTCTATGCCGGCAAATTGACGAAGTAGTAAGAATAATCTTGCGACTAAAAGTCTCTGCAATTTGACAGATATTGATGTATTATTTGCGCAAATATATGACTGATAAAAATTTTGTTATAGGACACTGCTGGACAAGAACGTTTCCGGACGTTAACACCTAGTTATTATAGAGACGGTCAAGGTGCTATATTGGTGTACGACGTTACGAACAGAATTACTTTTATGAAGTTAGAAACATGGCTTAACGAATTAAATACCTATTGTAATAAAACGGATATCGTTAAAATGGTAGTCGGTAATAAAATAGATTTACCAAATAGAGAAGTAAGCACAGAGGAAGGGTTACAGTTTGCTAGAAGACATCAAACTTTATATATCGAAAGTAGCGCCAAAACGTCGGATGGAATTAAATGTTGTTTCGAAGAACTTGTACAAAAGGTGAATTATAGCTCTATAATACAGTAGTGCCCACTTAAGTGACCACGCTCGAGACCGGTCGCGGTCACTTGTGTGGACACTACTGTATATTATAAATCAAAAGTAACATTGAATTAAAAAAATTGATGTGACATCGCAGATAATACAAACACCAGGCCTGTGGGATCGACACGCGCTTCTTAAATCGTATGGTAATGGTAACATGGGAGGTATAAGACACAGAGGTCACAGAGGGCTACGAGTTCCAAGCGATTCCCAATCTGTCGATCTATATTCAAACTGTTCTTGCGATCTGCTTTAACTAATTGTGATATAAAATTCAGCCGACGATACATATGATGAAGTTATAACTTCAAATATAAGAATTATAATGAAAAATATGCATAATAATACAGCACGTTAATGTTTTACGTACGTCGTGGAAAGAAACGTTTTACACATGTATGAAAGATATATGAGTTTGCTTTTACTAATTAAATTTTATATAGGTATTTGTGATAGTAAATTTTTATTCGTGTAAATATATCTTGCATACATGCATAGTTCGATGATTAATAAATATCGACAGAACTTCGTTGATATCCCGGGCAGATGTTGTATTATTAACTTCTAATCGATGGCATTTTTGTATAAGCGTTTACATATTTTCTAAATTATAAGTAACAGACATCAACAACAAATAAATAAGTTTCAGTCACCTAGAAGTATTTATAAGTTTCCTTAGTCTTTTACCGTCACATGTGTTTATTTTGTGATGAACGAATGTATAGTAATTGTTTTTATTATAATGTACTTGTAAATAAAGCACTTTCTGTACATAAAATGTTGTTTTCTAATAATTTGAATACAGTCATTTAAAACATGTTAATACACGCGATTACTTTTGTCAATGAATTTAATGCAAATAATTATTTTCTTTTTTGACACTTTTTATTTCATTTGAAAAATTAATTGGACCTGTACGCGTAATAAATGAAACATGAAGCAATTTGAACTCGTTAATCGGTATATAAATAAGAAGAAAAGTAATGATTATACGGAAACTATAAAGTAATGTATAGCATTTCCATTAGCTCAAAGCGTTTCTGCCAAATTAAAAATTAAATAATACATTTTCTACTTAATAGTTTTAGGGAAGAAATTCCTGATTACAAGACCAAATTATTGAAGCTACTAACATATAAACTCAAACAATTTATTCGTAATCAATCGAATGCAAAAAGATGTTTTACATATACCATAAACGACAGACGTTTATGGATCACCATCCAGAGCGGATTATATAGCATACGTGTCTTAAAAACATTACTAAAGGAAGGTAAAAGAAGCTAATTTTTACTTCAACAAATTTTTTGTTAACTTAAGATAATTTTTAGGTATGTCCGTACATACCATTATAAAAGCAATGAAACTTGGTCTAGTAAGACTTAATCGTTGTGAACTTTTCTACTTCAAAAGCTTCGAAGTAGAACCATACACATTGCAATTCCAAGATACGTGGACAAGTAAATTCAGCGATGAGCTTATCTCAAATTTAAGATCTACAGGTTTAAGCGAATCAGAATGTTGGCATATAATTATATATGGAGTAGACTCTCAAAGTCCACGTATCCTTTGTCGTTTATTATTAAACGGCATTGATGTTCCTGGAATTATAAATTGGCAATCTCCTGTTACTCATGCATCGCTAAAAATAATTCAGTTTTTGGAGCATATTGGAATAAAAGAAGACGTTGTACAATTAGTAGAACAGTACGGTATTAACGAAGAGATCGAGCAAATACTAAGCAATATAGGATATGACGAAACGGAAGAAAAGGGCCTTACCATGGAGGTCTAAATACGATTTGAATAACGAACAATTTAACAAGTTTCTTTATTGTATGTACCGTTGTGTTTTCTTATGTACAATACTATGTATAACATATAGGAAATAATATGCGAATGTAATTTAACCATGCTGGGAGAAGAAACCGATAGTTCAGAAATAATAAATAATATCTGTGAAACAAGTAATTCAAGCACTTCTACTTCAATTAATACGTTAGATTATTCTCAACGATGCAATTCTCAATGTCACCTTGGAACAGAAAAAAACATAACGGAAGAATTGTCTGTACAAAGAAATAATTATTTAAGGTAAATAATTATTGAACGTTTAAACCCTTAAATATTTTTTATCCTTGCTTTTTGCAATTGTAGACAAAATATTATGGTGCCTGTGGCGTGGGCAATGGCAAAGGCTTTAAAATATGCACCATCCGACCCGATACATTACATAGCGTATCAACTACTACGTTGGAAAAACAATAATATTGTCCAAACTAAGAAAGATACTATTTACGAAGTTATTGCATTAGCTACAGTAACAATGGATCATAAACTTATCGTTAGCACTTATTTTCCAGCAATAATACAATGTTTAATACTACGTAACAATATAAAACATCCACTAATGTTTTTCTATAGCTGAGAATGAAAGAAAAATTGGTTAAAAGTCTCAACGAGGAAGCTATGGAAAATGTTCCCTGTACTGTTTGCAAAGATTATCAGACGTTGCATCGTATCCAACAAAAATGTTGGAAGTGTACAAAAAAATTGGCTAGAAAGTACGAAACTTGTAAATTCCAACAAGTATGCAGTTCTTGTAAAATCGACGGAATAGATTAAAATACACGAAGAAAGTAGAAAATTTTCGAATTTTCACGAAATCGACCAAGTAGAAAAAAACTACGCTGAGAGAATAAGAATTTTCACAAACGTGTAATTTTTTGTTAAATCAATGTATTGATAAATAAAACCATTCTTAAAATATATATGTTCAGAACACGTTTTAATAAAAATTGCTTAAAAAATTCGTTTATTTTATAATTTGTCTTGTACACTTGTCTCAAGTTTACTAAAACGACGTAGTATCCACATAAAAAGTAATATGCACGGCACGGAATGAATATTCAACCTCACAATTAAGGATACGCTCTAAATACATCATGGCAGTGATACTAATTTCAATTCTTAAATGATATAAAAATATTATGTCATTGTGAGTTTGATTGATTCTTTATCTTTTCACGTTTGTTGCATTATCGGTAAATCTAAAAAAAAGTATACATAAAATTTCGATTATATTTACTACCGAGACACGGATAATCTAAATACAAATGCGTATACGCAAAATTCCGATAACGTGTGGTGCTCTGGCCACATTTATTATAATTAAGAATGTACACACTTTGCTAAGACTTTCTTTGTGTAACCGTGAAGCAACCTTCGCTTTAAAAAGTATGACAGACAATGCCGATTTCACGAAAGCATTGCCCATGATAATATCAAAGGATGAAACTGAAACTGTTGTGTTACTTCGAATAAAGTAATACCGAAGAGTGTATAAAATATCGACATCAATGATATTTCTCTATGCGTTTATTATATAAAATATAAAAACGATTTCTGCAGATTTAATGATTCAGGTACTACTGTAATGAATCAATGATACAGACTATTTCCATATAGTAGATTAAAAAGGAAAAGAAAAGTTGTAAAGATATTACGCGATGAAATTCCATAACGATTTCTTTCCCGTTTTCGGCACACTCTTCCCCGTGCGTCAACTATTTTTCATTCTGGACAAAGATACAAAGTACATCAATAAAATAGCAACGTATCAAAATATAGTTTTGCATCTATTCGTTTGGTCTATATCCTGAGCTACTAACAGAATGGGGTTCTCTATTATGGTAAACTTTCCTTCGTACGTTAAGTAAAGATGGAAGTACATAGTAAGTAATAGTTTAAGTCTATTTTGTATGGACGTTTTTCGCAGTCTGGGTTAGGTCCGAGCAGTTGTTAATAAACCACTCACAGATCTTTTTAAGCTATACTTTAAGCTATTGGAATAATTATCATTAAACGTAATGATGTATTTTTTTTTTTCTTTTTTTCTTTTTGTTTATAATCTGATCGTAAATATGATAATGTTTGCAAATGAAAACAAAAAAAAAATTTCTTAACACGCCGACGCGGTGATTTGGTAGCTTTTGCCTCGCGACTGTGAATCGCGCGATTTAAACCGAATATACTTGAAGTTTGTCGATTTTGTTTTTCTCATCCTCGGATTCGTCGCGACAAATCATAAGCGTATGAGAGATGCCGCACGTAACGGCAGTAATGTATAAACCTTCCACTGCTTTCACTTCCATCGGGGTGGTCGAGGATTTGCGCATTTCGCCAAAGCCCTGAAATAAATAATCAAGGACAAGAAGTTTACTTCAAAAGCGGCCCAAAGGTTTGTAAGTATTGTTACGAAGTTATGTACCAATTCGCCGAATGTTGGACTAGCGCCCCAAGCGATAACCGAATCATCAGCCGCAACTACCACGCTCGTTTGTGAACAACCAACGCATCTGATCTCCCAGCCAGACAAATCTTGAATCGGTTTTGGATACATATTGGCTTCCCCGGTACGTTTCGTTTGTCCGAACATTAAGGCTGTCCCATGAACATTGATGGCAATACTGTACGTGCTGCCACAATGCACGGCTCTAACGCCTCGGTTAGGTGGCTCTAAGAACTTAATTAAACGGGGCACGAACTCGTCTCGTTGCTCGTTGTGACCCAAACGTCCGATACCGCCGAATCCCCAAGAGAACGCACGGTTTTTACTGTCGATCGCGACGGTATGATAATGACCGCAACTGAAGTCTGTAATCTCAACGCGATCTAAAGGCGTAACGTGGCCGTCTTTCGATCTCTCGACGTAAAAAACGATTCTCTTAGGCACTTTCTCGAAATGAAATGCCATTTTTGTATTTGTTATGAAATATTTCCCATCCGTGTTATGACCCAAGGCTCCATACTCCGGGCTTCCGAACGAGTGCAAACCACCTTTAATGTCTAGAATCATTGAAAACTCCGCACCGCATCCTACTTTCACTATAGGCGGACCAGTATATTTTACTTTAGTGGCGGAGACAATGCAGGCGTCAGTTTTTCCCACGCCACATTGACCCAATTTATTGTCTCCGGCGGCAAAAACTATGCCACGACTTGTTAGAATCAAGGTATGATTACGACCACAAAATGCTGCTATAACCGTATGACCCTTTAATGCTGTAACTTCGGTAGGTTCGTCCCGACGTTTCGCATCACCGACGCCCAACTGACCTATAAAAATTATCTCATGAAACAACATACTACGCAACGTGTCTTCGTAGAAATACAGTGTTGAAAATTTCTTTCAAGTATGCATTTACTTACATCAGAGTACTTAATTTTAAAGATAAGTCTTGATTACCTTTTTTTCATTTACCTTTATCATTTCTACCAAAAGCAAGGCATCTATTATCCTCGGTAACGATAATACTATGGGAAGCAGCCGGACCAGAGGCGATCATTCTGACCCGTGCGCCGTTGAGGTTTTTAAAAGTATGGGGTGTCCATAAACTGCGTCCTATGTTAACTTTAACTCCTTTCGGCGGAGCTTTGCGACCGGCCATCTCCCAATTTGTAAGACCGCACATGAGCAACGTTCCAGGTTTACCCCATCCACCCTGTAACAAATACATATGACCAAATAATCAAAAAACTTTGCCAAAGATAGAATAATTCTTCAATTTTTGACCTCGTAACCCAAATTATCCGTCGACCAAAAAGCTTGTACAACTAAACGACGTATTTTATTTTATTTTTAATAAGACTACGATATAAAGGGTTTAAAGTTTATGATTACTTGGATGTTAAGAAAATAACTATTCTTTTAGACTCAGAATCAGAGAATAATAATACCTTTTCAATTAAAAAAGGAATGGGTATTTCTTTCAAAAACTTAAGTACAACCTTTGTATTTTAAATTCATAGAAATTCTGTTTACAAGTTAGTTATGATGTTCAAAATAGATCAGTTACTTTGTACACGACATATAATGTCTACAGAAGTAAAACATATTAGACCTAATTTAATCAAACATTAAAATTCCAGTTGATCAGAGAAAGTTATGCGCAAGAGCTTGTTAAAAAGTTATGCATTAACATTTTGATAGAACATAGAGCAAGAGAATATATTGAGACTAGAAATAATAATACACGATCATCTGAAATAATTGTTTTTACTGGCTGTAGAACCCACCAGCGTTGTAAATGCCAACGTTGTTTTCCGATCCCTCGGACCCCAATATACCCTCTACCTGTGATAAACAAGCATGTGAGAAAGTTAGAAGTAATATCACCTCTGGTGGCGGCAATTCTGGAATACTGGAGACATCGGTAAGGTCATCTTCGGCAGCGTCCTCACCGTCAGCATTCGAACCGGTCTCGGCGTCATCAACATCTGAATCATGCTCACTGGAGATGTCTTCCTCGTCGTATTCGACCTTTCTCGATTTTCCGCGACTCTTCTTGCTCATCGGAATTTTTCGTTTGGTCGACATATCGGTCGGTCTTCTATTTAAAATTTATTAACGATTAGAAAATCGGTTCCGCGGGACGCAAATACAATGACATTTATCGATGTAATGGCGCTGAGACCTGTACCGTTCGACAAATGGACAACAAAAACGCGGCCATCTGGCGCTCAAAAATCATAATAAAACCATGCTCCAGTGATAAGTACAAAGCAAACTCAAGTTTATGATTGTAAATCGCCGAGGGCGCGCTCCGCGTTTCGTTCGTTTCGGGATTCGCGGAACATGGAGAACTGAACCACGATTTGTTCTATACATAAACGCTAAAAATGAAATTTTTAACGTTATTGCAATCCTTGCTTTTCTATTGTATTAAATTAGACCTAGCCGAAGGTTATTTCAATTGACCTTAGGCTCCTCGTTTGATAAATTAATAGCGAATTAAAATACCGCTTGTTCGAAGAAATAACATTTATTTCTCAAAAGGTCTCCCTACTGTAGTAGCTTTAAAAAATCGATTTTTCTTTTCTCCTGTTTTTCTATTAATTATAATCTGTAGTATATACTACGTGCGAAACAAGAAAACCAAATTCAAGAAAAATTTTTCTCGAAGCATTTCTGGTTCTTGCTCGAGTCACGCTTCGTGAATAAATAAAAATGATCGTATTCGAATGACTAAGATTTCGTTTTAAATTCAAGTTTTGTATCATCTCGAATTGCGAGATCTCGTACAGCTCTAATCAGCTGTCTAATCAGCATACATTTGAAAGCAATGTCATGCTTAATTCGCGTTTTTCTTCGGTATATATTCAATCAAATTCGAGAAGATAGTCATTTGTAATACTTCGAATAAAGTATGGTTTAATTTTTCAATTTAGTGGAATCGTAGAGTTAAAGAGGAAATTATTTTCGTGGTGGGATTTGATAATTTTATAAGAACAAAGAGAATTAAAATATTCAAGGTAATAATCGTTACTTTATGTTATACGGTAGAAGTATAATATTAGTTCTGATAGTTGAACATACATTCTAGAAGTATGGTTAAACGTTATTTTAAGTACGTATTTATTTAAAATCCTGTTTAAATAAATATTTTGAAAGTTTTCAAAATATTTAAAATTTTTTATCACTATTTTTTTTATTATACGTTTTCATATATGGATTTACATAGGATACATAGTACTTTTTCGTCGTAACGATTTTATAATGCAATTTTGATATTTCAATTATTGTATAGTACATGGAAGGTTGGAGGTTATAATTTATAATTTCAGATTGTCATTATACGCACACTTTCTAGAATGGGATGTTTTAATTTCGAATATTCTTGAATAATTGTTAACTTTTATTATTTATTATTATTATTGATTACGGTTTACAGATTTTAATTTTTCAATGTTTGTAATACACTGTCGTTCCAGATTTAACAATTTTATACGTTATTAACATTTCTGTCAAGTAATACTCTTTTAAATACTCGCATTAAAATTTGTAATAAACTTGATTTTACAATTTTCTACTTAAAAATTAAAAATATTTGTTAACATTTGACAGTTCAAAATGTAAACATTGTTAACGGTATTATTTTCTGGAATATTATTGTAATACAATGTTTAATCTTTATTTTAGATTCTCTTGACCGAAGATGGAATTCCCAAATTTAGGCGAACATTGCTCAGAAAGCAGTTGCAATCGATTGGACTTCTTGCCAATGAAATGCGATGCATGCGCTTCGATATTTTGTACAGAACACGTATCGTATATTAATCATAGCTGTCCGAGCGCGTATAAGAAAGACTTTCAAGTTCCAGTATGTCCTCTGTGTAATACGCCGATACCTATAAAACGAGGCGATCCACCAGACATTGCAGTAGGACAACACATTGATAACGAATGCCAATCGGATTTAAGAAAACCTGGCCAGAAAATATTTTCAAATAGGTAAAATGCTGCGATCGTAATACACAAATTTCAAGATAAATATGTTTACTACAGAAGTTTAGATATTAGTATGTTATCAGTTCCCTTTTTCAGATGTTCGTTCAAAGGTTGCAAAATCAAAGAAATAGTTCAAGTACGTTGTTCCGAATGCAACGAGAATTTTTGTTTGAAGCATAGACATCCGACGGACCATACGTGCGTAGGCCAGGAAGAAGCCATTCGAAGAAAACGACTTGATGCTGTAAAAAATAATATGAAAGCGAATAAAAGAAATGGTGAAATTATGAAGAGTTACCAAGGCAGTATGAGCGAAGATGAAGCTCTCGCCAGGGCTCTTCAGGCTTCCATGCAGGATGAAGATGCAACGGCTACCCACCGACCACTCGAGGTTGTACCTTCCGGAAATAGAGATAAATGTAGGCTTTTTTAAATCTTTCCATTTTGTACAACATTTTCAAACACTTAATGTACATTTTTCAGCCGCACAAATCTAGAGAAATTGTCACTTCTTTCTGAGACTTTAATCTTTTGTTCTTGAGTCGAAACAATATTTACTATCGTTGGAACAAAGTTGACTGCTCTGGACAAAGTCGGGCAAAGCTTTATTTGTGAAAAACGAATAGAAATTTTAGACCGATGACGTAAACTAATTTTTATATACGTTTTATCGATAAATTCCCTTAGAAATTCTATCATTTTTGTTCGATATTCAAGAATAAAATTTGCCCAACTTTGGCTTTTAGTTATCGGTACGTTATGTATTCTTTTTTTATGCCGCTTCGTTTCTCATTCCTTCTCATAACTATTGAAACGCACGGTTTCCGTCCCTCGGAGATAGCTTAAAAGTTAGATTCGTACTTGGCGTGATTTGCAGCGAGCATAATATATTTAAGTGGTCAGTTAAGTTTGTCCCGACTATAGTATATTAATAATTTATAAACTTTCAAGTAACTTCAGCACTTTACAATTTTAAGGAAGTTTTACTCGCGCGGATTCTTAGGACGATCGTCACGCAATGTAAAACTTTTTTAAACCACATATCATGATCAATAGTGGAATTAGATTAACACACATTGTACAAGTTACTTAAAAACAAAGTAATGCAACACTCGCTAATAGAATATATTAGTATTTCTTGAATTTTTTTTTTTTGTAAACAGGTAAATGCAACTTCGCAGATAAACGAAAAATAATAAAACTTGCGGGTCAAATTTTATTTTAGTTTGTTTTTTATAACAAGAACTATACGTATTAAAGGAAGTAAAACACTTTGTTGATCCAACAAAGTATTCATTACTAATGACATGCAAATACTTTTTATTTCTATAAAGATAGTTTGATAATTGATATACATTCGATATCTAAGTAAAACGTCTTATCTCGCCAGAACCTTGAGCAATTCTAAATGTACAAACACGAATGTACATACTCAGCGTTTTCAATTAAGATTAACTATTGATAATAATTACTTCGAATACAATCAAAATCAATTCACTATCACAATCTTTATCTTTCAACCTTATATATGTATATTTGTATTCTTCTACCTGTACTTTTTAACCATTCTAATACTAAGTAATTTATACCTTTTAAAAACTACACTTCTCCATGCATTACTGCTTTGTTAACTGACTTTATATTCATCTGTTCTACTTTTTGAATAAAAAATTGTATTTTAAAATTTTATTTACAAAAAATCCTACGTTACCTAAATCTGTATTTGTTCAATTTTACATCGGCCTTGCAGAATGGTCCCGAGAAGTTCGTTTCTCCTCCGTCTAATATAATCAAACGATATCGTTGCTTAACATTATATTATCTATACGCAGAAAATTATATGTATTTATTATTAGCAATTTAAATACTTCTATAATAAAAGATTCCTCAAACTCAATAATAATTTCCATAAAAGTGTACACGAATTGCATCGACGATAATAATCAAACGTTGGGGTCCAATTTTTTGATAATGTAACTGATTTTTCGAATGGCCAATGTTAATTGAGTATCCGTGATTTCATAAGAAAATACAAATCTCACGAACGACTCGCTTAGCGGCAAACATTTTACAATAATTTTGTCCTCTTTGTCGTCGTCGCGAATTTCTCGCAATCGACTAGCAAATTTCCCCCCGGAAACAACATTGGAATCAACGTTTACGAAAACCATGTTCGTTTGCACGGTGCTTAAATCAACCGTGAATATCGTCGAATGAATTTTATTTATCGAAGAGGCAAGAAGGAAAGCTCTCCTGTGATCGTCTTTTAATATTGGAATCGTGTCTTGGAGAGCTACGAGCCCGGCCGCGCCAAGAATACCGGCTTGCCTCATTCCACCACCCAATACCTTCCTCGTTCTTCTCGCTTTGGTAACAAATTTCTTATTCCCGCAAAGAAGAGAACCCACCGGAGCACCTGAATAAAAAATAGTTGCCTCTCAAAAAAATAATCAAGTCCCTGCAAGTGTGGTTAGATAAGAAAGAAATAAAATCAACTGTTTTACAACTAATAGTTACGATACCACGATAAAGGCAGATTACACCCTCGAAGAGAAAAAAAATATACCTAAACCTTTGCTGAGACAGAAAGTAACGGAATCGAAGCCCGAAACGATCTCCTTCGCGGATATCTCTGATCCTACAGACGCGTTCCACAATCTTGCTCCATCCATATGTAACTTTAAATTGTGTTCATTGCAAAAAGTTACCAACTCCTCGATCCACCTTTGCGGAACAATCTTTCCGTTCAGTGTATTTTCTACAAGAACCAGTTGAGAGATTGGCTCGTGGTGTCGGTCTTTCCGGAGTTTAGATTTCAGTTCGCCAAGATCGAACGTGCCATCAGAATTGTTCCGCAATGGTCTAAGACTTACTCCGGCGATTTGCGAAGCACCGCACTGCTCGTGTAGCAAACAATGCGCGGCATCACCGCAATACGCCTCGCAGCCACGCACTTCGCAATGATTCATTACTGCAATTTCATTAGATCTCATCATTTAAACGAATTAAACGACTGTTTCCTTAAATAATCATTCCTAAACTAATCGTACAATCTTTACGTAAATCTTACGTAGCCTTAAGTCCCAATAACCACCCTCATGATTAAAGAATACAGAAAGTATTCTCTAACGTTTCTGCTTCTCTTTTGCTTAATTTATTATACGTTTAATATGTTATACTTACTAGCAATTAAATTACCCATAGTTCCGGAGGATACAAATATTGCAGCTTCCATTCCGACCATTTCAGCTGCTTTTTCTTCCAACTCTAAAAATTTGATTACAAAGATATCAAAATTATAGAAAGATATGTTAATATAAATATCAACTTTTACATTATTACACAAAACGTTTTACGTTTATACATGATAGCTTACTTTTCAATGTTGGATCTTCTTCGAAAACATCATCTCCGACTTCTGCATTAAACATAGCTTCTCTCATTCTTTTAGTTGGTTTTGTTAAAGTATCGCTTCGAAGATCAACGACTACTGCCTGTAAAAACATTTATCAAACGTATAAAGGTTCGTGATAAAGTGTTGATCGTTTAACAGGTTTGTATATTTACTTTTACATTTTCATTAGAAATCAAATTTGAACGACTGCTCTCCTCGTAATACATATTCGAATTATGAAACTGCACACTTTTTAAATACAATATATTCAAGCAATGGAAGACTGTAATAAAGAGAGTTTATTAATACAGTAAATGAGCGAATTACAAATGATACTAATCAGTACCAGTTTGTACCAAGCAACTACAGTTTCTAGATATAGTTCATACTAGATATTTCCTAGATAAAAAAATTGACATTTTTACATGACTGAGTTAGATAACTATGTACCTCTCCAATCATGCTTATTGACTCGGAAGCATAATCAAGGTAAATTCAAATAGTCAAATCTATTCGAATTTTTTTCTCGAATGTACGTAGGATTTCGAGGGTATGTCTATTGACCAAAAATGATTCTAATTAACCACCGCGATCGAGAATAATTTTTCCAGAATGATTTGAAATATTTTAATATCTCGTACAGAAATGTTCGCTTGAAATTTCATGCGTATGTTTAAAACATAACTTCTGAACGGATCGGGGGATTTTAATGTTTCAAAATGCAAACAACGCGTATTTCGATGAAGAATATGTAGAAATTCTATATATATCTACATATAAGTATTCCATTATTTCAAATAGTAATTCTTTAATTTTATTTTGAATTATTAACCATATCTACCAACTAACGACCCCCGAGCCAATCAGCAGCCAGTTAAGCTCCGGATTGGCTAACAGTCGTCCCAATAAATTGCATAAATACTGAGTCCCCTGTCGCGCCCGCGGGAGACGTCCCTCAACCCCCGAGCAAGACGGGCGGATAAGGGGGACGAAGAATATCATTAAAGATTTGCATTCAATCAAGATCGAAAATGGTCAAGATGCTGCAAAAAGAGACAACCCGGGGTTTCTTTGAAGATGAAGAAAATTACATTTTCTGGAACTCTGAACTCTCCTAATAGGAAACAACTCTGACAATGGACCGAACATCTCTGATACGGAATAACTCCGAAATAAAACTATAGACAAAAGATATACAAATACAAATTCAATTAAATATTAAATAAACATTCTTTGTTATAAAATTAAAGAATCATTATTTGAAATAATGAAATACTTGGAAAATAAATCGTCTGGAAATAATTTCTAAAGTCTCACTTGATAAACTATATTCAAACGATTTATTTCCAAAGTTTTGTATTATTTCGAACAACAATTCTTTAATTTTATAACAAAGAATGTTTAGACCACACGAACTACCAGTAGTATTGATTTTTTGTTTCAACGAACAGCTGAGCGATGCCGAGCAGTGCTGCCCTCTGGTAGCTACCGGCAGCTACTGGTAGTTGGGTTGTTATTTTTCCACTAATGTTCTACTTAATTCAATTACTTTGAACTTTCTTTCTGTCACTGTACAGGTCTAACATAAAGGTCTAACTTTCTATCTAACTATTATCTAACTTTGCATGATAAAATAATTGAAATGTTTGTAAAACAATAAGGTGCACGTTACCGCTCAATGGAAATCACAGGAAGTTGATGGACTTCTTCTATCAAAAATCATTATTTATTTGTAACATTACCACACGTCGTAAATTAAAACGTCCACATTCGTCTTGCTTTTTTTTTTTTAATCCCCTCTAAATTCATTTCTGCTGTTCACGCAACAAAATTTTATATTTAATTGTTGTTCTTTAAAAACTTGAGTCTACAGTCTGAAGTACCCAGTTTGAACTCCGGTCAGCTAAGGCTAGGTTTGTAACGACGCAAAGTGCGAAAACAATGGCCGATTTCTAATACCGATGTCACCGAACTAAACATAATTATTCCTTATTTCTGACAATTGTTGTATTTAATAAGTTATCTAAGAGGTGATAAAAATGTACCAGCAATCGATTTACGAAATGGCATATAATGGCAAAGTTGGAGAAGTTAAGCATCTTCTGGCCGAAAATGAGAAACTAAAAACAGCCAAGGATGACGTAGGAATTCTTTGTTAAAAATATTTTTCGTGTTATGTTGTGATTTTAAAAAGATGTTTTTTTTTTAGAATGGACGAATGTTAATTCATTGGTCAGCACTTGGAGGTCATGATGATTTGGTTCGGTTTTTATTGTCAATCGGAGCACCGGTAGATCCTACCGACGATGTACGTATGTAAATATTTTCATTCGTGACAACAAAAAGCTCAACTGACAAGCGTAGTAATTTTACTGTATTAGACCTTTTTAGTGTATAACATGTTTCTTCATTTATGATATTATTAGAAAACTTACGGAATTTTGTTGGATGCACATATAAGCACAATGCATAGCATGTTGAAACACCAAAGGTTTTGATAAATAGCTGAAAAAACAATAACGAAGCAACTATAGACTAATTTACTTTTTAAGGAAGTTGTTTGATTAAGCAGATCAATTAATGAAATACCTCAATTTTGATATTTAGATGGACATGACGCCGTTAATTTTGGCAGCATCAGCAGGTTGGGATAAAGTTGTTAGTACCCTACTAACAGAGGGTGCAAATGTTAATGCTAAGACTCAAACTGGTCATTCGGCATTACAATACGCAGCATCGAAAAACTGGATATCTATATGCACCGAATTGCTGGAAAAAGATGCAGATGTTAATATAGTGGACAACTATGGTGCTACTCCATTGCACAGAGCTGCATCAAAGGGCAATACCGCAGTTGTAGAACTTCTCATTGATAATGGAAAAAATTTAAACATTGGTTGATAGATACTTTACTATATTCAATTTTTCATTTGTATAATAATGATCATTCTTAATTAAATTTGGGTGAATTATCAAGACACGACAAGTATTTTAGTTGATTCTAAATAATAAATTTGATTCGATATTGTTAGTTCCATAAAACATCAGATCACTGTATAAGTAATGTTATATATTTATGTTAACTTTAACCACAAGTTTTCCTGATCGCGTTCCATCCGTATGCACCGGTTCGGTCGTACACTATTTTATATTAGTATATGTTAGGTTTTGTATTTAAAAAACAGAAGGCTTTAATCTTTTCTAAAAAGAAATATTTCATTGTTTGCAATTAAAATGTTTGATTTTGTTTAATCTCGCCAATTCATAATACGCCTATGAAGATACGATAAAAATGGGCGAATATTTTTGTTTAAAGTCCTTCCGATTCTTTTCAGATGTTAAAGACATTTCTGGCAACACTCCGCTGCATTTAGCTTGCGAGGAAAATCGCGTCGACGAAGCTAAACTATTGGTCCAAAACGGTGCCAACGTGTTATCGGTAAACAAAGAGGAAAAGACTCCTTTGGATCTTGCACAACCAGGGCTGAGACGGCAACTGAAATAAATAAAGGACATTGCATCGTAAATAATGAAGCGAAGTTCTAATGTCATTGGTTCAGTGGTGTTCAATTTCTGCCTCTTTTTAAAATCACAAGGCAAAATGTTCTTGAACTGTTCGTATCATGGAATATATTTTGATGAAATGAAATATGTATATTAATAATATATTAAATTTTTATTTCATCAGTGCTTTTATTAAATTAGGTCAGAGGTAAATACTTCTAATGTATATGTTTAAATTGGTAACGAGATCGACAGTATGGCAAATTATATAATAAGCACTTGAAAATATACAGAAAGCGAATGTGATCCAAATGTTTAAATCTTGGGATATAAATTTTTTTTTTCTCGCATTTTCTCATTTCAATAACATTATAGCATTTATACTTCCGTTATACATAGGTATAAATAATGCTAAACTAATAAATAATCGTATTGCTTTATTCGTAAATCTGTTTTGTATTGAACTTTTTTTTGAGACTGTAACTTATTTAATTTTGAAATTTTTTTCCAACAAATAATACTATATTAGTAATTCATTAACCGCTAAATAAATAATCAATTGAATATCACTGACCGAGTAACAATACTTCTTATCGTTCAGTTTTCAGCATTTATTATGCCTTCCTCTCAACATGCCTCAGTGTCATTAATGTTTGATTCGTATCTATATAAAATGTATCAAAAAAGTTTATTATTTCGCTGGTCAAACCTTATTTAACTTCCTACTGCTCCCTTCCATTTCTTTTATCACTTTTTTTCATGCTAATCCATTCCAAACCATGTGAAAACTCGGTATTCTTAAAAAGACGGATGATATCGCTTTGACTTCTGAAATAAATTGTTTTAAATAAAACGCACCAGAAATCGAGAGTCGACGCCCTCTGCGCTTATTCGTATGAACATTACAGCGACTCACGAACAACGCAAGATAATTACATTTTTATTCTCGTTCAAAGAAATTTTGGATGATTCATAAAAAATATGTTTATTGGAATATTAACTATATAATTAGTCCTGGTAGATTCCTCTACCTCGTTGACTATTTTAAGTAAATGTTATTCTCTTTCAAATAAAAATATCGTTACTTTTAATACATAAAAACTTTTAATAATCTTAAACTGTCTAAGTCTGCTGTAACTGAATTTAAATAAATAAAAGTTATATTAAACTTATCAACCCTTTTACTGCAGTGTGCGTGTAACTGACTGGCTCGTCCAGATTTTAACGAACTTGTTATGGGATCCAAGGTTTATTCCTGATGGAATACCTAATGAAACACCTTGTGTATAATAAAATATGGTAGTAAAATACGGTCGAATATATTTGGAATATTCCACTCGCTTGGTATACGTAAATAATCGTCCCATTTTAAAAATGTATTTTGAACTATAAGTAATGTAATTTTACTTTGTTCTTTTCATATAATCGAGTGATGTTTATCACGGTTATTTACATACACCGAACGAAAGTAATTTTTCAAACATTGATCCTATAAAATTCATCGAAGTCCGAACGAGTCAGTTCTGGCTCTACTCAAATTCATTCAAGTTGGTAATAAAAATAAAGCTATAGTTATTACAAGTTAACAGAAAAAAAGATCACGTAAAGCGTGTGGATTTTTCAACTTTACGTGACACGAATGTAAATATTCAAATTTATTTAGTACGCAGCAAAAGGATTAAATAATAGAAATTAGTTTATCGCTATCAATATACACTATTTTAAGTAATTAAAAGCAAAAATTAACGGAAAAACTGAACGGATCTAAACCATGGATATATTCAAGATATTCGTTGGTTCAGTATAATATTTACGAGTTTTAAATTCTTTTTACACTAATACGCAACTAATTGACAATGAAAATAATAATTATACTATTATATTATAAATAGTTAATAAAGTATATTTTTTATAATCAACCAAATTTTCAGAAGAAATGAAATATCTTTATGTAAGAGGTTGTCAATGTTTTAGTGGTGATTTAATCGTATGTATGTTGTAAAGAATTCTGAGACTCGGATATTCTTTTTACGTTTTCGAACCAAAAAGGGTACGAATAAAAATCTTTTAAAGTTTTCAATTTCGATCTACCAACGCATCGTCGACGTTCACGTTATTCATCTCGACAGACATAATCGTTACAGTATCCCTTCTCTATTCATGACGTAACTTACTTATTAACTAAATCTGTAAAAAATGTATATAACGTTCATTACATTTATTTCAAAGATTTTTCAGATTTAATTATAATAGTTACGTGGAGAAAATAATGATCCGCGATGTATCAAGTGGCAGTTCAGTTATGAATTTGAAAAGACCGACTAAAAAAATCACTAGAAACTTATTTAGCGTAAAAAAGACCAGGCCGGTTTTGCCCATATACAATCGTTTAGTCGTATCAAAATATATTACAATCCTGAATAGATATATTCAGAGTTGTAATATGCATACAAAGTGTTTCAAAATGATGAGACAAATTTGAAATCCGAGACTTCGTTTTTTAGACGAAGCATATGAAGCTTTTACGCGCGAGAACATCATGTACATTTGTTTCTCGTATGTAAAAGTTTCAACTGCTTTTGATTAATTTTTCCAAGTGAAATTTGCATATTTTGGCTTGACTCATCATCGATACAGTGTATAATAAAGCGTGTTACATACAGGGAACAGTAATAAAGTATAAAGATTCTTATTATTTCCACATGATCATTGGTTGCAATATTTCTAGATATTTACACATCAAAACCAATCGTTAGACTTTCTACATGTATAGTCGACTTTGTTGTTTAATCGTTTAAAAATGTATAATAATGTAAAAACTATGAACAATATTGTTCTCAGTACAAACATTGTTTCCTGCGTGCAACACACTTTACAGAATACATGCTCTGTGTATACAGGGTACGTTGTTAGAAATCCTAATACAACCGAGATAGTTTCTTCGTGCAAAAACAAATTATAAATTTGAAATAAAATTTGTTCATACTAGGCTTCAATTTTGAAAATTCGACATACGATATACGTATACATATATATATATATGAATTGTTTACAAGCCAAGGGGATTAACTCCACTATTTAAAAACTTTTTAAGATTCTTTTACTCTTCACAAGGCTGAACTCGATGAACCTTTGAAATTAGATTTTTCGAAGACGAAGACAAGTATGAAAGTATTTTAATTTAAATTTAATTTTATTTTTACACGTCTCTTTTTCCGGTTGAATCATGATTGCCGACGTACTTTGTACATGTGTACACATGTATACGCGTAATATGTATAATAATCGCCTATTAAGCCTCTTTGTCCCCAAGTTCAAAGCCAGGAATACTAAACAACGATTAAAACGTCGATGTAATAATTGGACTTTATTTTGTACGTTTGATTTAATTCCAAATGTTATTAACAGACTTATAAAAAGAATAATTTTTTTTATTTCGAAGTTTAGCGTTTACTTTTGGTCAAATCTGGGCAAAAAGAGGTTAAAGATGCGTTTCCATCGAATGCATAAGAAATGCATATGTTGTAAAAAATGCACGTATAAAAACTGGTTGTTTCTTCTCCCCTTCTTACTCACTTTTATTTTGCGATGTCCAAAAATTTCACTTCGAATGCATCGAATGATACATTGGAATATCGCTTTTTTTTTTATTAAATGTAAGTAGCGGAATTAAAGTACTTTCTTGAGAAAAAATTTAAGAAACCTCAACGTGTTCGTTGATTTAGAAATGTTGATCTTTGTCTTTACCATATTTGCGAGTTCATGCATGCAAACAACATTGTCTCGAGAACTTTTACGAGCTTTTTCGGGACACTTGAAATCAAGTCGTATAAAAACGAAAGAGTTTTTGCTGTACGATCCGATTTTAAACACCAATTGAAATACTTCGATCGCCGGTTTCCGGTTCGTTGCGACAAGTAAACCAATTCGTTCGAAAATAAATGAAAGACCAAGAAAAACAAAACTGATAAACTTAAACAACGCGTAAAGAGTAAAAAAGTACCCTTTTTTAAAGCAGTTCCTCCGTATGCAAGGTACTTAACCATATAACTTCCGGACCTTTGAATATACTTTGTATTATGAAATAGATTGTCTTAAAAAGAGCTTCGAATCTTTCGATCGGATATTTCTATTATTTCATAATTGTTAGTGTTGTTTTAAAACTTGCTTCTTTTCGAACACTTCGAACGACAGAAGGTACGTCTAGACCTTTTCAGTTATTGTTGTTATTGTAGTTTCGATATCTCGTAACGATACCTGAATCGCCCATCGGTTCCTTGATTATTAAAAATAACCACAAAGAACGTGTACTATTCTTCGCGATAAAAATAAAAACTGTGATAATAATAATAATAGTAATTAATGATATAACTATAATATAATTATGATAGAATTAATGCTGCCTAAATGCGGTGTTACTTCGTTATTGATTATGCAGCCCCAATAATATATATTTCTAGTCTGAATCTTACCCGGCGAAGTAGTAGCATTTTTTTATTTCACGAAAAAATGACGAACACGGTCTAGAAAAAGTATGCGATTATAAAAAAAAAATTCTTAAGATAAAGCTAGTACAAAGTATGGCATCCCAGCACTGTTAATACCCAGTGACAGTAACGTTAGAGTCCTCGTTAGAATTTACCCTTAAATCTCTTTCGTTGAACATTATTATCGTTGACGACGCGGATCTTTGATAAACCTGTTGATTATAAATTTAAAATAAGTATTATCGCGTGTGTCTCTCATTGTTTCATCGTATCGTAGATAAGGTTCGTCATTTCTTGTGTAGTTCCGATAGAACGAAAGTAAAATACTACTCGGTACGGCCCTGCCGGATCTCTTATGTACAGAAGAAAGCCGTCTTCGTCTAATGGTATCGTTGGACGCGTAAAATTCGTCTTCCCGATCTCGAGAAAGCGAGTTCATTGTTTGGAACTCGATTTTCGTCGAAGCGAGTGTCGCGTGCACCTCTTGGACCTTGGTTTTTTTTTATTGATTTCCTGCGTTGTGAGAGTTCAATAAGTGGCGTGTTCTTTCGTTCAGTTGACAGTTTCCTCACCATCGATGCTTTCGTCCTGCGTCGTCGAATCGTCGCCGGAGCCACCGGTTTGAACGGAACCACGTTTCAGACGCGTCGAACTAAGGCTTATCGGAGGCCCACCTCGTCTGTCGAATAAAATAGAAAGTAATTTTTAATCGAATATCAAGATGTATCGGAACAATAAAAAAACAATGCTTGACAACAAAGACTTTTAAAAATATTTTAAACACTGTTTCTCAGTTGTACAAACACCAGCCGCAACGCCATCTTGTTAGCTTTTTTTTCACTTAAAAATTCTATGACTAAAGCAAGCTCTATTAATGCAAGTTTTAAAATATCGCGGCACCATTGTATCCAGGTCAATGTGCTCGATATAAATTGCAAATAACGAACAATTTTAGAGTATTAAATATAACTTAATTGATAAACTAACCAGGACTTATGGGATTCTTGAAATCCAAACAGTTTTTTCTGTTTGCAACGTTATTTTCATGTGCTGTATCAACTTTTCTTTTTTCCTTGACGCCTAAATATTTGAATACATGAATAAGAATTCCTTGTTTCTCAACTAATCTTTCAATAATAAGAAGCAAGTAACATCAAACCCTAAACATTTTACAAAATCACTTCTATCTAGAAATCTTATTGTCTCTGTAATTCTATACTATTTAAAAGGTTGAAACGTAATGATAAATACCTTGTTTACATAATCGATTAGACGCAATAAAATAATCGCCGATTCTTACCTTAATTTGTTTTTAAGGTTTGCGATCTCTCTGGTTAGCTCTTCCTGAGATTCTAACATATCGTCCATTTCTCTCTGTGCTTTCCTCTTTATAGCTTTATGCCTGCTGATTTCTTCTTCCGCTTCATCGAGTTGCCTCTTCAAAGCTTTCATTCTTGCGTTTACTTTCTCCGCTTGTTCCTTGTATTGGTCGGAATTTCTTCTTTCATCTTCCAATTGTAAACTTAACTCCTTCAATTTTTTCTCTAACTTTCTATTAATCTTTTGCTGTGCAAATCTCTCCTTAGCTTCGGTTTCCAATTGCTTGTCAAGATTATTGATCTTCGACTCTAATTGTTGCATGGTAGCTTTTGTCTTCGCCCTTTGAGCAGTCTCCAATTCCGTAAGTTTTGCTTTCAGTTCCTTGTTCTGTCTTTCCAGCAACAATTTATGCGATTCCAATTTCTGCGTAGTCGACCTCTCGGTCGTCAGATCGTTCGTCAGTTGCTCGATAGTTATTTGAGCTTTTCTAGCTCTGTCCATCAGCAATTCGCCATTGGACTGCTCCTCTTCCAACTCTTCCTCCAACGTTGCGATTCTAGCTTCTAGTCTTCGTTTCTCGTCCAACATCAACGTACCTTTGTTAGCATTGTTATTAAGTTCCTCTTGTAATTCATCTCTCTCGTTCTCCGCAGCTCTTCTTGCTCGTTCGCTGCTGGCAAAGTCTTCGGTCAACTGCATCAAATCCGCCTCTAAACTTTTCACTTTTCTTTCAGTTTCCTTAGCAGTTGCAGCGAGTTCATCCCTCGCGGCTCTGGCCTCTTCGGTTTCCCTGGTGCAATCTTTCATCTGCGCTTGAAGTTTCTTCAACTGTTTCAACGCATCCTCTTTCACTTTATTATGCATCTCCAATTGCTGTTCGATGTCTTTATAATCCGCCTCCATTTTCTTCCGTTGCGCAATAGCGGCGGCTCTTTGTTTCCTTTCGTCCTCCAATTCTGCTTCAAGATCGCGTAACTGTTTCACCAATCCTCTTCGCTTTTCCTCAGCCTGTTCCTCTTTAGTCTGCAAGTCTCGCTCGAACTGAGCTCTCAAAGCTTGCATGTTCACTTCTAAACGCAATTTCGCGTCCTCGGTGAACTGCAATTCGTCTTCGAGCTCCTCCACTTGGGAACGTTGCTCCGCTAATTGGGACTCAAGGGCACGTTTTGCCTTCTCGAGTTCGTGCACATTTTTGTCCGCTGTTCCTTGATTATTCACGAGTTCGTCGAGCTCCGACTGCAGACCTCGGCGAACGCGTTCGAGCTCTTCGACTTTTTCATTCATCTCGTCAAGTTCACGAGTCAAGGACAGCACACGAGTCTCTTTTTCACGAGCTTCGCGTTCAGCAGCGTCGCGTTGTTCCGCATATTGTTCAGAGACCGCTTTTTCTTCGGCTAGGACCTTGAAAACGATAACGACAACGATAGATATTAAGACGTAACAAATTTTAGACATCTATTGCATTAATTCTACTACTATACTGTATGGGTCGCTAGAACCAAAACATCAGATCATTATTTGTGCATCTCAAAGACATGGGAATAATGTAAAAAAATTGGCTGAAACGTTCCCTTATCTAGGACCATTAAAATTGTGCTTTGTAAATTTCCCTTGCAATTAGAAACAAATTAGATAATTAATGTTCTGGTTCCAGTGAGATTCTTATATAAAAAATAAAACCCTATGGGCCGATCCTGCGCTAGTTACAGTCAGGGCTCAAACTTTTCCAGAAACAGTTGCTTTTATAAAGATTCTAAAAACGAGTTTAAGTTTACATATTTATTTCACAATTTATAAATGTTGCTCTAGCGCGAGACCGATCCTCGGGACGACAACAAATTACCTACGTACAATTTTAGAAATAAATAATTAATAAAGATAATAATATTAAAAACTCACAGAAAATTCCTCAAACTATTGTTAATAATAAAAAAGGTAACAATTTTATTAATCTTCAATCAATATAACATTTAAGCATAACAGTAACTACTCCGCCATAATTATTAAATAACGTCTAGATTGTCAGGAAAAAATAAATGATTATTGTAATTCTGATAGTAAGTAATAGAATATAAAAATAAACCTAAGAAAAAGAATGTCGAGTAAAAAATAATTCAAAACTAAATAGTGTTATTTCTAACATTTTCGACGCATCGATTATATTTCGAGCACTATTAATGTGAAAAATTTTGTAAAATAATAACAAATTAAATTAATAATTATAATATTTATAACTTTCAAAAATTTTATTTAATTTTTCAAAACATGCGGTCAAATTGAAATATTAAATAAAATACCTTGTCGAAATTTTTCTGCTTTTTCTCCAATTCCAACACCTTGGCTCTTTGCGTTTCGAGCTCGATAGTGCTGTCTTCCAATTCCGCCTGAATTTTCTTTTTCGATTTATCCAATTTGTCGTTAGCGGCTTGCAATTCTTCAACTTGTCTTTGAAACGCTTCGATATCTTTCATACACCTTTTTCTAGCTTCTTCCAACGCCGTGGCAGCTTCAGCCTCTTCTTCAGCCTTCTTCTTAGCTTCTGCTAATTGTACATTTAAGCAAAGGACCTATTTAAAATAAATATGCGTATTAAACTTGTTATTTCCACACGTTATACCTGTTTGATCTATTATTAAATTGAAAAATTTAATCAACAATCTTACATGTTTATCCAAGGCTCTCTTCGCCTCCTCTTCCTCTTCCAGCTGATCGTGTAGACTTTCCTTTTCACTCTCCAGTGTTCTTAATTTCGAACTCAGGGCTAACTTTTGTCTCGTTTCCTCTTCAAGTTGCTGCTGAAGTTCCGTGAACTGAGATTCGCAAGTCGCCGAAGCCTTCAACGCCGCCGAAGCTTTCAATTCTGCTGTTTCCAGTTGCTGCATGATACTCTCGGATTCCTGTTGCAATTTTGTCACCCTCTCCACCAATTCCTGTCTGTTTCTTTCGATCTCAGCCAATTTTGCGTTCACCTCGGCCAGTTGCTGTTCAGCCTGTTTCCTCCTTCTATCAGACTCTTGTCTGCTGGCGCTGACAGACCTAAGTTCCGATGCCAGATCAGCATTTTCAGCCTCGAGAGTTGCTTTCGCTTTTTCCAACACGGCTTTAGTCTTCTTCAAAGCATCCATTTGCTCGTTCAGAGCTGTCAATTCCTGCGTATGTTTGTGACGCGTGTCGGCCATTGTTGCCTCATGAACAGACGTCTCTTCCTCCAGGTTCTTCTTCAAAGTTGCCAATTCCTGTTCCCGTTTGCTTCTCAATTCCTGTTGCGCGGCAGTCGTGTCCAAAGAATCCAACAGTTCGTTCTTCAATGCTTCTAATTCTTCGTTCAGGTCGCGCTTCAACTTCTCCGCTTTGCTTCTCGCGGCTTTCTCCGCTTCCAAATCTTCCTGGAGTTCAGCCAACTGAGACTCCAGTTCGCGCAAAGCTTTCTGGGCTTGAGCTTTCGCTGCTCCTTCCTCGTCCATCTTCGCCATCACTTGATTTAATTCTTCCTCTCGTTTGCCAAGCTGAAGTTGAAGTTCCTCCACCTGCGCCTTCCTCTCCGCAAGTTGTTCTTTCAAATCTGACACCTCAGTTTCTATTTTCCTCTTCGATCTATCCACCTCTTGTCTTTGCTGATGATCTTTCAACAATCTCTCTTCAAGATCGGCGATCGTTGCTTCATGTTTAGCTTTCAATTTCGACAAATGTTTCGCTTTCTCCTCCTCCTCCGCGAGCGTCTGCGACAAATCGTTCGCCCTCTCCTCCAGAATTTTCTTCTCTTTTAACAACTTCTGATTCGTATCGTCGGAAAGCGCAAGGTCCTCTTCAAGTTTCTTAATTTTCGCGTCGCATTGAACCTTTTCCAATTGCAACTTTTGCCTAGCGGCTTCCTCCTCCTCCAACTGTTCCTCAAGATCGCTTATGTTCAACTGCAATTTCTTCTTCTCTTGAGTCAACGCGGCGCTTCTTTCCTCCTCCTCCTCTATTCTCGCCTCCAAATCGTGAAGTATTTCTTCCAGTTCTTGCTTCCTCGCGGCCAGCCGTGCTCTCATCTCTTCCGCCTCCGCGCATAATTCAACCTCAGCCTGCAATTGCTCCGCCAGCATAGTTTTCTCCTCGACGGCCAACTGATACTTTCGTTCGTACTCTTGGGCAGAATGTAACTGCGACTCCAACTTGTCCCGCACTTGTTTCAGCTCGTCCTCCTTTTGAGTCAGCTTCTCTTCTTGCTTGGTCACCTCCAGAAGCGGCTTCACTTTCGTGTACAAACGCCACCACTGCCAGTTTCGAAGCTTCAAGTACGCCGCGCAGTTTCTCTGAATGATTCTGATGGCGTTCAACTGCTGCAAACGTTTCTGATAGTTTCTACGCGCAAGGAAACCGCGACAAAATGCTTGGAAATTGACAATTATGTCGGTGATCTTGTAATCACGTTCCTCTTCGAGATGAGCCAACACTCCAGCGCGGAAGAAAATTTTCGACTGGCCGACGCGATAAAGATTGGGATCGAGCTCGAGAGCTTGGATCATTTTCTCGCAGGCCTTCTTTCCGTCCATGAATCCTTTTGGAATAGCATTCGGTGTGAGAAGTTCGTACCTTTGTCGAAACTCCTGGAACGGTATCCTATTTGGAAATCCTTGACGACAGATCCTGATCCCTTCCAGAACTCCATTGCACCTCAATTGATCTAAAACTAACGGCGCGTCGATCTTTCCAGCCCTTTTCTCGTGATTTGGTATAATGCATCTGACAAAATTCGGATTGGTGTTTCGAAGAGTGACCATTAATTTAGCCAACTGTTCCTTGTACAACTGAGAAACCGTTCTGAACATTCCTTTCCTTGTTCTTGCACCAAATTGTGTATCGGTTAACGCTTGCTGGGCCATCCCAACTATTTCAGCGTCTTTCCAAATATGACAGACAAAAGGATCCTGGGAATTTTGTAGCAGGCTAACAACATTCTCGTTCAGCGGATCCATATTCTTCATTAGCCATTTAGCGGCCGAGTAATCAACCTTTCCAGCGTAATGTATGATAGCAAAGTCTGCAACGCCCCTGAAGTCCGTTTTCATGAATTTCGGATGAACGGTATGAGCACCGACTAATTTCTCCACGAACGTTTTGTCCGTAGCTTTGGGGAACCAACATTCTTCGTTCAGCAGTGCCATGATACCTATTTCAAAATTAACACAAGTTTCTTCTCAGTTTATTGTTCTTTTAGTTACATTACAGAGAAGATTGGAGAGCGGAGTTTTTTGGGATTCTTAAATTTATGCAAAGGTATAGAGTAAAGAGCAAAATTGAACAGATATTAGAGTAATGATTCTGAAAATGAACCCCAGGCGTGATTTGTAAGTTGAACACTTACACCTTTCTCGACTGGGGGAGATCTCCTTTGGAGCCAGTGAAGCTTTTCTTCTCATTCATTTATAATGATGTTCACGTTAAAAATCATTATTTAATATTTCAAAAGAAACGAAAAAGAAACAAAGCAAACATACAAGTAGATCATCTCCGTTTACGTTTAACTGGGATAATAAGAACCATTTTCTTTAACATACCCATAGGTTTATCGATCAAATCGATCGTTGGTTGCAGATCTAATCCAAAGTCGATGAACTTCCACTCGATTCCCTCCCGCTGATATTCCTCTTGCTCCAAGATGAACATGGTGTGATTGAATAATTGTTGCAATTTCTCGTTCGTGTAATTGATGCACAATTGTTCAAAACTGTTCAGCTCGAATATCTCGAAACCAGCCATGTCCAGTATACCGATGAAACTAGCTCCTTGCCTTTTCGTTCGATCCAGGGATCTATTGATCCTGTTTACGAGCCACCTGAACATTCTTTCGTAACAAGCCTTCGATATTGCCTCCACCGCGAATTCAACTTGTTCCTTCGTTTGTGCTTTCGTCACAAAGTCTCTGCCTACCTTGATCCTCGGTTTCAAAAACGCTTTCGTCATTTCCGTGACACTCAAGCCGAGCAAGTGTGAAATTTTCTGGGCGACGGTGTTATCCGGCAACGTAGCTTGATCGGAATTTCTCTCTTGACGGAACTGCATCGAACCGAAAAGCATCACGGCGGACACGATACGGAAGATCGAAGAGAAATCTTCGTTCGTCATGCCCATGATATGCATGGATTTTACCGTTGAAAAGAATTCGGCCGAATCGTCCACTCCTGGAAACGGTAGCGCGCCATTCGAGAGGAAAGGATAATGCTTCGGGTCCTCTAAAATGAATTCCTCTGAAAAGATAGTTTAAGTATTAGATTTTCTTCATATCTATACAAGTGTATTCGGCCACACCTGGGAAAAATTTTAATAGGGGGTTCTAGAGGCCAAAATAAGACGAAAATCAAGAATACCAATTTGTTGATGGAGTCTTTGTTAAAAAGTTATTAACGTTCAAAGTTCCGACCTTACTGAATTTTTTTCTCGAAAATGCGCAGGATTTCGGGGGTATGTCTATTCACCGAAAATGATTGCAATTGACCCCCGCAACCGAAAATAATTTTTCCAGAACGATTTGAAATTTTTGAATTTAATTATTAATAACTTTTTAATTTATTTTTTATTTTAGCCTCTAGAATCCCTCATAAAAATTCTTCCAAGGGTGGCCAAACACCCTGTATAATAATTTCCGGTACTATTTTTGTCAGAATCAAGCTACGTAGCTGCTTTAACTGCGTTAGTAATACTTTTATTACAGCAACAGGGTTCGACGAAAGACTACTTGCTTTTCTGTTCCGGGGAAGCACCAGCGAGGAGCTGATAAAATATGTGGAAGGTTCTCTCGTCCTTCGCTTGTCGAATTGCTCTTGACTTTTCCAGGAGATAAGTTTCGATGTTTGCTCCGGCGATATAACCGGACGCGTCGAAGTTTATTCTGATGAATTTACCCTAAATTCAATAAACATTGTGTAATATTGATCGTTACGATTTAAAAAAATATTTAAAGATTCATGGAAAAAAAAATTCTGCTCGACTTACAAATCTGGACGAGTTGTCGTTTTTCACTGTCTTGGCATTCCCGAACGCTTCCAGAATTGGATTTGCTTGCAACAGTTGTTGTTCCAATTCACCCTATTACGAGAAATCATCACATTAATTGATACAAAGGATTGGGGAACATGTTTCAACTATAATATTGATACAGTCTGTTTATTCGGACCCGTTTTTCAACCACCTGGACAACCTGGACGTATTAGTAAGTAATTTTTATAATTTGTATTATTTTCTATTTAAAAAATTCGTGTATATTCTCTAACGATGAATAAAAAAGTGCTAGAAGACCCCCTTCCCCCCCAATTCAAGTACAGCGTATAACAATGGTGTCCTTAGTTATTTTTTATTGCGGAATTTGCACAGTGCGAGCAATGCAAAGGGTTTCTAAGTATAAAATATTTTAAACGAAACTATTATACTAAGCGAACAGTCGACAGTTCATTCCAGACCAAACTGTTTATACAATGTATCAAGCTGACAATCAAAGTATACCAATTTCTACTTTAAAATGACATATTCTTTTTTTACCCTGAATTCAAATAACAATATCGTCGCTGTTTATGTTTTACAAACGTGTCGATTACTATAGTTTCGTTTCAAATTAGAGATTTACACGAAAATAGCCAGAAATCCATGCAGAGCGATGTTTAAGCAATAAGCATTGGGAATAACATTAATTGAAAATAAACGAATAATGTGCGTCTTAACACTAGATCATCGGAGTCTTAAAAATTTCATATACCATACTTATAGTTACAGAACTTTATACACATATGTATACTGATTAAAGAGCTACGAACTATGACAAGGACGATACATAATGCATGGAAGACAAACGAGACAAAAATGGAGATTTACAATATTTAAATTGCTCTCAAACTATTCTTCCAACCGAGAACTCTTACGGGGCAGAATTTGACAATAATATCAATGTGGCAAACACAATAGCGAGATAACCATTTTTGGAAGAAATAGTTTCTACATTTATTTGTTCTATTTTGCTTGGATTCGTCGGTGCTTTGTTGTGAAACAAGCTATCCTCGATTTTTTAAATATTTCTCCACTTCGTATTTTACTATATGTACTTTTGATTCGTTCTTAGTTCGATGAACACTCGACAAAATCAGGTGATTAATTGTTTCTTCCTTTGCTAAATCCGCTTTTTCGATTCCTGACATGGCAAATCTGAGATGAAACCGCAATAAAGTTAACATAACTCTTATCCATTGGATTACTTGTGCCGTTATACTTAATTTTATCAAGAAAACTTAGGGTCTGTTAATTTAATACTATGTACTAGACTATTTGCAAGAATGCTACAATCGTTTTAATTTAGAATCTTACTAGGATAGCCTGCACATGGTAGTTCAATGGTTGAATGGTGGAAAGCAAAGATAAACAAGTACCCAACAATTTCAGAGCTTGCTAAACAATGTACGACAACACCATCAAACATTGTGTCAATTATATTGAACCGATTAATTGAAATTGTATCGAAAGATAAGAAAAGAACCATCTCTTGCCAGGAAACGTCGATACTTTCCATTTTCATATATTAAAACAGCATAAGAACATAATTTGTATTTAGGAACGAGTGGGAGGCCATTTTTAATTCTCAATTCTCAGGTTCTTCCAAAAACTATTCTACTTTTCTCCTCGTACAGAACAAGTAAAACAAAACACATAATAAAAAAGGAAAAAAGAAAACATAACATAGGTATATACGCATACATACATGATATAGAATACATTAATGAGTAATTTAATTAGATGACTCTCACATTAATTACCGCAAATTTATCAGAAACATTTCCGGATCCCTGAATCCAGTGAGCAGCGAGGAAAATAAAGGAAATTGTTACAATTGCAATCTACTTTCATTTTATTTTTTAAATATCGACTAGCAAGTAATTACGTTTAAACTATTCTTGTTAAGTTAAACGTCGGTTTGTTAGTTACGAGAATAAAAACAAATAAATACTGTTATTGCGAGTAACCTGGAATATCCCATTCAAGGAAAAGAACTACGGGCCTAATAAACAAAAACCCTAAAACGTAAACTTCCCACGTGCAAAATAATAATCGAGGACGGTTGACGAAATTATCGAGAAAGATTTCCAAAACCTGCAAGACGAAACAATTAATAAATCAAGCGATGGAAAAAACATAATATGGATACGAACAAAAAAAAAAATTATAAGGAAACGTAAAAGAAGCGGATAGCAGATGGTTAGCGTACATATCGCGTCAGCGGAATGTTTATCATTTTATTGTTGACTTACTATGATTAATGCCGGACTCGGTGTCTAGGTGTGTCGTGGCCGCCGAAAGTCAGCACCGGGAATAAAACAAGTTGCAACATTAAATTCGTCGGTACAATTCTCGTTCAAAAGTTAAACAATTTTTCTGGTGTACAAAATTAAAAAAAAAAAATCCATTTTTCCTTTTCTTTCGGTGTAAGTTTTTTCTTGTATTTTATCAGCAAACGAATATTTATTTACCGGGTTGATACTTTTTAAACGATATCGAATTTCGAACAAGTTCGCATTATCGCATTAAAAGCGAACATCACGACATTTCGATTATTCTTATCTATATAAGATCACAAGTTTCGAAGCGTTACGGTGAGTCAGAGCAGTGACAAAAATGATTTAAAATCGAGTTAGGCCCGTATGTGGATCGTTTCACTGAAGAAGGAAAGATCCTTCGAGAACCAGTGATCTACGATGGCCTGGTATAATTAATCGCAATCGGAACAGTCAGTGATCGACGATCGTTAGGTCGGCGTTGAATTTGCCAAATTATTTTTTAAAATGCGGTAACACGATTTTAATCAGACGATCGATCGAAAATTTTACATTAATCGATCTTCACTTTTAATAAAACTTAGATGGAATATAATCATAGTCGTTGACCATCCTAAAATGGTAAATAAAATATAAAAAAATTACGAAACGATTCGTTATTTGGCGCAACGAATAACTGAAATAGTCTCGTTTTCTTTTTAAACACTTTACTACGATAATTTATCGTCTTTTTCGTTCTTAAATTTTATCTGACTATGGAACTGTGGTTGGACTTCCGCCCTTTGTTATCGCGCATTACAATGATAACGCGTGCAACGCGTTGCACACAATTATTACATTGTCATCAAAACAGGAACAAGTTTTGATATTATTAAGTCTCGTGAAACGTGATTGTAAAAATCAAACTTTGGCACAACCGTAACAATCTATTTAAAAGATATCCATTAAATTTAGGAAGCAACATGCAACCAGAGAAAGAAGAGAAGAAAGTATTTACAGAAACTCTCATGCGTCGAATAAACTTTACAATGGCCTTCGTTATTTTCCAATCAATTGCAACAATATGTTATTACTATTATTATTTTAAACGTCTCTGATAACCTGTGCAACGAGGAATAGAATCTTACAAATATACAGAGTATCTCACGTGACCGGGAAAAGCTAAGTCTCTGAAATGGTTAGAGATACAAACAAAATGTTAAAAGGTAAAATTAAATAGAATTAAGCACAAACTAAGTACATAATTTTGTTCAATCCTATGTATCGGTGCATCTAAAACAGACACTGTATTCTTGTATTTTTTTTAAATGCATCAATGCATAAAAATCAATGTAATTGCATTCAGTTTGTGCATCGTTCAATATTCTTCCGATTTTCCTTATGACATTCTTTTGTATCTCTTGAAAGCAGCGTTTCCTAGTTGCATGGGACACACTCTGTATTTAAAAAATGTTGACAGAAGAAAAACTGAAATTAAAAACAGTACTTATTGCAGTATCACGAACTGACGAATACTCGACTCTCGTCAAAGGAGCTCCATTGCAAGTCGATGAAGATACAAATTGTAAAAATACAATTGCGACCAAGATTTACTGTAAACGCTTCAAAGAGTTATTAACTTACCGCGTTAGATTTTGGCTTCGAAGCAGCGACGTATGCCAGGTATTGGATAACTTTCTTCGTGTTTTCGGTTTTACCTGCGCCGGATTCACCGGTGCATAAAATCGACTGGTCTTCGCGATCTATAAATAATATTACGAACAGAAAAGAAGTTAATAAATACGCTCATAAGTACAGTAAACAAATTATTAATAATACATGGATTCGATGAATGATGGGAATAAACACTAACAAGGGTTATTTTTACTGTTTGTAGTTGGTAGCATTGGAACCGAGATATGAGGGGGAATACCCTCGGAGTACAGTGCCCTGTAATGTGTAATGGCGTTGTGAGGGTACACGTGAAGAGATATGTACGTTTATTATTAAAATTAGAAATAAATGTGTTTAAGTATAATAACGAGTTGTTTAGGATTACTGGCCTGAACCAAACACAATCCCAAACGCTGTAACATTTATTTAAACATGTTGTTCAATAAACAATTGTGCAAAATTGCGTAAAAATAGAAGCATGTGGTACATATACCGAACTTGATTACCTTGAAGCATAGAACGATATGCTGTATCCGTAATGGCGAAAACATGGGGTGGAACCTCGTGTCTCTTGATACCCTTGTACCTCTCCATTATCTTTTCCGTGTAAATTGGTAGCCTTTTGTACGGATTCACCACGACACAGAATAGTCCTGAATACGTCTGCAATCGTAGAGGCAAATCGGTAAATAAAGCCAGCAAGATAAAAAAAAAAATTTTTTTTTGGATCAGTAATGACGATTACACTACTCGATTTCGATCTCAGTTTTATGTAACTGTAGAAATAATAGTTAAAAAAAAAAAAAATATTTGGCGGGAGAGAAAGATACATGTATTAAATATATCTCTAATACGTTACGTGTATTTACGAGGGTTGATCGATAATTACGATCTTTAACAACGCCATTGTGGGAGTAATGGTAACATACACAAATAGCATTTGATAACCTCAAGCGTTTAGTTTAAACGTGCAAACTTTTAGTTTCCTGTGTAGCATCGTTGCGAAACAATGTCATTTATCGTGAGTTTGATCTCTCGATAGCGTACCAAACAACGATCGTTGATAGAATTTTTAACGTTGGAAAGTTTCGCCCTCTACATAATCCCGGTTGAACATCATCGAACATCCGGTTGTTCCGAAAGTTGGAAGGAGGTATTGAAAAGTCACATCAAATGTCAAAGTTCAAAGTCCTGTGCGTAATTGGATCAAGGGGAAATCAGAATGTTTCATTATCGATGGAATGAAAAAATCTGTTGCATTAAATGATTATGTAAAAAATTAATATATACGTTTCAAGTATAATAAATATACTTTGTATATTTTGAGATCAGTTTCTCGTATACATGGCATGTATCGAACAGGGGATGGTCGTTGCAAGAGTTCGTTAATACCAGTATTACGAGCAGTGGAGAATGTTTAATGTATTCCATAGGTGAACAGGGTTGTTGATAGAGTGAGAATACAGGTGGTAGGAATCTGGAAAAGCGGAATAAAAAGTGAAAAATGAGGTTAGACGAGACGGTGGGCAACATACAGCACACAGTGAGCCAATAGGGCGGTATGTAAGAAAGTCAACATGGAGCCATCTGGCGGGAAACGAAGATATTTGGCGGGAAAGGGCGAGAAGCAAAGAAAGGCAGATAAAGATGGATTCCAGAAATTTTACAAGGGTCGAAGACACGAAGAGAACACTATGAGTAGGGAAACAGGCCAATGAGTCGTAGAATAAAAGGATAAAGAGGAAGACAGCAATTCGTATACTATGTATGTAAAGTTTGCAAATAATTAACGAGATTTACCTCACACGAGTTGGTACTTTAATCATCGATACTTCTATTAATTAATCGTAGGTTACGAGCAACGAAATACCTACATGCTTTTTATTCCACGTTTAGAGGAATCGTTGTACAGGCTACATCATATTTTACAGCGCGCTGTAACTTTTACTTCAAATCTTTCCTTTCGACTTCGATGAATAATTTACGAGTCAAACGGAAGGAAAAGTCAACGGTATGCGTCATCGTCTGAGAAAGATGAGCAAGCGGATCGGTTTACACTTAACACAAATTCATGGCGGTGTGTAACCATGAAAAAATGTCGAGCAGGAAACGAGCAAGAGGAATTTATACAATTCTTTCCATAATTCATTTTTCGATTAGATGTCTACGAAGAAGCACAAAGGGTTCGTTTTATCCCATGTAAAAGTTAAAAAATAAATTACGGAAGTGTAATTTAGGGCCATTGCTGAAACTATTTAAAATTAATACCAACGTTTTATGGAAGGATAATTTTTACTTTCCAATAATTCTGTTTCCATTTGTGGCAAAATGTTAACTGCATGTTGTTTCATGATTCATCGTTTACTTTCAATATTAAATTTAACTGATTTTTTTGTAGGATAAGGAAAGGTAATACTTTTCTCGGACATGCTTAATTCGATTAAATCGCTCGATCAAAGGAAAGAAGTTGTTTAGCTTTTTTTCTACAAGGCAGATGAACCTAAACGAGGTCGGTCAAAGTCTCGATGCAAAGTAAAGATCCGCGGATATTTTGTTTCCTTTTTTTAAACAGAACTCTCTTCTCGAAGGTCTCCAAAACCGGTCTCTGAGAGTGTAAGTATTGTCGACCTATCTAACATTCCTGGTTGCCAGTGCTCACTAACAATGACTCGAAAAAACTAACATTATTTTCCCCGACAATTTATAAAATTTTCCTTTTTACGCGGTAGCAACAGAACGTTATCGAATCTTTTTCTGAAACTTACAACGTAGATCTTATTTTTACATTAAAAAAAAACAATAAAAACAAAACGATAATACTTTGCTTTTAATAATTACCGGTTAGCAAGTTTTCAAGTTATTAACCGTTAAGGTTGGCTACGTGTGCAGAAATCCTTAGTAATTGTAGCGTACTACAATGCGTTATTTTCTGCACAATTTATCATGATTAAAACACACGCATCGAATCACGATACTCGCTATTACACACGCACAGAAACAAGACTTCAAAGTGTTCGTGCTCGATTACGTTTCCAGAATTACGTAGCATATTTTTACTTCACAAAATTAAAAAAAATACAAAAACAAAAGTCATGACAAATTTTAACGGTGGTAAATAATTAATTTGTATTATAAATTTTATTTTTCTTTCTCTTTCTATATTTAAATGTTTCATTGGTTATCTTCTATCTTACTGTCTGTATTTGTAATCTTTCTCTTCCGTTTTTTAGGACCTCGTTGCTCTTTCCGTCGAAGGGTTTGCCCAGCGAATAAACAAATGAATAAACAACGAAAACAGATCGCTTTTGATAAGTTCTTCTCGGATGTTCGATAAGAAAAAGGTGGAAAGCATAAGCTTGTATGACGAAATTACGTACTCGATCAATCTATCCCGGAATCTGTGCGATTTCGTCAGAGCAGCGGTTTCTTTCCTAAAAAGACCGAAACTACGTCTTGACTATAAAAGGCATCATGTCTTCAGTGAAACTGCCTCTTTCTCTTTTCCTCTTTTACTTGTCATCGGTGTAGTACATCGAGTCAGCGTTTATGGTATCGTAAGGAAGCGGGTTAAGGACACTCGTCCTTATAAGGACTGTTGCTTGATCGTTCTCATTCTCTTCTCTTTTAAATTTCTTAGATCGAAACGTAACAGTTTCTCTCCTCACTTCCCATTTAAAGTAATTTCCTTTCATTCGATCACTTTATACATTAACTATATATATATATCAACTTGTACTTCTATTTTACGTTAATTTGTAATTTATTGATTAGTTCAAAAATGAAAAACCTGAACAGTTCTGGTAATTTAATTTCGTTTTTTGATACGTGGATGTATTTATTATTATTATTACTCATTCTGTCAACAGTTTTACGACGCCATGGAGGTTGTTAATCTTTGGAATTTGGAAAATGTAAAATCATGAAGTCGACCAATATACGACTCGAATATATGCTTCCAACACCAATCACAAAAGTGAAAAGCCTGAACAGCTGCGATATATTTCAATTCTGGTAATTTTCATGCAAAAATATTAGTACTAACTATAGTTTCATTTCGTTTTTTTATACGTGAATGTATTTATTATTATTGTTACTCGTTCTATGAATAGTTTTACGACGCCACGGAGGCTATTAATCTGTGGAATTTGGAAAATGTAAAATCACGAAATTGACCAATATACGACTCGAATATATGCTTTCAACACCAATCACAAAAGTGAAAAGCCTGAACAGCTGCGATATATTTCAATTCTGGTAATTTTCATGCAAAAATATTAGTACTAACTATAGTTTCATTTCGTTTTTTTATACGTGAATGTATTTATTATTATTATTACTCATTCTGTCAACAGTTTGACGACACCACGGAGGTTATTAATCTTTGTAATCGAGCGCGATTTAAAAGATTTGCATGATTTTCGGGACGTCGCGCGGAATGCGATATATCGCGGATCGAAAGAAGAAAAATCAGCACGTACGAGGCACATGCATGACGTCATCCTCTCGTGTCCTAGAATGCTTGCTATACGTAAGCAGATATTTCTATATCGTAAAGCCCAATAAAAACTGCAATCCTTTTAATTAATATCGTCTGTTAAAAGTTTCACCGTCCAAGGGCATATCTGATCGTCAAATTATTTCAAACACAGTTTACCTTCCTAACGTTTACAAAAAGACTCGACTTTTCTTGGTTCCAAGAATCGATACATTCGATCCAAAACGTATCTTTCTTTTTAACAAATAATCAGTTAACAACGTGTATAATATCGTATTTCACTTTACACTTCGCAAAGTGAAATCAATATCAGACGCTAGATAAGTAGATAATAGATCGTACAATTAAATGGTTATCAAGAATCGATTCTCGTACGTTTCATCCTACCTGTACTAGAAATTTTAAATTGCAGTACAATGTTCAGAAAGAATGCTAAAAATGACGATGAGTCAATGCTATGTGGAAATAAGGTACGGACGTTATCAGTACCTGATAACGGACGAGAATGGAACTGTGGAGCTACTATTACTATTGGAACTTCACATTCCTTCGTTTCCTCAATTTCTACTTTTCACCGACTAATGTTTCTGCCTACTTATTACGTGATTATGCATATTAAACACATTAAAACGGACAAGACTGTTTCTTATCGCGATATGATTAACATCCTTTGTTCTTCTTTGATCGATACGTCGACTGATCGATCACACAAGCTATTCGACCCATGTACAATTTCTCGTCCGAGTATTTAGAAATTTATAATGCACTTGCATTAATAGACCAACTCTTGTATCGAGGAAATATTAACAAAGGATTACTCGTGCCGTTTCTTGTATTCGTATCTTACTTATTATTAATCTATTTCAAACTATACGCAATTAATCGTACGCACTCTTACATATAACGATGTTTGTTACAACGTTTCGAAAAGAAACGATGCTCAATGTATTATGATTATTAGTAATCGCAAGGTTTGAGAGATACGACGATAATGCTGCATTCTAACGCGAGAAATACCAAAACAGATAATGCTAATTAGAAATATATGAAAAAAAACGTGCTTAATCATAACACCGAGAGATAATCAAATTCAGCGAGAAGCTTGTGCCAGGTCAGTGCTATGTTTATAAATGCTTCTCTCTACGAATAAAAAAGAATCTATAATCTAAATTTAACATAATTCTTAGTGAAAATATCTTGAAAAATATCTTTTTGGATGTTGTACGATCAATGAAAAATGCAATCTGCCAATATCTTTTCATTTCAAACGACAAATTTATAATTGACAATAAAAGACGACGGAAGAAATCAAAATTATAACAAAAATAATGGATTAAAAATTTTCCAACTATTTCATCCACTTTGTTTAAAAAGTGATAACGTTTAGAAGTCTTTGATGCAAAGAGAATTCTCAGTAAACATGTATATTATTTAATAATTACTGTTTGATACAAAAATTAAGGAATACCTTTTAAGCATTTCAACACCGAACAAAACTGTCATGGATATTCTGTCAAAATTAATTAGTTTCAAATATAATAATTGTGTAACCGATAAAGAGGCGAAGGTCAAATACTTTTACTTTCTGTGCGCAACAAATAATTATTATAGCAATAAAAAAACTCTATGTGCAATTATACATGTATTCTGCGATCGAATACACTAAACGTCAAGTAATAAAAAAATAAAAAGTCCATCCAAGTTTACAGTTACTGCGCGAAGATTATTAAAAACTTTCTTTCCCTCTATTATTTTTTAAATAGACGACAAGTACATTTTCCTAATACTTATCAATATTTTTACAGATGAGATAACGATAAGCATTACCTTGCATCTATTATCATTATTTTTTCTTTATCAAGGATACTAATCGATAGATTATACAAACATGTAAATGTAATAATTGCAGAACGTACAACGAATGTTATATTAATTCCAAAATAAATAATTCAACATAATAAGACGAATCTAATAAAGAATTTTACAATCGATTGTAATATAAATTGACCCTAGCCTTCTCTACATTACCACAATTGGCAAGCAATAACTATGAAAATATATCAGTTATCGTTTCAACCTTCTACTTGAAAAATTTGTAAATATATCATAAAAGGGTGTTATTTTGAATTTGATCATTTGAATGTAATACACGTATAAAGACCGGCCTTATTCACGGAGATATTCGTAAAAAACTGTTTATATATTATTTCTATAAACATATTGAGATGGCCGACTACCAATCTGCTGTATAACAGGTGAACTGATAGATCATGTGTAGGCAATTTCAATAATTAGGAATTTTCGTCCGGCCTGACGGCGATCGGGGAAAGGTAAACGCAAAACTGACACCTGATCTCGCGTGCATCGAAATAGGTTACTTTGTTTCAGCAGAGATAATAAGAAAAGGGACAATGGTATTTGGGTAAGCGATAAAATTCTTTGACCGAAGTAACTTTTTTACAAAATTCCAAAACACTGAAATTAAGTTCGATCTTTAGGTTCGTGCATTAGAGAGATTGGTTGCCGATCACCGAGATGTGTTTATTGAGAGAGTAGATAAGTGGCGGACCCATGCTGACGTATACGCTGTCACGGACGCGTATGTATAGGCAGAATTCGATGTAAAAGTGGCAACGGTTTTTTACAAATATCTTGAAAAGTAAGACCGATTGGCGCATACACGCGAGGGAAAAAACTGGCCAAAACGATGACCTTGATAACATATTTTAACCGTATCCGAAATCGACCAAGATGCAGCCTTTTGACAAGTTCGCCTACTTAACGATCATTTATTCCGTTTCTCCCGAGATTAAAAAAAAAATTATAATTTTTCCGGACGAAACGACTGAAACTTCTCGTGACAGTTTCGACAAAGGGAAACGAGAAAATCTGTCAAACTCACGTAAATGAGGCCGGAGTAGTATCTGTCTTTGAGGTTATGCAGCACGGAGGCTTCGTTGAGGCACGTTAACTCAGCCATGTCTTCGACTTTATCGAATTTCGGTGGATTCATCTTCTGAATATCATCCTTCGCGACAAGAACCCTTTTTCCAGTTTCAGCGATCTCCACCTCGACCTCATCGCCCCGTTCACCTTTTATTCCGGCTGCGACGAAACCCTGGGTTTCGTGCGGCACCCAAACGAGCTTCTTTTGCGTCCATTCCGCCTGGGTAGCAGGATCGTTAAAACTGTTTCTGTCAACGGAAAGGAACCGCAATTCGGGATCCGAATGATCCACCCTCGAGTCGACGTCCGCCATTTTTGTTTTCGAGATCACTAGCTCCTTGAGCCGGCTTCAGGGACGAGCGATTCCAAGGACGATCCTCGAGAGACTGATCTCTTCGTGGCAAGGACACACATGTAACTATTCAACACTCGTTTTCCCGTCGTTTTTCAGTGTTAGTGGTCCAACAGTGGTTCAAATAATCTGATGTCCGAGCAATTTGAACGATTCGTTATTCGTTCTCCTTCGAGGCACAGTGTTCTTCTACCACCTTTAACGCTCTTCGAGATTGTTTTCTTTCTCGCTCCTCGCGGCCATCTTCTTTCCTTCTCACGCCAAGAATAATGGTGGGGCGGCTTGATTTGAAATTACGCCGCACAGTGGCGTTCGTGTCGACGTATGACGTGTTTTGTGAGAACGTTTCATTGGACAGAAACTAAATTCGCCGACCAATCATTTCATCGAGAATATTTTGCGCGGTAAACCGTCTTAAACCGTTACGATTTACGATTGATTTCTTCACCTTCGAACAAAGTCACGATCGGTTATCTATTATTTAAACGTTTAATATCTGCCGAATGGCGATAGAGTGTTTCTTTACGGTGTTTTATCCGATGAATAACTACTTGGACGATTAAATTTGGCAACATCGCGTTTGGAATGGTATCTCAAGAGGTTTAAGGTGCGGATATTGAAAGGAACTTTAACAACCGAAAAAACGAGAATGTGCAAGCGATAGGTATGTAAATCTTTCGATATGCTTTTATACTTATTACCACAGATGAAACAAACAAATATCTGCAAATATATTTGAGATCGAATGCTTAATATTATTTTGACAAATATTTAATAATTAACACGTATCAGTTATCACCATATTCAGAATAGTCTGAACTACCATTATCGCCAGGTTTACTTTCAGCACGATTAGTATTATAAGTGGTTTAGGCCAATAATGCATCAGTAGTATGGCTCAACGTCGGTAGAAAAAGATCAGTGAGTTAGATTGGACATTCTGATTTTATTGAAAGAAAATTAATTTGAAATTGTTCAAACGGGTTGATCGTTTGTGGCGTGCATTCTTAAAAACTTGTGTACTATAACCCCCATTTTGTATTCCTTGATGTGTTATACCCATTCTATAATATGGCTAAACATCATCCAGATTTGATTTTCTGCAGAAAACAACCGGGAGTTGGTAAGCATCAAATTTCTATTGAATTAGGTTAGGTTGCTCTCTTAATTATAAACTATTAAATAGTTCAACAAAAATCCTGAACATTCTGTTATTTATGAAATTTACACTTAACGCTTTGATTGCCGTGGCAGTCGTAATATGTGTCGAAGAAGTGTAGAAAAGTCAGTGCATTAAACGTTTAATTACTTTGTTTTATCAAAAATATTCAGTTTTTCTTTTTAAATTATACGAAGGTAAGTTTGAGATTTGATGAATTTGACTAATCTAAGCATTTATTTTACATTTTAATTTTATGGTTATTGCTAATTACTTGTCCGAGTTTTAATTCATTTTATATTTATTTTGTAATTTCATGCAGAAGAAGATTCGACACAAGAATCCAAATATGAAAATTTAACAAGAACTTATTGAAATTGCATGTTAGTTTCTTTAATATCTAATTATTTTGTGTCTGGTTTAACAAAATGAAATTTTTAACTTCAGCGATTGGAAGATTATGTGAAAAGTGTGACGGCAAATGTGTCATATGTGATTCCTATGTTAGACCATGCACTCTTGTCAGAATTTGCGACGAATGCAATTACGGGTCTTATCAGGGAAGGTGCGTTATCTGTGGCGGACCAGGTGTTTCCGATGCCTATTATTGCAAAGAATGCACGATTCAAGAAAAGGATGTAAGTCTGCCTTCGATAAGGAAGAACCGCTTTTGACTACTTTAAATATATTACAACGAATGTCTCTTACCAGCATTACTAATAAATTTAATTTAATATGTTTTTAATCTGTTTCTAGAGAGATGGCTGTCCAAAAATTGTAAATCTCGGAAGTTCGAAGACGGATCTATTTTACGAAAGAAAGAAATATGGGTTCAAGAGAAGATAAGTACTGTGAAACAGACTTTAATTTGTATAATATAATTTTTTTTAAGTCCTGAATAAATAAGTTTATTTGTAAATGCGAATGTTTATTTATAGTTGTGTCCCTAGGGATACATCCACCTCTCGTGTAATAAATGATTCGTCTATTTTTAAAGCAACCGAATAAAAATTCCAAACAAAAGTAGATATTATTTTAAGTAAATATTCTTTACTGATATATTATCTCGTGTATCAACTATAGAACATCGTTAGATTTGTAATAAAATAGCAACTCCGGCGAGGACCCATTTACTAGGCTTGTCTTTTGTTCTCAAGTTAAAAGTCCATACGTAAGTGGGACCTCGTGATCGTGTTTTGTACACAGGACATTCGTACGTATTTCGCAAGTCCTGTTTGTCCAGGGTAATTGCTCGAATATACATTATCGGCATTAGTGGATATAATTCTTTGAATCGAGAATCCGTGATGCATCCTGTTTGCGTGTCCCATCGTGCACCATCCATGTACAACCCATTTATGTACGCGCCTTCCCTTGGCGCTGACCTGTCTCATTTTTGTGAAAATATCATTGTTAATAGTTTAGTAACAAAATTTAACAAAATTCTTACGTACGTGATTTCGTCTTTGTATTTTCTCATAACTTCGCAATTCAAACACATTTTATCCAATGGCCATTCATTTCTTCTTGCAGTTTGTTGCATTATTGCGGTCAGAAATGATTGAGGATTGAAAAAGCCACCTAGCCACACCGACGATGGAAGCTAGAAATTATTAATCCGTAAAAAAACAAGTAATTTTGATCCTTTTGATAGATGTAGCGTTGAAATAACTAATCCAAGCAAAAGTTACGTTAAAATCTGTAGTCCATTTGGCCAATTCATTTATTCTATTGATCATATCGGCAAACCAGTTGTTCAATCCCAAGTCTGAAGGATAAGCTTTCTTTGTCCAAGATGGAGGGACACTGTCCATCATTATATAATTTTGCAAATCTTCCATTTCGGCATTTATCGTTAATTCACCCTGTCAATTATTGTATCCTTAAATTAATTTTCTTTTTTATAATTCTGGCCAAATGTTTGGTTACCTTTAATCCCAAATCCAATTCTTTGAGAGATCTTTTGAGTTCGTCGCACAGAAGGTTCATTCGTTCGCATTCCTGCAATGCAACCGTGACGAATGGCGTGCGATCTTCAACCTAAGATATTTTAACATGCATTTAAGCGATGCAATTTTTGTAAGTACGCATAAATATATACAGGGTGCTCGTTCTAAATTTTTTTCTCGAAAATACGCAAGATTTCGGGGGTATGTCTATTCACCAAAAATGATTGCAATTGACCACCGCAAACGAAAATAATTTTTTCAGAACGATTTGATATTTTTTTTTTCGTCGAAAAATTTAGGCACTTGTTGAATTTTTTCCCCAAAAGTGCGTAGGATTTTGAGGATATGTCTATTCACAAAAAATGATTGTAATTGACTTCTTTACCTAAAAATAATTTTTTTAGAACGATTTGAAATTTTTGTTTTCGTCGAAAAATTTAGGCAATTATTGAATTTTTTTCTCGAAACTGGTTAGGATTTCGAGGATATGTTTATTCACCAAAAATGATTGTAATTGACCTCTCTACCTAAAAATAATTTTTTTAGAACGATTTGACATTTTTGAATTTGATTGTTAATAACTTTTTAACGAAGCCACCATCAACAAATTGGTATTCTTGATTTTCGTCTTATTTTGGCCTCTAGAATCCACCATTTTGTTATTTTTTAAATAGAAAACCGAAAGTTGCTTTGAAATTACGTATTGAAATTGTAAATTATGAAAAAATTTGAGACCTTGCTCTGAAGTTCGTGCATATTAAATTCTTCTGGTAGTTTGTCCAACAAGTCTTCTATAATGCCCTTAAGTTTGTCTTCTCTCGATATATCACCGCCCGCTGTATCGCTCACAGTTTGCGTCAGCATTTCCAACAACGTTTTGAACAAATTTTGCGCGGTGGACGTTAAAAATCCTAACGAGAAACGTAGTTTTCATCAACGTTCAAGTTTCTGGTCGATCGATGCAAGTTGAGTTACAATTATCGCTCGAAGATCATCGCAAAGTGATTTGGAACCAACTTAAGGTTGGAACGATAAGGATCAAAGTAGTTTCAACCTTTTGTGTTGCACAATTCTCAGCGATATTAATAACTCCTTCCCGTACTTTAACGAGTCTAACTCGTGATGATTATTTTGGCCCAATCGAGAATATCACGAGCCAGACTTGCGTATGGAAAGTCGACCCAAACGTAAACAATAACGAGCCAGGCTCGCGGACATCAAAACACGATTGTCATTGAGTTTCAGTCACGATTCTTATAATCTCTGCTACACAACAGTTTAGCATCAGTCTGTTCAGTTTACCGCGCGTTTAGCCTCGGATTTCGTCGAGCTAAATATCACGAGAAGGGTTTAACTTACCGATCTCGGCGTTGGGATGAAGTCCATAAAGCACGGGACTCTCCGCCGGTAAATAGTCGCTTACGTATTGGTGGTACGCGTTATAATCACTGTTCGGTGGCACCAGAAAGTCAGGAGCCAGGTACAGTTCACCTGAACAGAGAACAACGATAATAGTAACGTTAGGAAGAATGAAATTTCTACGAAAACTTGCCATCGACCAGCTCCTGTTGCAAATATTCCATCAAATACGTTTTACACAGTCGTCTGTCCCAATCGTCCGTTATATGGCCACCGTACATTATTTCACCGAACAGGTAACGAAGATCCTCCCATGGTACTTTGATACTGTTTTCCAAATAATTATACAACACGGACACGCTGATCGTCAGGTCACCAAAATTGAACGGATAAGACTGACAACAGAAAATAATAATTATAGTATCGATTCTTTCGTAATTGTATTTTAAAGGGAATTCACGAATAATAAAAGTGTAAAGAAGATTCATGATCTATAAATTATGGGATGGGGTATATTCTAATCGCGATTAGAATTACTCTGTTCCATCCCTGTGCTCCAAATTTCCGTCTTTCCGCGAGCACAGCATGATAGTAACATAGTGCAAACAATATGGCTTTAAATTCGCTTTCCTTGCTACAGGAATCCAGAGTCTCTTGAGTGAAATTGTCCAACGCTTTGTGGATGTTCGCCTGTACTCCCGATGGTGGCTCGTTGGTGATCTTTATGGCAGTTTCCAATATACCCTGCATTTATTTATCAGTTACCTCGCGTGAAAAGAAACTTTTGTATTCGAGTTTGTTGGATCGAACAATTTTGGTTCGTCGATCACCTGTGGTATTATCGATTCGTGGGGATCTGAACTGGGCTCCGCGCTGACGAACAACCGATAATCGTCGTGCGGATTCTCCGAAAGTTGCTCCATCTTTTTCTCCAAAGTGGGCAGCCATTTCCTAACCAAATGTATGTTTTGCAAGATCACCCAGTGACCTTCGTCCGCCGAAATCGACATGGCTGCCTCGGCCAAAACCTCCTGACCCTGACCTAACGACACATTGTGGAAGTTTCTGTCCTCCGAAGTGAAACCCAATTGTCTCCCAAGGCTTTCCACGTCCTGAAATTGTACTTTCCGTCGCTCAGAAATTTATCGCCTTTTCTAATATACGTTCAACACTATTAACCCTTTGCACTCCGAATTATATTTCAATTTTGTTACCAACGCCTTTAAGTGTTTTATTTGAAATTTACCTGTTAAAATATCTGTTTTATTTACACTGTTTTCAAGTGTACGATATCTCTTTGGTTTGGACTTGAGACGAAGGAGTGAATCACACTCGACGTAGGAGTGCAAAGGGTTAAATCAACCATCGACAAAACCTTTTACCTTCAACGGATCGACACCCGGGGAGAGAATAAAAAACACAGGCGTGATCGAACTGGTTTCCTCGAAGGATTTGTTAAACGACGGGGACGAGGGTTCTATAAATTTCGAGCCCAGTTTCTCCTCTACGAAGCATCTAGAGGAACCCAGAATTTTTGTCAAAAGTTCAGTAGAAACTAATCAAATAAAAAGGAATTGTCGATTCAACTACAAAGAGTCGATAGTTCTTTTTATCGATTAAAATGTAAATTCTACCTGAAGGCGTAAGTCATTCGATCCAATCTGAGGCATCTCATGATGCACAAACGTTGCAAAGCAGTTTTGTTCTTCCAATCCTGGGGGAAAGTTTCTCGTTCCGGTGTCTCCGATTCCACAAACTTCTTCCACCTTTTCGCGGCACCCTCTATGTCCTTCTCCAAATTCTGAAAATCCGCCATCTGGCTCAAATACATAATCCCACCCCAACCAACGTTCGTCAGAAAATCCACGGGGCTCTTTAAATCGGGTATGTACGGGAACCGCAAAAGAAAATCGAGCTCCGTTTGCGTTATCTCGTTCGACTGCATAAAAATCTGAAACGGTTCGAAACAGTTTTAATCCACCAACAGTTTGAAAGACTAAAAAAAATAGTACACTCAACGAGTATTAAATTTTTTAACTTTTGATGTACGATATATCAGGTTGGGGGAAAAGAAAAAGAAATCCATTATTACCACGTTTGTTTCAAGACTTTGTTTAATAGAAATTTCAAAAATTGATCAATTCGCGTGGCGTCCAAATATCGAGCTTCTTTTTGAATCCAGCTTCGTGCAAATGGTTTGAAACTGTTTTGTGGTCGATCTTTAGCTCCTGGGCGGTGATCTACGTCGATCATTTCCATGATTTTATCGACATTGGCTGTAACACAATTTTAGCCTTCTGGCTTGCATTTTCGTCTTCATCGAAGCAAAATTGTAAAATATATGTAACTGACAATTGAATGGACCAACCAAAAGTCTGTAAATTCGTCTACAAGTCTAAGTGAACAATAATAGATTCCTTTTTCCCCCAACATAAGCTCCATTTACGTAAGAAACTCACTTTAATGGTCATTTGGCAAAGGAAAGTCAGCTTGTCGGCTTCGAACAATCCCCTGCTGGTGTAAACGAACACCAAATAAGTGATGCTATCGATCAAAAGCTGTACGCGTTTCGGCAAATTATCCGAGGTCTCGCAAAATTTGATCGCATTCTGGAACACGACGCTGAACGCTTTCAAGGAGAATTGATAGAGCATGTTTATTTTGCTGAGATCGTTCAGAACGAAGTACAAAAGGCTGGCTCTGGACGCGACTTTGCGATAAATTTCTCGAGCTTCGTCGATCTTTACGGCCGTCACTTTGGCCTCCGCCACTTTTATTTCTATTTCCGCGGCAGTTTTCTTCGTGGTCTCCAGATTGATCACGAGATCTACGTCGCTCAGAATGTCTGGTCCGGCCGTTGACAGTCTTTTAAAAAGGTCGATCGAACGTGCATTTTAATTTTTTATTCAATGTTTTCACGTAGAATACAAAGGAAACAAAATACTTCTAACTTTTCGAAACAAATTTAATTATTATTACTACTATATAAAAAATTATTTTACCTGTGCAAAAGATCGTCCTCCAGCGCTTTCAACGTGATTTTAAAAGTGTTTTGTTGAGTGGTCAAGTTTGCTTTTTTGGTTTCCAAGTCGGGCCTCTCTGCTTTCACGACATCCCCTAATAGTTGCTCTTCCAAGCCATCTTTGGTTACCGTAAAATTTATAAGAGTCGTCTGCGCCTGTATTTCAGGCTTGTAATGAGGATTGGCCAGCTTCGTTTGCAAAATCAGTCGAAAACGGTGATCGTAATCTACTTCCTTGTCCCAGATCTTGATAGCCCTTGAACAATATAATACACTTAACGAATTTGTCCGTTAGAGATGTTGCAACACTATTTCAACATCCTCTGTACCTTCCTTTTTTTATCAGATCCCTCTTGATGATAGGATCCATGACAGGATCGATCGTTTCCATGATGTTCTCGAGCAAAACAATCCCTCCGTTCGCAATGGAGAACTCGATAAGCGTTAAATAGTTCGGTTGCGTGAGCCTCAGCACTTGCATCTCTTCTCCGTAACGATTTTTAATCCATTTCGACCCTTGCAACTGCGGGTCTATTATGAGAGGCCATCTCGTCGAGTTCATTAATATCGATGCATTCTCAGACGACATTCTATCGGTTGGTAAACCTTGAAAAGTGTTCTTTTATTCAAAAATATTCCTACAAGTTTATTTCTATGAAACTATCACCTTCGTTGTTCCACTGAGCGATTATCGCGTCGTCGGATAACAAAGTCAACACGTCCAAGTCGGCTGTTCTTGGTATCTTTGTTTCCAAATTCTCCAAAAACGGCAACCAATGCTCGTTCATCAAATCGGTTCTATACTTTCGCGTGAAGCAACCCATGTACGACAGAAATGCTGTTACCAGGAGAATATCGCCTGGCACCGTCACGCCTGAACTTTGCAACCTAAACGTTCGTTATTATAAATTATTTTTTCTTTCAAACGTCGACTCTTTCACAGAGCAATAATTCAACAAACGTTTTCACGGTCTCGGTCCATCTGATTTTCTCCGATGCTAAACCGTTCACTAATCTGTTCGCGAGGTCGATGGTCAACGCGGTAGCGTCAGCCTCGTCCTGACACTTTTGTTTCTCCGCCAATGCAGCGTTCATTCGCTCCCCCAGGACGTCGAGCACTTTTTGCAATTCCTAGAAAACGATTCGAGTAGAAAGCTCTTCGTCCAGTCGCGTTACGTCTAAACGCGAACATTCTCCGTTTTCTCCAGGCAGATTTCAGATCCTTAAGATCGTCTTGCAGTCTTTTTTTTTTACGTTTAATATTATTTCCTATGTTTCTAAAGAGACACCTTTTGCTCGAAATAGGTGTGCATAAAACCACCGTCACGATAGAGACAGTCTTAATGGATATGTGCATTAGTACTATCTGCTACAGGACACAAACTATACAAGAAATAATTCGATTTCATGCGACTTAAAAATCGTGTGAAACGAGGACCAGGTGTGACTGGCGATTATCGTGCTCGTAAATAGAAGATTACTATCCTTTGGCAGGCCTAGAACGAAATAATTACCGCTAGACGTGCTCTCAGAGAGTTTAAATGGTCCATAGCAGCTTTCAATTCGGCGTTAGCTTGCGCGAGTGCGGCTCTCAGCGGCTTCACGGTCTCGTTGATATAATGGAACACCATTATGTTTTTCACCCAGCTGCACAAGCCTGCGGCTGCTTGGGATTTCGAGTAAATAATCTCTGGTTCGAATTCTGAAACAGTTTTACAAAATTGTTTCGTCAGAGTTCACACGAATATTTCAAGCTCTTTTTGTCAAATGCTTATTTTAATTGTTTTTTTTTTATTTTCGATAGTTGACGGAACTCGACTCAATCATCCCAGTCGTCGACCAGGGTGACCTCGAACGTAAGTCAAAATTCTCGTATCTACGTAGTAACACCATTTTCCTATCATGAATCTCACGATAGTTGATACGCGCCCGTCTGACCATTAATCGCTTATACTACTTGTGTCGAGATCGTGCTTAGAAATTTGCAACGCTCGATTTGCTCGAAAGTACACACAGACTCGCACGAACCTTTGTTATTGATGTAGGGTTGAATAGCTCTGACAACTTCGGAATGAATGTTCTCTTTGTCGTAATTTCGAAGCTGCGACAGAAACGCATCCACGCTTCCCATCATTACCTTGCATGCTTTCCAACTTCTGTCTTTGGGTATTTGTCCTTTCGGAGCGAACAATACCAGAACAGCTTGTGCCACCATCGCTACTTGTTCCGGCGGTGTTCCAAACGACTTCAGTTCGGTCAGATTGCTCTGTAAATTTAACGATAAAAATAGTTAAAATTTAGACGCGCACAGTTCCGAAATTATTAACGTCTTATCAATAATTCCGCCATTGTTGGAGGCGGTAAACCTTCCCCTTTGAAATGGTTTTTGGTTTACGTCGATCCGACTTTCCGTTTTCGAGATATCGTAATTTAAGTGAGCGGGTATTTTTTAAAATTCCACTCTCCGTCTTACGAGAGTCCATTAACGCGTATTGAAAAGTAATAAAACTTTGGATGCGTGCAGTTCCGAAATTATTAACGTTTTATCAATAATTCCGCCATTGTTGGAAGCGGTGAACCTTCCTCTTTGAAATGTTTTTTGGTTTTTGTCGATCCGACTTTCCGTTTTCGAGATATCGCAATTTATGTAAAAGGTAATTTTTTTAATTCGACTATCTCTGTCTCCGTCTGACGCGACGCGTCGTACCTCTCGCTCGCGCGTGAATCGAGACAGTCACGTGACCAAGAATTTACTACGCACGTGCGCGCGAGATCAATGAGCTCGCGACGTAAACAATGAAACGTAAACAAACGCTTCCGGATCCTTTATCTCCGTAACTGGCCACCGCATCGACTCGAAACTAAAATCGTCATATCTCCGGAACTAATTACGCTATCGACTCGTACGAACGCTCGTTTTAAAGGGTATTTCATCCTCTATGCACTGAATATAAATACTTTCATAATTTATGCTGTCTTCTATATTTATTTTTATATTTACTTTGACACTGTATACCTAAAAATGTTTCGGCAATTCCTATTGATTTTACGACCGATGTGCGATAAAATTATCGATGATAGTAAATGTGTTAATGATTCTAAACGTTATCTTGCCTTATTCAAAGTGTCGAGAGCAGCTTCGGCTTGCCGTACAGCGGGTTCTGCTTTGGCCAAATCCTCGTCGCAACGTTTTTGTCTTTCGGCCACCGTTTCCTTTATTTCCGCTATTTTTGCTTCTTCCTCGGACACTGTGAATAAATATTATATATTTACACTACGTGAAAGCAACGAATACCACTCGGTGCGTGACCCTCTATGAGTTTAAGACCGTAAACTGTACCAATGGTTTTTTCAGCTTCCGCCTTAGCGTTTTCAGCCCGAACCTCTGTAAGAATTGTGTCCGCAATTTCGTTCTTCTTGTTTAATTCAATTTCTTGGGCCGCCAGGACGACTCTTAATTCGCTGACCTATAAATTAATTGTTCGATAAAGATTCGTCGAATTTATTTCTTATTAAATTCACTAACGTTTATGTATTGTAATTTTACGTGGGAATATGCAGGTTTTGCTCTCCAAATTAATCCTTTTGCAAACCACCTAGCTCGTTGATTAAAAATAAAAAATTAATATTATGCACTTACTTGGCCAGCGCACGATTCTAGCTTCTCCAAACCATTTTTTAACCGCTCGATCGTCGCGTTTATATCGTAGGTCCTCTCCGTGAGCAATTTGGTGTACAAAGATATTTGTTCCAAAAACGACTTCGGTGTCGTGTAATTGTACCGTTTCTCGAACTGCAAATAAACAGCGGAGATATCGTTCACGCTGGTGTGCGCGAACGACATGAACAAAGAAGCCGATCGTTTGTAATTTCCCGGAAGATCCTCCAATTCCTGCAACGAACGGTTGAATCTTGCAAGTTCTCGATCGTACTTTTCAGCGAGAAATCGCCTTACTTGCAAGAATCTAGCGGAAACGGATCTCAAAGCTTCCAACGGCCAACTCTGGATCCAATTGATCGAAGTGTTGTTCACGATTGCTGGGAATTGCCTGGCTCTGGTTCGTAACGTGGCTCCGATCGGCGAAAAGCAAAGGACGCATTTCAATCGATTTCGTACCCGATCGATGAAAAATTTCCAACAGTTTTCGTTGCTGTCGATCATCCCGGTCTGCTTCACCTAAAACATTCTCTTTCTTTTCTATCCGTATACGCGTTGATAACTTTTCTTAATCACGATATCAACAATTACCTCGTTTCTTACGGAATTCACGATGTTGTCGATGTCCTCGTCCGCGAATAATTCCGATATTTCGCCGAACGCGAGCATATCGTTTATAAGAACCAGAAATCTCTCGTCGGCGACGTGAGAGTCGGTCATCAAGAAAGTAATTCCGATTGATTTTAGTCCAGACTTTAAATACAAGGCTGCCAGGTCGGTCCGTAAGTCGCTCACCGAGTATCCCGATTTTAATTGTATTTGGAACACCTGGAAATGAACTTTTCGAATCTCTCAATCGAACAATACCCAATCGAATATCGAAACTAAGTTTTTCCTCGTGGAATTTTATCGAACGTATACCTCTAAGCCTGATATAAAGGATGCAAGGGAGGAAAGAGATTGTTTCCCGCTTCCTCCGACGCCCACTAGAAGCGCGTTTCCTCTCGGTGATTCCAAAATACGATTTATCTGGCACACTTCATACATCGCGTCGTCGAATAAAACTAAATTCATCGCTCCTACCTGTCCCAAAATACAAACATCCAAATTCAAGTGGAACGTACAACGTTCTATTGGCAATTAAACTATATCAGTTGTTGCTATGGTCGTTTCTTTTGTTCCATCGTAACTTAAAAACGCTTAACACTTTAATGGAGGCTCGTATCACGCGAAGACCATTGTTCTTCATCACTGATATTTTGGACGAAAGTGAGATACACGAAGATGTTAGGAGTATTATTATAAGGAATTATAAATGTAACCTCGACAAACGTAATAAGTTGAATGTAAAAACAAAGTGTTAAGAAGGCATCTTCTTGTTGGGTGGAAAGAAAAATTGATATTCGTAGGATTTCGTTTCGATCGATGATTAAAGTATTTGTCGATTGGATTACCAGTTCGTTGTAATTCAGCAACGCCTCGTCCAGCAATTTAGTCAGCTGTTGCCAATCTTTTATCGGCATATATTTCGGTTCGCCAATGCCCTCGGCGAAGTGGCAATATATCGTCGGTTCGGAAAATATGATATTCTCGTCCACCTCCTGCGATTAAAAATGCAAAGATTAAGCCAACGGAACGAGTGTCTGGAACACTCATACTTGCAGCCATATTTTTACGAATCGACTCCTTCATCAATTGTTGAAACGTTTTCTTGTCGTCGGAATTTACTAATTTATCGGAATACACTCTGGTCGCTTCGTGGACGTATAATCTTATTAAATGATTGGCAGTCGGCACGGTTTCACCGGTAGCGAAGAGTATACCCTTTAAAGTACAGTGGAATCATAGTTTATAGATATTTTCAAAAGTGTCTTGAAGTATAATGTTGATTCGAATAATTCTTACTTGAAATATATTCGAGAGATCGCGTAGATTGAATACGTAATGAAATTTTACTGCAGTCGGCAGAAAGCTGGTCGAAATTTTCGCGTGACAGTATAACGCTGTCGCCAATAAGGGCTCCGCGATTTTAGTTAACGCTATATTAAATTTGTTGAGAGGATTTGTCAGATGCTGATCCAGTATCTGGCTGTAGATCCTAACTAAATTCTCGTCGGACGGGAAGCTGCAACGAAAAATTACAATTTTTCGTACGATATGCACTCTACGACAAAAAGATTCTTATATCATATATCTTTCGTTTAATGTAACTTAAAATTTATTCTTTTCGCAATAAATATATTGTTAATATTGCAAGACATTACAAACATCGAAAGTCAACGCAATATACAGGGTGTTCGGCCACTCCTGGGGGAAAAAGGAGCAAATTTTCGAATATTTTTGGAATTTCTACATATTCTTGATTAAAATACGCGTCGTTTGCATTTTTGAAAATTAAAATCCTTCAATTCGTTCAGAAGTTATGACATTTTAAAGATTCGCATGAAAATTCGGGCAGACATTTCTGGCCAGAAATTAGATTTTCAGTAAGGAATTTTTTTCTCGAAACTGAGCAGGATTTCGGGGGTATGTCTATTCACCAAAAATGATTGTAATTAACCCCTGCGACTAAAAATAATTTTTATAAAACAATTTGAAAATTTTTTTTTCCGTCGAAAAATTTCACACCTTCTCCAATTTTTTTCTCGAAAATGCGTAGGATTTCGGGGGTATACGTAATGACAGAAAATGATTGTAATGGGGCCCTGCAGCCGAAAATAATTTTTTCAGAATGATTTGAAATTTTTCTTTTTCGCCGAAAAATTTAGGTATTTATTGAATTTTTTTCTCGAAACTGGTTAGGATTTCGGGGGTATGTTTATTCACAAAAAATGACTGTAATTTACCTCCCTATCTAAAAATAATTTTTCCAAAACGATTTGAAATTTTTTAATTTTGTCGAAAAATTTCACACCTTCTCTAATTTTTTTCTCGAAAGTGGGTGTGATTTCGGGGGTATGTCTATTCACCAAAAATGATTATAATTAACCCCTGCAACTAAAAATAATTTTTCCAGAATGATTTGAAATTTTTTAATTTAATGGTTAATAACTTTTTATGGAAGTCTCAGTCAAGAGATTGATATTCTTGATTTTCGTCTTATTTCGGCCCCTAGAATCTCCCATTAAAATTTTATACTCGTACAGTGTGCTATCTTTTTGTCGCGGTTTGTAAATAAATCGTTTCTCTTCGCTATATTTCGTATAAGCTTACTTGACCGCGAACACGGCGAAATGCCTCTGCAAACGAGGATCTATCGTGAAACTTCCAGCCGTAGGATTCATACAGGATACGTATTGCGTATTGTGAATCTCTTTTATGGTCAATTTCGTTCTGTCGTACCTAAATTTTCAATCATTTATCAAAAGAAAATTACCCACACGATATAACACATAATATATTAACGTGTCTGTACCAGTGATTGTAATCAATGTGCTGTCTAAAGAGTGTATGGGGCTGCACGGTGCCATAAGTATCGACTTCGGGCATGTTCATATCGTCGATGAAATATATCAGCTTCTTCGTGCCCGGTGGCCCATAATTTCTACCAGTTTTCTTCTCCAGATGTTTTTCCATGTTCGATTGCAGCATTTCTGTAAAAAGAAACAATGGCAATGAAAAGAGAGAAAATTCACGCGGTCCAAGTGTCGATTACCCGAGGTAGTATAGTAATTAAGGGGCAGGTTGGCGACGTTATATTCGTCCGGAAGGGATCCCAATTTCTCAGCCACGATCACGCTTTTCCCGGAACCTGCCGCGCCTATCAACATCACTGGCATTTTTTTCTCGATGAGAATGTCCAGGAAAAAGTGTAAATACGCCGTTTCGCCCGTTGGCACCAGAGTGGACTGAAGAGACAAAAATATTTTCCAAAATGTTTACCGTGTATATCTATAGAAAATCCCAGTTGGCAGGCAGAGCTAAACAATTCGAACGTTCCGCGAAGCTCGATAAAAATGTATACAAATTCAAGTCGTAAGAAGTGTATTGTGTTTGGATCGTAGGACCGTTGTTGTCGATCGTGTTTAGTCCAAGCTAGAGTAGGTATCGAGTGAGGTGTTTAGGTTTGAGCTGAAATACGTTTTGTTTACATCATTATGAAGTTGGGAACAAGGAAAGGTCGACTTTGACTGCAGGAACGCCACTCTGTATCGAACGTTGGTCGAAACCAGTCACAGTTTTACGTCTTTCCTTTATGTTCTTTATGTTAAATAGTATAGTTTACATAGTTACGTTTATCCTCGCAAAGTAACGTCAGTTTTAAAACAAAGAGCTCGTTTTAACGAACCTGCAGCGGTATATCGTGATCCAGCTCGAACTGCTTCACATTCTCGGTCCAGGGTACCAACTTTTTCGTGTCTTCCTCGATGAAATAATTGAACACGTTGCCACCGGTGGGGAATTTGATCGTTTTGAATTCGTTCTGCCACCATTTGTTGAACTCGTTCCGCCAGTCGATCAACTGGTCTTGGAAAGTCGCCGAACCGAACGCCCAAATGCAAGCGAACGCGAAATACAGCTCGTACCTTCAACGACGATAGATTTCGATTTAAAGATCGCTACTTTCGATCCCATCGTACGTATTTTCGTCTAGTTAACACTTCGAAATTGAAATTGAAATGTTAAATAAATTTGTGTAGGACGAAGTTTAACGTGGTTACGAAAATAAGTACCGAGGAGAAATTTTAAGATATGCAGTAAAAAATTGTACGGTTTCGATGTGGCAGTGAACGTGTTAATGCTCGTAGTTCATACCATTCCTTGGGGCAGTCTTGCGGCACGTTTTCGCTCGTCAAGAAACAATCCAACAAATTGCAAAGCATCTCCACGTGACAGATCTCTGGCAACGGAGTTATTTTCTTAAATTTGTTTCTCATCGCTTCGACGAGCGGCGGGACGTATTTATCGAACAGGATCACCAAATTTGCCCTTTCGGACGGTTCTCTCGTGTCTATCCAGCTGACTGAAAATCTACATTCATTGTACATTTATTCTTCCTTTTATTTTCAAATTTTATTATCTACTTTGGTACATCAGATATTTAACATTGATTATGATAGAAAAATAATAATATTTACGGTTTATTGGGATAAGAAAGAAACTGTTCACTTACGGATACCATCCAATATCTTGTGGGTTTATGTAAAGAATTCCAGCCCTGGATACAGTGGCTGGCGTTGCTGTCCTGAAATTTATTTACAAATATCTTGATCAGCCATCGAATCAACAATTTTTTGAGTTGAAAAGAAAAATTACACGCATGAAATATCTTTAGAACCGTTACATGTACAATTGCTAGACTTTATGCACATGCATATTTTTTTAGGAAAAAGGAAATTCAAGGTTTGATACTTTATCCACGGTTTAATGATTAGATATTTGTATCGATGAGAGTTTCATGTAATAGTTTGTATAAAAGAGTATTAATACCGTAGGTTGGAAATTTCGAAAATGAGTCTCATTTGATCCGTCAAAGCGATTCTTTCGTTGCTAGCCAATGTCAGCACTTTGTTGTCATCCATCACGGTATTCAACGATTCGATCCACATTGGATCTATGTCCCCGTCGAATATGATCCACTTTGGATCGGTTCCTGACATCTTTGCTTGATCTCTCATCAACATCGAGAACAATCTAATCGAATTTTTCAGTTATCACCCAACGTATGCGTTAAATAAGAAGAGTAGATGTAGTAACACCACCTTGACATAAAAAATAGGGAAAGTATGCGTTTGACAAAGTGTCGAAAGAGGCAAACAATCGGTCGAGTAACAAATATAACATTTCTTTAAGGTAGAGTAGAAAGATACAAACCCACCCGTCTTTCCATTCTCGAGTGGCTGGATTGATGACTCCAAAAAGTTCGTCGTTGGTCACAGCCTTTGGATTCAAATCGTTATAATACGGTTTTAGTTTCTGGTTGAAGTAAGTTCGATTCAGCGTCTTCCAAACTTCCGTTTTTCCTGTTCCAGCGAAGCCAACGATGAAAACCGAATGACGAACGTGAAGTAACTCTTCCAGTTGCACCACCTGATTTCATTCGATTTTTCATCGACGTGTAATTTATTACTTGATAGCAAATAAACGAGTAATCGTTTGGGAACAGTTGTATGTATATTATACGTTTGATAATTACTTTTAATATGAATCCGTCTTCCGGCTGTAATTTTAAATCGACAGCGGACTCCTTCACCGTTAATTCAAAATCCAAATCTCTTTTTCGCGGTACATCCAAAGCAGGAAATAAGTCGCCTGAATGAAATTAATGCATCTTACAAGACTCAACAGTAATTTTTCTCTTATGTATAGTTTTTAATTGCACGAAAAAGAGACACGATATTCGAGTAAACCTTGCAATCAATTTTTTTCTCAAAAGTGGATAAGAATTTGGGGGTATGTCTGTTGACCAAAAATTATTGTAATAGACCTCTGGTACTAAAAATAATTTTTTTTAATCGATTTGAAATGTTTCAATTTTGTCGAAAAATTTCACACCTTCTCGAATTTTTTTCTCGAAAGTGGATAAGAATTTGGAGGTATGTCTGTTGACCAAAAATTATTGTAATCGACCTCTGGAACTAAAAATAATTTTTTCAAAACGATTTGAAATGTTTCAATTTTGTCGAAAAATTTCACACCTACTCGAATTTTTTTCTCGAAAGTGGGTAGGATTTCGGGGGTATGTCTATTCATCAAAAATTATTGTAATTAACCCCTGCGACTAAAATTAATTTTTCCAGAATGATTTGAAAATTTTTTTTTCGTCGAAAAATTTAGGCACCCTACCCCCTGTCGGTTTTCCTTAGGAATTCGTTTTTCATTTTTAATCAATTTTGTTGACGCTGTACGGAAAAGTTGTCTAATACTTTTTTGTAGGTACCCACGAGCTCTACTTCAGAAAAAAGTTTCATTGAAATATATTCGCTATTGTAGGAATTATGGTCGTGTGAAAATTGGGCCATTTTTATGGGGTTTTTCTAATTTTACGGGGTCAAGGCACAACTTTTTCAATATTTTTAGAATTTCTATATATTCTTGACTAAAATACGCGTTGTTTGCCTTTTGAAACATTGAAATCGTCCAATCCGTTCAGGAGTTATGATGTTTTCAAGATTCGCATGCAAATTCGGGCAGACATTTCTGGGCCAGAAATTATATTTTCGGTGAGGAATTTTTTTCTCGAAACTGAGTAGGATTCCGGGAGTATGTGTAATGACCAAAAATGATTGTAATTAATCCCTGTAGCTAAAAATATTTTTTCCAGAACGATTTGAAATGTTTCAATTTTGTCGAAAAATTTCACACCTGCTCGAATTTTTTTCTCGAAAGTGGGTAGAATTTCGGGGATATGTCTGTTGACCAAAAATGATTGTAATTGACCTCTGGAACCAAAAATATTTTTTCCAAAACGATTTGAAATGTTTCAAATTTGTTTGAATTTTGCCCATAAGGTGTAAGGTTTATTCGTATACCTCGTCTGTGGTAATATCCAGTATATTTACCGATAAGTCCCATAAAAACTGGGACATCGTCCGTCACAATTTTTGGGACGTTGAAGTCCCTGAGTGCTCTCATCAATACTTGATCCTCGGCTCTCTGAGGATCGTCCCTCTTCAACTTCCCAGCGACGACCAGGACCGATTTAATCGCTCTCAAGCCCCAATCGTAATGATCCTGCTTGGACAAAAGTTCTCGACAGAGCTGGTAAAGCGTTATGAATTTCCCAGCCAACAGTCTGGCCTCTTGGAATCCCTCGGCCACTAGCATTATTTCGCAGATCAAGTCGAAATCTGGGACCACCATCGCGCAGGGCCTTCAAAACAAATCAGTAGAAAACCATTTGTAGAAATCTCACCGGAAATAGGTTGTCTGCGAGTGTTTTATTTAAAAAAAAGAATGTATTGGATTTTACCGAAATAACGTTTTCAAGTTTTCCGGTAATTCCGTTCTTCCAGCATATCCGGGGTTCATAGTGATGAACATACCGACAGTGGGGACGAGATTCAATTCCTCCTCGAAGAAGAAAAATGTCGGTTTACCGCTCTTTATTCCGTCCAGTACCGATTTCACTTGTACAGCGACTACCGAGAGCACCTCCACCGAAATTCGATTGAACTCGTCGAAACAGCCCCATGCTCCCACTTGAGCAAGACCTTTGTAAATATTCCCGCAGGACTGTGAAAATATCGAGACGTTTACTTTTTGAACGAAGAACACGTCTATGCTTTCAATAAGATAGCACACTGTACGAGTATACAATTCTTTAACAATTTTAAAAATACATGCAGTGATATCAAAACTACTTAGTGCGATATCTTTTTAATAGTGCAGTCGTTGACCCTTGTTCGCTCTATCCATTGATATTTCTTACATTAAAAATATCTTGAATAACAAAGCAACAGGTAAAAAGTTATCACCTTGTAGTCCATTTGTTCAGAACAATTGAACACGTACACCATTTGACCCAACGCTCTCCCCAAGTCTTTCGTGGTTTCCGTTTTGCCGGTTCCAGCTGGCCCAGCAGGTGCTCCTCCCATCACCAGGTGCAAAGATTGCGTTAACGTGATGTAACATCTGTCCGTTAACGGTGTTATCACCAGTCGCGGAACGTTCCCTAAATATTCGTGATTGTATCTGAAGGACGCGTCGCAGATATCCGCGTAGCAATCGTGAGCCTTGTCGTCCCATCTGAGACATTATTTCATCAAAATCGTATCGTTAAAAATTACCATCGGGAGTAACAGAACTTTGAATTTACGTCAAACCATCTGACCTGTGCCTCAGCTGCGACTGCCATTGAAAACTAGAAGAGCTGTCGGCCTTCATCGCGATCATTTTCGCGACAACGTCTCTAGCGTGCACGTCGATCGTGCAGATGGTCATGATTTTCCTTCTGTCGCCCTCGTTCAAATCCCCGCAAAGTATCGTGATGAGGGCGTTCAGCTGATAGATCTGTTTCCTCTGGTAATCCTTGAACGCGTTCTCGAAACCCTCCTCGAGTCTCATAAAGGCCATGTTCACCTCGGTCGTCCACCAAATTTGACTGCCGCAGAGGGCCGGTTGAGCCTCGTAATCCAAGATCCACTGTTCCCTTGGTTTCTCCTCGTAAGTAGCCACTGCTTGAGACACGTGATTCCTCACGGTTCTCTTCATCGCGTCTGTCACGTTGTTCAACCAGTTCTCCACCTGAAAGAGCAAATTTTTACGAAACAGTCGCAGACTTTTAACGCCTGTAACGGAGTAGAGCGGAAAAGAAGCTTTTCCCTTACAAAAGCAATTTGCAAATTACTTTTCCGCTACAGTCGCAAAAACGGTAAATCGATATGCGTTCGCCGTCCTTGGCGATCATGGTAATCGCGATCTTGGTCCGTTTCTCGCCGTCCATTTTCCATTCCAAGTCCGCGATGGAGTCGTACAGTTTCGACAAGTGCACGCAAACCAGCTCCGGATTATTGCCTTGTGAAGTAATTATCGAGTGGTTAAATTTAGAAAAGGCAACGAACAATTTTTTAAACAGTTTCGGAATAATTGAGATGCGTCCTAACCGTTGCTCAAGATGTCCAGAAGATCGGCCGCTGACACGAAGTAAAATCTCGGATAAATCAATCTTTTCGTTTCCAAATAATCCGCCAAAGCTTTTTCGCAGTTGCTCAACTGGATCTGCAACTCTTCCAGCTTCTCCAGAAGCTTTGGTCGATTGGTCGCTTTCACGATGTTCAAGTTGCTCAGCATTTCTCGCAGCAATTCCTTAAAAAGTACATGGACGCTTGTAGTTCCTCCCTGCGTTAAGCAAGAACGCGACGAAAGAATACTTTAAAGTCCCTGTCGATTTTTTCGAACCGTTTCGAGTCATCCGGCAGCTGGCTTCTGATGTCCTCCGAGCCAATGAAAATACTCTCGAGGTGCATCCATGCTCGTTGCACGTCGAACCAGGCGTGAATCACCGCGTCCGCGTTGCTCAGCTTCTTCTGCCAATCGAGAATCTCGTCGAGGAAGTATCCCACGAATTTCGAACTCATCATATTCTGCAGTTGCACCTGTTAACACTCGCTATTAGTAAAACGAATCGATCTAGTCCGTGGACAAATTTCATTCGTTCGATGCCTGATTGTCCTCGAGAATTTCGATCGTTTCCTCGGAGATTTTCAGGACGCTCAGTTTCGTACGTTCGTGCGTCTCTTTTTGGAATTCGAGGTTGCTCCAAGTATCGAGAAGTTCTTTCAACACTTTCTCCATCGCCATCTCTTTCACCGATTTAGCCACGATGTCCTTAACTTCTTCTTCGTATTTGTGCAGTTGGAGTTTCAATAAATCGTTCAAGGTCGTACTGTCGGACATACTGAAGGCCACCTAAGAAAAGTAAGTCGAAAAGGAATTTGAAAGTTTCGCTACCGCGTTCGACCAGTGATCGATGTTTCTACTCGAGCTCGATTTCAAGCTGTTCCAAGTCAATTTTTTGAATACAGTAACGAGTATATATATGTCAAGTTGAGATTAAATGATTAATAACCTTTGTCTCAGCCATCAATTCCCTCCAATGTCTGTCTCTGATCGCTGGATTCTGCAATTCCGCGACAGCTCTTAACGACGCCATCATGTTCCTCACTTGTGCTTCAACGTCCGAGTACACCGACCAAGGACGTACATCCTTGTCCAGTTCTATTGTTGAAACAACGCGAATAGTTTCAAGAAACTATAGACAGAATTTGAAAACGAAGAAACATTTCTCACGTCTTAGTTCCCGTAAAAGTTTCTTGCACTCTTGGTCCATCCATTCCACGTCGATCTTTTTCCAAACGGTTGTTTTCCATTCGTTCAAGCTGGTGTTGATGACATTCACGTAATCCCACACGGTTTTCAAAAGCTGTATCTCTTTTCGTATGAGCTTGTTCACCTTAAACTCGGGCATTTCTTGCTCGAAGATCGAGGACTGATCTTCAAGATTTTTTTCCTCCTTGGAGAACTTTAAAGTTTCCTCGTATATTTTGTCCAGTTTCTCGTAAGGATGCGTGCAATCCGTGCTGCGAATAATCGAATCAATTTCTGCTGTCGACTTTTTAGCAAAAATATGGCTCACTTGAAAACGTCTTCCTTGCGAAATTCGTCCAAGAAACGCTGCTGCTTGAAATCGTAGTAGCTCAACCTTTTCTTCAACAGTTCGATTTGTCGAGTCATCAAGGGCTGAACGACCTGTTTAATTTGAGCAGCTACTTTCTTCAAAGTCTCCCAACGATCAGGCAACTCCGCCAACCAATCGAAAATCTTCGGGGACAACGTCACTTGATAATGCTGTAAAAGTTCTACCGTTTTCTGAAAACAACGAATCGACAGATTTTCAAGCGGTATTTACAACTGCTAGAAAATATAAAAAATTTACCGACCGGTAGCGGTTGATTAATCGGCTATCGGTCGGTAAGCGTTGGTCGGTAAAAAAGTTTATTAATACGCTATCGGTCGGTAAGTGTTGGCCGGTAAAAAAGTCGATTAATAGGCTATCGGTCGGTAATGTGTTAACCTTAATGGGGTCGAACATGTCTTCGATCTCGAATTGTCGATCCCTGATCTCTTTCAAGTAATAAATAGTCTCCAAAAGCGCGTCGTAATCGTCTTCGAGGATGGATTGCGAAAAATTTTCCATAGCTGCCTCCAAGAACTTCTCCAGCTCCTCCAATCTGTAAACGAAATCGTTCAAATGTCTCGAAAGATCGAATTACATTTTTGAAATAATTACTGTGTTGTGATTCGTTTGACCAAATGTTCCTTGAGCACGTTGCCCCATTTGCAAACTATGTTCATCAGAGTTTGTTTGAAGGGCTTCAGATCGAGCCTCAGCCAGCGTAGAATTACATGCTCGTTCGGTATTTGATCGCACTGCTCGTACAAGTCCATGAAATAATCAATTTCTCGTTTGAAGTCCGTCAAATCCGGCACCTTTGGTTTCATATTCTCCGGCATATAATCCGGGTGTTCCTCGAGCATTTGCCTTTCTTCGGGTATAACGTATCGGGAAAATTCAAGGAAGTAATTCAGATATGCCTGTCTGTCGTCCGACCACAACCAGGAATAAGTTTCATAGGTCTGAAAATAAGTGGTAATGATAATTCTGGAGTGGTTTACACGCATTGACGAACCTGAGCGTGTTCCCTTGCTTCCAGCAAGGCTAATTTCACTCTGTTGCAAGTCTCTTCCAACATAAATACGATACCATCTTCTTCTGCCAGATCCGCCTTTGGAAGCAAACGATCGTTATTGCACTGTTCGAACGAAAACGAGTCGATGAAAGTTTCGATGATAAATATACCGCGTAATGCTCTCGTTCTTCGACGATTTGCGTATCGACGCGTGGTACAAAGGTGCCCATCTTCATCATATCGAGCAACAGTCCTTCGAAGAAAGCGTAGAATCCATCTGGATCGTCCGCATCCACCGATGGTTGGAAATTAATACTGGGATTCTTTCTCATAGAAACAGTTGGATTAATTTTATTCTCTTTGGAACGAATAAAAATTATTTATAACGGTATAGTGTATGCGTTTACCCCTAAGCACACTTGTATTTCGAACAACGGCTCCATGTCTCCGTCAGGATCAGTCTCATCCAATATATAACAAATACTGCGACATGGAAAGGTTTAATTGTCAAATTTCTGTCGTAAATAAAAAGGTCGATGAACTCGCCTCGTGGAGACTGCTTGAACGAGCCCTTTAGAAATTAAATTGTCGACGTAGGTGAGATACGGTTGCCATTTCTCGCGTCGAATTGCCAACGTCTCTTCGTCGACCTCTTCCTCCTCTTCTGCTTCTTCTTCTTCTTCTTCCCCTTCACCTTCTCCTTCGTCTTCTTCTTCCAGTAACTTTGCATCCTCCATCTCCTCGTTCAGTCTACGAAAAATACAGAATTATCGTTTGTTTTTTAATTGAAATACTTCACGGTGTTTCTTTTTATCTCACCTTGCAGCTTCAGCCTCGTCTGTTTTACCTTCAGACTCTTCTATATCGCGATAGAAAGCGTTTAATAATATTTGATTAGCCATCAAATTGTACAAGTAGAATTCAAAGGCTCACCGTCGTAAAATTCCAGCTCGTCGTTCTCGTAAAAGTGATCCGGCAACAAGTCGAAAAACAGTTTGTAATTTTCCTGCAGAATTCGCTCGAGTTCCGTGGCGGTTTCCTCGATTTCAGCGAATCTTTCTTGGAATCTGTCGTCTTTGTCCGCGGTCGCCAATAAATTCTCGTCTCTGGCGTCTTTTCTGTACAAAACTGGCATCATCGCCCATAAATACAACGCGTCCATAATATCTTTCAAATTGTCCTGTGCACGGAACACTCTGGAGTGCAATTTCCGTGTGGTTGTCAACAGTTTGTCAATGTACTCCGGAACCTCTGAAACGTTTCATTTCTCTCGAATGAAAATTTCAGATCGAATCTAAATAAGACGAGATTATTTTTTAAGAAATATTTATTGTATTCCGTACCCTCGGAATTCCAGTTATAATTTTCTTGCCCGTGATCGATCAACTCGTCTATATCGTCAACCTCTTCTTTTATTATTTCGAATTCCACCGGGATACTTTGACTTCGAATTCTGTTGTACCTGAAATGAAAGTTGAGTAACGTGATTAATAGACTGCGAATTTTTATGCAAATTTATATTTTAATTAATAGAATTAACGGAATGAGAGCTTTGTAGAGGGTTGTTTCAACCCCTAAATATATTAATTCGTATCTTGCAAATTTCCTATAAATGCCTAAACATCCGCAGTCTAGTGATTAAAGTTAAGGAAAGTTAAGTAATTTTAGACTATTTTTAAATGGCATTATGACTATTTTAGTTCTTCGATGTTTAAAGTTTGTACAGAATAAAGCACGAGACAAATTAGATTCCTATAAGCTTTGAATGAACTAACCATTTTACGATTAAATTGAGATTGTAAGTGCTTTTGAAAAAGAACTGCGATCTGCTGTAAAATTCGATGGCTTGTTCGGGAATGTCTGTCCTCTTCATGATTGTCATATATCGAATTTCCCTTAACAGAGTCGTCAATTCTGGGTCGAAATTCAGCTCCAACAGTTTGTCCTCCCCAACGTTTAGCAAAGTTTTCGACAAGTGGATTTCACAAATTTCTGGCATCTTTGCCGCCCATGCAGCAAATATCTCGCTTTCCTTCTCGTCGATAAGAGACTTGAACAAAGAAATTGTAGAATTGGAAAAGCTGCTTTCCCGTGGAATTGTGGCAGATGATTCAACAGATAATAGTAGTAAGAACAGATGAGTTTTTAATTGTTTCGTTAACGATTACCAAGAGTTCTTCGAATTTCGCTTTTAGATCGTTGGTCATTTTTGCTATGATCAAAGGGTGATCGACCAAATGTCCACACTCGACTGGAAAGCTACATCTTTTACGGAATTTCAATAGCAAACACAGTGCTGCGGCTACAGGTGGCAAATAGAGGGTCACCATTAAGCTCGACGCGTTTTCGTCCGATTTAAAACATTCGTCGAACATGATCTACGGAGACGAAACGTTTCAACTTGCTTTCTCATTTAATATTTCGATCTTTACCTTTATATCGCTGAACTGTTGATCTATTCTTTGGACCAAATGTTCGTAATTGTGCCACAATTGAGCCATTATTATAGGCCTGTTGGCGATCGAACCCATCACCCAAATAAGTTTAAACAATGACTCCAAATTGTGACATTCCATGAACGCTTGATCAAAAATGCTTGCCAGACGTCGATCGAATTGATCCACCTTTCGTATAAAAACAATTTACTTATTTATTTAGTTATCGTTTTCAATTCATTAAATTTTCTTTTCCACTGTTGATCGTTCCTTTCCAATAATTTACTTACTACGGTGAAAAATGATTCCAAATCTTGCGTGAATTGCGTCTCTTCGGGCAACAAAACAACGTAAGGCAGATCTCCAAAATTATGATACAATTTCATAAACTCTTCGTAAATGTTATTGACCATGGACAACAAAGATTTTGCTTTTAAACCAGCCATTTCGATTCTTTCTAGCTTCAAGTAATCCTGCACGACGTCGAACAACGACTAAACGTGCAATAAAAATGAAAATAACAGTTTCAGACAATATATGTACAGGGTGTTCGGCCACCTCTGCGAATAATTTTGATGAGAGATTCTAGGGGCTGAAAAATTTATTTTCGATCGCGGGGGTTAATTACAAACATTTTTGGTGAATAGACATGCCCCAGAAATCCTGCGCATTTTCGAGAAAAAAATTCAAGTAGGTGTTGAAATTAAAAAATTTCAAATTGTTCTGGAAAAAATATTTTCGGTTTCGGGGGTCCATTACAATCATTTTCTGGTGAATAGACATACCCCCGAAATCCCACCCACTTTCTAGTAAAAAATTCGAGAAGGTGTGAAACTTTTCGGCGAAAAAAAATTTTTCAAATCGTTCTAAAAAAATTATTTTCGGTTGCGGGGGTTAATTACAATCATTTTTGGTGAATAGACATACCCCAGAAATCCTGCGCATTTTAGAGAAAAAAATTCGAGAAGGTGTGAAACTTTTCGACGGGAAAAAAAATTTCAAATCGTTTTGGAAAAATTATTTTCGGTTGCGGGGGTCCATTACAATCATTTTTGGTGAATACACATACCCCCGGAATCCCACCCACTTTCTAGAAAAAAATTCAGTACAGGCGAAACTTTAAATTTTAAATAACTTTTTAACAAAGGCTCGATCAACAAATTGGTATTCTTGATTTTCGACTTATTTTTACATCCAGAATCTCCCATTAAAATTTTTCCCAGAGTTGTATGTATATTTTATTATAACAATTTCCATTCAACCGTTTAAAATAATTTAAAATAAATAGGATAAATGGTAAATGTTTGTAAATATCTTTCTTCTTTTTCTTTTGCATTCACTCGAAGTTTATTCGTTGAAAAATTTGTAAAATTTTTAAACCTCGATCTCTTTAAGTCTCTTCTCGAACATGTGAATTCTTTCAAAAATCAATTTCTCGTGAAATATCCAAGGTACGGGTTCAACGGGGGGCTTGAAATAGTTTTCGATTTTATCTTTAAACCCTCGAAATGTGTCCTGATAACTATCGAGAAACGGTACGACTTCTGCTATTTTCGCTCTATTTTCCTCGGTGTCTGCCTCGAACAAAGTGGACGGATTTATATATTTTATTGCCTGAAAAAAGACCATATTTTATCGTTAACACAAAGTTATTATGCGTGCAAGAGAAATGGTTACCTGAGAAATGAACAAATCCGAAATTTCACGCAACAGAACGATCATTCTTTCCATGGAATAATATTTCGAGTTTGCCCACATTAAACAGGCGCAATGCATCAAAGCTTTCAACTTCGCCCCGATTAGCCTAAATTCGGTATGATCGATTTCTTGAAAATAAGATTCCAGAGGCTTCAAGTAAAGGTTTATGTCCCTTGTCTCCAGCAACGCTGAAATTAGAATACAAACGACTGGAAACTAAAGAAATTAAAAACAGTCCTTTGAAACAAATCGATTTCTTAAATCGTGTCGATTGGAAATGTATCCTTGGGTGAGAATATTCTGTCTAAAATATTTTATTATACAATTTCTTTAGCCCTTATTTCATAAATCGTATACATACTAGCAGCAACGTTCTTGATAAGATTCTTGAAAAACTCGGAATACGGACTTTTCGTTTCTTCCAAAAACATGTCCATGTATACTACTCCTGGATCTTTTAACTGCAGGTAAAGCGATTCCAAATTTTTCAGCTTCAAGTCCCAATAATCCAACTCTGAAGATATTTAAACGTCGAATGACTGACAATTGAAAGATAAACTAGCAACGTTCGAACGTGTACGATGTTATCCAATTAATTTTTCTCCAAGTTGAGAAGCAGAAGTTCGAGCAAATGTACAAACCTTCGAAGCAGTTAAATGAATAAAATTACCAGACGTCTGTGCAAGCTCGTTGGCCGAGAACGTCGAAAATTCTTCGTGAAGGATCTCGTTAATTTGGGTGGCCCACTTTATCACGATTTCCTCCACGTTGTTCTTAAGCCGCAACCTTTTCGTGGCGTCAGAATTTAATTTATTCTCGACGATCTCCTCGATCCCCATCGGCATAGGTAGCAACGTCTGCCCTATTATCTTCCCTTTCACCTAATCAATTTTATATTTGATCATTCACCGCTTAAAGCAGCCCAATCGCGACTCTTTTACCTGCCATATCAGGCTATGAAGATTGTAAATTTGTTTCTTTATGTCTTTGCGAACAACGTCTGGCCATCCACCGTGATTCTTTGGATTAGATAAGATGGGTACGTATGCCTGGGTAGTAAACATTACTTGGACTTTTGCAATACAATCCCAAAATGGATTTTGGTCGCGTGGGATTCGTCGCGAAAGCAAACTTGTTACAACTTTAACTTTAAAATATACGTAATAATTCGATTCGATGATCGTAACTAACATCGTCGACGAGAACGGCCAATTCCTCGATCGCGTTTGGGGCCATGTCACCGGGGATCAACACGTCCTTGTAATTAATCTCGGTAACAGGTTGGGCTTTTCTCTTCACGAAGTACGACAACTTTCCTCTGGACTCTACTATTCTCAGATGGGGCACCAAGACACCAGCAGGGGTCAATTGCAGCACGAGGATCGTCTCCGATGGCGTGCTGAAGAACTTTGTAATTATATCCTGTGCACGAAAGTCAAGTAAATTGATGTAATATACGCGATATCTACTTTAAACAATAAGAATTTATAAATCATAGACCTCGGTTCTTTTTTTATTTTGTGTCTTTTGGGGAGGAGGAGAAATAAATGATAGATATTTGCAAAGAAAGTTAACTTTTTACTGTTCAAATACTTTGTTTCGTACCAAAGTTGTCGGGAATTATTGATATACCTTAAAGTCTGCGTTTGATAACATTTTCGTCCATCTGTCAATCTTTAGTTTCCTCGAATAAGTCAAATAGTTGTAGATATACTCCAACAGCTCGTTCTCTTCTATTTTTTGGCCGTCCCTTCTGTCAGCCATTTTTTCCTCCCGATATTATTTCCTTTATTGCATGTACTGATTTTAATTCAAAAGCATTATTAATATGGCTATATCAGTCCATTTCTTGTTGCACATTCGTAAAAAAAGATGACGATTCCTTATGCAGAAATGCGATATGTTCGGACCAAACATTCAATCATGTGAAATTAACGGTTCTTATATTACGAACACTAAATATTGATTTTTGAACTTAGTTTTTAAACGATTGTTTAAATAGAACTTGACTTGGTTCGTTTATCGAGCATACAATTAAAATTATCGTCTTATTGAATTATAACGAAAGGATGAGTTAATTTTAATAACGAAAGGATGACGTAATTTGTTGAAAACTTATTTATTTAGATACAGTCGGTCACACTGAAAAACAAAAGAATATCAATTTCTTGACTGAGACTTCGTTAAAAAGTTATTAAAAAATTAAATTAAAGAATTTCAAATCATTCTGAAAAAATTATATATAGTTACAGGGATTGATTACAATCATTTTTGGTCGTTACACATACCCTCGAAATCCTACTCAGTTTCGAGAAAAAAATTCGAGTAGGTGTGAAATTTTTCGACAAAATTGAAACATTTCAAATCGTTCTGAAAAAATTATATATAGTTACAGGGATTGATTACGATCATTTTTAGCCATTACACATACCCCCGAAATCCTACGCACTTTCGAGAAAAAAATTCAGGTAGGAGCTGAAATTTTTCGACAAAATTGAAACATTTCAAATCGTTCTGGAAAAAATAATTTTAGTTACAGGGGCCAATTACAATCATTTCTGGTTAACAGATATACCCCCGAAATCCTACTCAGTTTCGAGAAAAAAATTCCTTACCGAAAATCTAACGTGAGACCAAGGGAATGCTTCCTTGTAATTTCATGTGAATTTTTAAAATGTCATATCTCCTGAACGGATTGGACGATTTTGATGTTTCAAGCGGCAAACAACGCGTATTTTAGTCAAGAATATATAGAAATTCCAAAAATATTGAAAAAGTTATCCCTTGACCCCGTAAAATTAGAAGACCCCCATAAAAATGGTCCAATTTTCACACAACCATAACTCCCACAATAGTAAAGATATCTCATTGAAATTTTTCCCCGAAGCAGAGCCCATGGGTACCTACAAAAAAGTATTGGACAAGTTTTCCGTACAGCGTCAAAGAAATATACAAATTTTTAAGAAAAATCGACAAGGGGTAAATTTTTCGGCGAAAAAAAAGATGACCGTGAACCAATTGGGAGAGATTAATGGACGTTGGGTGTAGAAAAAGGCGAGGAGCAGGGATGGTGGAATGGTTTTCGCTTGAACAGTGGAAAGCGGCAGGTGTTCCGGGTTAATATTCGTAGCGGAGAGGATTGTTTTGCAACGCTAGCTCTCCGGACATCTTACGTGCCCATGCCCGTCTCGTAATTAGTTTGACTTTCACTGTGAGGGCTACCTTACCGGGCACACTTTCGCTCGTCTTCGTTTCACGTGTCTCGCCGGCTGCCTCCGGAATTATGTTATGGAGAAAATGGCCGAATAAAAATACCGATGATCAAGGACGCAACGACGCCGTAACCTCGACGGATCCCCGAATCCCCCGATCCCGACATTCGTGGCGAACGGTTAACGTATCTCGGTCGTGACTCAGAAACTAACGAAACCTTCGCGAGAATTTCTCGGGTGGCGCATCAGGTAGTACCGGCTTACCCAATACCCATTGACGTAATCCTGATTTCATGTAATCTCGAAACGATAATAGCTCGGCGTTAGTTTCGTTTTACGCCGACTTTCCTCGCACGTCCAGCTCCTTGCACGCGAATTTCACGCCTCGTGTTTTTTCGCGACCGGTTCGACCACGATTTATGCTCGAAACGATTTACTTTCAATTTTAATTCAAACGTTGTCCGACAATGAAATTCTGTGCCACGACGCGACCGTATCCCAATGTGGAAAGGTACGTGTAGTAACGCGGTATTGTTATTCCACGGGCGTGGTAAAGTTTTATACAAACCTTAATTCGTTTTCGGTAAAAAAAGAAAAGCAAAACGACGCTCCTCGAGGACGATTACCCTTCATACTTTTCATAACTAAGCTCGAATTACGCTTCAAATGTTTCTCAGACACTACCGATAACAAATTTAACATAATGTCCTCTGATTTGAAGTTTCAAATAATACTAAATCTGTGAAAGATTTAAAAAAATATTTACACGAACGTATACGAACGAAGGTATTATAAATGGGTAAAATGAAAATCCTCTGAAAATTCTAAAAATAATTGAATTAAGATAAACTGTTGTAATTAAAGAAAATAAACTAAATTTGTTCAATATTTGTTTATTAAAAAAGACTGTAATAACACACTCGACCACCGACGCCCGAAAAACATAAGAAAGGGGACCTACATCAAGGTAGCCAACGACACAAAACAAAAGTAACTTTTGCTACATATTTTTAACATAAACGATAAAAAATTTCAAGTTTCAATGGACGCTGCAAGGTATCCCCTGGCTGTTCGTGTGAATTTCGCCCGATTGTACGGTAAAGAGGAAAAGCAAACACCTCGGTTAATCGTAATAAGATCAGGGTTACGTAGTCCTGTGAACGAAGATCGAACGATCGGCGATCGAACGGGCGAAGAAAGAAGATCGAGGATGGTTCGTTTCCCCCCCTCTCGGTCCGTATAAAAGTCGGAATGCGTCGAACCAACCGACATAACAGTGAAAGATCGCCAGTGAAGGACGTTCTCTTTGTATCGTCTTCAATTCGGCTACGTACCCTCCCTCAGCCGTCGCAAAGTTCAACGAAAGAGCATGTTGGTTCATTTGGTGAGTCCCACCTACGCTCTTACTGTGATTTTCGTCCAAACTCCTGACCCTTTTTCCAATAATCACCTTGAAAACATTTTTTACGGGTCGTTCGTTGAGTTCCACCCACGCTCTTATTACGACTTTCGTCCAAACTCCCAACCCTTTATCCGTTATTCGTCACCCTTTTCAATTTTTACCTGATAATTTGTTAAACTGTAATTAAGAAAACACTCGTCATTTCATTCAAAGAATCCAATGAAATCTAATATCGAATCTAAAGTGGCTTAGATATTGAGAATGGAGGTGCTCGAAACGAGTGGTGCATTTAACGAGAGACAGTTAACAATAAGAAAAGGTAGAAAATGGAAAGAAAACACAATTAACTGTACGTACGACCACGGATTTTTATCTCTGTGATTATTTTTAATCGCAGGGTATTAACGTTGCTTAGACTCGTTAACTGCACCCAAAAGTATCATTAACCCTCCATCGCTCAAACAAAGTACCGCAACTAATTGTTTTTAAATATATTAGAAATAGCTGCGGTATTATGGTGTGGAATATTTTATTATTTCGAGCAACTTTTTAATAAGAAAGCAAACATTTCCTCCAAAGAGAGAGCTAATATTCTATAATATAATCGTTTTATCTAATTGGATATGCATTATGCTCTGGATCTGTTTGAATTAACGCAAGAATTAATTATCAAAACTGTTATGCTGCTTCTACTATATGTATACCACGCCTCTGTTTAATTAGTAAACACACAAAAGGGTTTCGAATATTCTTCGAAAGTCGGTATTCTTTGGAACTTTTTAACAGTTTCATTTCGACGAAGAGAATTCATGTACGCAATTCCCCTAATTGGTTACCGTTACATCGAGATTCTAATCAAACGTTGAATGAAATAAACTTCATTTGGATCAAGGCCGTTGTGGTACGCGAGTGAAAATACGCGAAACGGTTATCGAATAAATTTGTCTTCTATAAAAATATATTTCAGGTAAGAGGAAGTAAATTTATTGATCTTCAAACAGTACATATTTATTTTTCTACCTAATGCAACACGTTTCCTAATGCAACACGTTCGATTTGCTCTTGATCCAATTGTAATTCACATTTTAATTTCTTCTTGAATCTTTGGGAACAACCAAATGTCTGATTCGAATTGCACGAGAGGTGTAACTTTCTGAGATTGAACATTTTTTAATGTTCAAAATTCTGACCTGAAAACTAACCAGACCGACGCGACTAATGCGCTCTTTGTGGAAAAAAAAACAGAGAAAGAAAATGAAATTATTGCAAAGAAAACCGGCGCGGTAATTAACGTATCACAGCAATTATTTCCAGCGGATAAATCTGAAAAAAAATAACGATCTCTTACTTTTACTTTCGGATTATGGCTTTCCACTTTCGAGTTTGCACGCTCTATTTTTTCATCTCCACGCCGTTGAATTTATTTTCATCGTTGCTTACGGTTACGTAATTGCCACCCGTTTATCGATCATTCGCGAAATTGATCGAGCAACTTGTCCAACGTTATTTCAGCCAGTAAAATCGATCGAGCTTATAGCTAATACGTGTTTTCCTATGAAAAATATTGTACATGTTTAGACACCTTATTTATTTATTTTATTTTCAATATCCTGGTTACAAGCTTTGTTGTACATACACATATAGATATAAATCTTCTACATAACATTAATTAAACAGAGAATACTTTCTTATTGAAAGATTAATTCTGATTGCAGTAATTAATTGTGAAACTTATATTGTATGCGTTCACATATAATTATGATTGAAAAGCGAATATACAATGCTAACAATAGAAATAAATCATGAGATAATTCAAAAGTTAGAAAGTGATGTATCTGGACTATGGAAGTTTCTGCAAGTATAGAATAAATATTTATTTCTTATTTTTTTATCCATAATCAGTGGAAATGCAACTGATGTTTGTTCAAATAATTTTCTCTCGGGCAATTTTTCCCCCCAGAGTAAAAATCTAATTTTACTCCCGATTAAATTGTAATGAAAATTTAGTTGGACGTCGAGAGCAGCGAACGGTACAATTATCTCGAAGACGTTTCATTGCATTTCGTTGCATATGGTAAGGAAAGTAGTTGCGTAAACGTTACAATTTACTGTGGTAGAAAATCACTTGTGAAATACCCGCAAGCATTCAGTTTCTGTACATATCGACTACGTGAGTGGCCGCTTGCACTCTGAATACGCGATTAACTTTCTTCCGAAAACAATTCGATTACTTTCAAACGATCGAATTATGCGTATTGTTTTTATATCGATCACATTAATAACTAACGAGCAATTTCACTTTGCCTTTTGAAAATTGAAAATTGTCAAGTAATACAGTAAAATTTCTCATTAGTTAATTAGGTTCAGGGTTCAGTAATAAGGATCAACGCTTTTTTATTCAGAATTTGAGATTCTTCGTTGATCTTCGAATCTTCAAAACGCCTTTGCCTATGAAAATGCAACTTTTTTATACAAAATTTTTATCGAACAACGCATATTTTGGTAGTTACAGAGGTGCACAAGTTGCATATAGATTCTAGAGGCCAAAATAAGACGAGAATCAAGAATACCAATTTGTTGATTTTTGAAAAATTTCAAATCGTTCCAAAAAAATTATTTTCGGTTGCGGGGGTCAATTACAATCATTTTTGGTCATTAGACATACCCCCGAAATCCTACCCAGTTTCTAGAAAAAAATTCGAGAAGGTGTGAAATTTCTCGACGGAAATAAAAAATTTCAAATCATTCTGAAAAAATTATTTTCGGTTGCAGGTCCCCATTACAATCATTTTCTGTCATTACACATACCCCCGAAATTTTGCGCATCTTCGAAAAAAAAATTCAGAACTGTTGGAACTTTAAACGTTAATAACTTTTTAACAAAGCCTCCATCAACAAATTGGTATTCTTGATTTTCGTCTTTAAAATTTTTCCCAGGTTTGTATAAACCCAGAATTAATTTTCTTTTGAAAAGAATATGGTGGTACTATTATTATTAATTGATCATTGTAATTAATGTACAGGGGGCGCTACTGCTTGTAGCATCGACGACAGTATACTCGAAGCCAGCGCCGGAACCGCCGGTGAATTCGTACTTTCCTCCATCGAGCGGCGGTGATCTGTCAAGCGGATCCGGAAGTTACGGTCCACCATCGCCACCGGATCGCTATGGGCCGCCTCAGCAACAGCCCGTCGTTCACAAACACGTTTACGTTCACGTGCCACCTCCGGAAGCCCCCGAATACAAACCACCTAAATACATACCACCCGTTGCGCCGCCGCAGAAGCATTACAAGATCGTGTTCATAAAAGCCCCGACGCCGCCGACGCCGACCGCCCCCGCGTTGCCGCCATTGCCGCCCCAAGACGAAGAGAAAACGTTGATCTACGTATTGGTGAAGAAACCGGAAGAAGCTCCGGAGGTGGTGTTACCGACGCAAGCGCCCACGCAACCCAGCAAACCGGAAGTCTACTTCATCCGATACAAAACTCAGGTAACAACCATCTAAAAACAATTATTTTCATTAATTCGTAGAGCTCGTCCACTTTGAATATCTTCAAAGAAACATTTCTGCATTGAAGTTTACAGTTTACTTGAACCATCGACTGCTTTTAACGACGACATAAATGTTGATTATGTAATTAGTAACTAGAAACAGTGGAGCCATGTGAAAAACAATTTTCCGTGACAATTCATTGACAAAGGTCGTTGTTTTCCAGAAAGAGGCACAGAACGCAGAGTACGGGCCCCCACAGTCGCCTCCATCGAATAACTATGGTCCACCATCGTCGGGAGGTCCCTACTAGATAGTGTAATAGTACTTAATAATAATAATTGTCGCGAATGGATTGCTACGAGCACCTGAGTCTCTTGGTTTTACAGATTTCCACCGTATCGTAATTTGGATTCATATCGATCAACACGTTAAACGCTATGTCGGTCTCTGGAAATCAAATGTATCACATTTTTTAAAATAATACTTTACAATTCACATAATATTTAAAAATATCTGCGTTTAATGTGTTAGACATACATACGTATTCGACTATTAAATTTTTGTTTTATTATACGTTCGATCCAACTTCAATAACCTTGCAGATAACATTGGTTAAGAGTTATCAGGGAGCACAGTAGCGCGATATCCCAATTCCTGATTAGTATGTGAAAAAGATTGTAACCGATCTATGTATATTTTAATAAAAGTATTTATACTTTTCTAGAATTCCTTTGTTTTTTTCATTGTTTGATGGTCAACAATGAGGTTGACATCAAGATTAGCGATCCAGTGGAGACCAAGGAAATGCCATGAGGTAGGACCAATGAAATGATTGCAAGATTCTTGAATTTGTTAACATTATTCATTTTGATTAATACATGCAAATTATTTATAACTTTAACTAGTGAAAGAATCGCGAATAATTCATACTTCTCAACTCGTATGCATTTGCACACAACTAGCTGTTTGTCTATTACACTGATTCAGTTCCTCAACTGACCGCCATCCATGAGAAGAGGGCGCTAAAATCACCTCCGTATTTTCAGGTCGGTATGGCAGTCAGTTGGGCCACGAAGGTCCATTAGGTGAGAGGTCTGTCTGTGTATCTCGTTTGTTAAGATGAAAAAGAGAACAAGAACTTGCATTTCTTTCGAAATTTTCATTTCGTTATTAAATACATACATGCACAAGTTATTACATTAATCAATATTTTATACAATGTGTTTCAACACCAAAAATTCTTGGCGAAAATTTTTCTAAGAAACGTACGGTGATTTCGATACAAGATTTAGAAGCGAAATATATCTGTGTTTCGTTTCAGGTGAGTTAATAGCCTTATTTGTTAACTAATGTCTCTCGTATAAACATTATTTAATTATTTTTTAAACGATTATTACTATTAGTAGCAAGTTTCGATAGTCAGTTACTGAACATCGTAAAAATTTCGATCGTGGCGGTTGTCTGTACAAAAAACTCATTAACCTGAATATTCGTGAATTTGTTAAAAAATACCTATTTGATTGTGAGATTTTACTCTGCAGCATGAACTTATTATATCAATAATTGTTCGAGAAATTGAAGGTTAGGTCAAACAAAATATGTGTAAATAAACGTTCGATTGCCCTGCGAGTATATTCTGATCGTTTAATCGTGTAACATTTCTGTTAAATCTGTTTATTTTTAAACGACAGTAATTTTAAACTATATGTTATCGATCACTTCTACATATGGTAGCAAAATTATGTAAGTTACATATCTATCACTTCCGCCACATGGCATGTCTTCTCCCTACGCATAACGCGAGATCGTCTAGATAAATAGCTACATTTTTGCACTGATTATTATTTATAGTAATTAAACATTAGCCAGGACTCAGAAATATTGGTTTCATTCATGTGCTATATGTGTTTATTATAAATTATTGCCCAGATAAGGTCCTTTGGGTGAAAACGGGTAGTCAAATACAGTAGTGCCCACATAAGTGACCACATTTTTACCCACTTATTTGTCCACGGTTATCCCCGCCAATTGTCAAGCGTAATTTGACTATTGATACATCGTATACGGTTTCGGATGGCCAACTATTGTATCTCACTTATCCTCTTTGCTTATCTCCATTGAATTCTGATAACTAATCATTATGATAACTTAAGTGAGCACTACTGTAACAGGTCTATAATTTATATATATATTTATTACTTAAATATATATATAACAATATAACAATATATATATTTAACAATATTTGACAATTTATTTACTTTCCACGCAAGAAAATTTCTTTATTCGCAACCACAAAACAATAGAGTAAAAAATATCATTATCTTACAAATTTGTGCGTCGATTTCAATTTGTTCGAAGACTTTTTAAGAAGGAATTTCTTGACTAATATAGAAATAATTGGATAACATATATATATTACATGACCGCAGTAGTAAACCGAAGAATAAACATGGTGGTAACGAGGATATGATAACAAAACGAAAGAGACAAGACAGTAGCCCATAAAAGTAAACGTGTAGATTTTTGTAACTATCCAAAACAAAATTCGAAGCTCGGGATGAGCTTTTAATAAGCCTTGTAATTTCTCCTGCTTCCCCAATATTTCAGTCAACTGAAAGAAATAATAAAGGAAACCTTTTTAATGTCGTACGAGTCCTTTGTCAATAAATGCCTTGTAAATGAAACTTTTTGAAGAAATGAAAATAGTTTGAAATATCAGCAACATGCATTTTTAACAATATTCGTTAATATTTATACCGATTGAATTTAAAAAAATTAGATTAACGTATAAATGAAATTACACTTACATCTTTCTCTGCATACATTATAATAAACTCGAGAAAGAAACATATGTAATATCCCGAATGTAATCCATGCCATACTGCGAGAAAAAGCAACGTGGCAAACTGACTATACAATTTATGTCCCAAAAATTTCATCCTCTTGTAAATGTACTCTGCGCACCAATTATTGGTGTTTATATTAAATGACATGATATAATGATTAAATCGACTTGCTGTTTCAAAAGTTGACAACTTTATATTTTCACAACCATTCCATAGAGTTCGACCTTTCTCATCTTTTCCATTATACGTTATACCAAAGATTATGCAGACCTAATATAACAGAAATCACTTTCTATAACATAGAATAAATTATTAAGATTAATTATTAATAGTTATGATCGTTTTCCTTTTCTTACCCCTTCGGTGAGTAACCAGCAACAAATATATTTATAAAGACTTATTTGACCCCAAATTCCAATGAAAAGAAGTCGTTTTAAGAAAGTGTGTTCCTGGAATTCTGAACTTAGCAAATACTGATCCGTGATGAACATGGATCCTAATTGGAAAAGAACGATGTATACCAATCCCATACACATTCGATAAATACCAGGAATTACACAATCCGGTAAATGAACAGTGTCTTTGTTAAAATTCTAAAAACGCAAAAAATTTAGAGTAGCGATACTAATTAAAGTAGTATAAAATCATTTTTAACATTTTAATGTAACTTACGTCGCCCATAAGTCGTCCATTTACGTAGTCTAGGTACCTTTTCATACTAAATTGTGGTCCGACTAGAAATGACCCTGGAAAATATGTAAATGCTGCAACCTCCAGAAATGTTGGTTGCGTTTTCAAAGCCACTTGTTTTTGCGAACCAGACAATTTTTCCTAAAACGATAATTGCTCTTAATTATTCTTAGTCGTTTCATTGTTTTCTTTTTTTTTACGTTCGATTTTACCGTTCTATTTATTTAATCACCGTTATGTGTCTATGGTAGCGGTTCTCAATCTATACTCGGACATAATTTGTGATAATAATATTCGCAAATAATGGAATATATTAATATTAAAATTCGTTATAGACGATGAATAAATATCCTGGGAAAAATTGTAATGGGAGATTCTAGAGGCCAAAATAGAACGAAAATCAAGAATAACAATTCGTTGATGGAGGTTTCGTTAAAAAGTTATTAACATTTAAAGTTCCGCCCTTACTGAATTTTTTTTCTCGAAAATGCGCAGGATTTCGGGGGTATGTCTTTTGACCAAAAATGCTTGTAATTGATCCCCGCAACTGAAAATATTTTTTCCAGAACAATTTGAAATTTATTAATTTTGTCGAATATTTCAGCATCTACTCGAATTTTTTTTTCGAAACTGCGTAGGATTTCGGGGGTATGTCTTTTGACCAAAAATGCTTGTAATTGATCCCCGCAACTGAAAATATTTTTTCCAGAACAATTTGAAATTTTTTAATTTCAACACCTACTCGAATTTTTTTTTCAAAACTGCGTAGGATTTCGGGGGTATGTCTTTTGACCAAAAATGTTTGTAATTGACCCCTGCAATCGAAAATAATTTTTCCAAAACGATTCGAAATTTTTGAATAACTTTTTAACGAAGCCTCGGTCAAGAAATTGATATTGTTGATTTTCGTCTTATTTTCGCCTCTAGAATCTTCGATTAAAATCTTTCCCAGGGTTGGTCAATCACCCTGTATATTTCAAAGTATTTTAAATAATTTTCAAGAGAATTTCATTAGGAACGAACAAACATATATTAAGACTTGGAGCTTGAGAACCGTTGGTCTACAGTAGACGTTATGTTTCACGTACTTCGGGGCTTTTGCCGTCCAATAAATTGAATGCAAGACCAATTAACCGCAGAGTTAACACGCACTGGGGCATAGTCCATTTTATATCGTAATCGGATGTACTAGTTGTGTAATATCCTGTCAATGATAGAAACAAACATTAGTTTTTTGACTTTCAAATTACTTTTGCATTTACATAAACAACGACCATTGTCTGGTTTACAGTACGCTCGTCCATATCGCGAGAAACAAGGCAGAATACACGAACACGCTAGCAATTGCCCTAAAATCATTAGACAAATTGAAACGTTGACACTCTCTGAGAAACGTTTCTAAGAAATCGTGTCAACGTAACGGTACAAATTCAATAACTTTAGATTCATGAACGCCGATTGAACTTAGTTTCATTGAAACCCATAAACAAATAAAATTCAACGTAAATTCCCAACAAATAATATTTATGGATTCCGTGACATTAAATGTGAAGCGTGAAATCCATGAAATTTATAAGTTTCTGTAAATGTAGTGTTAAACGATCGCGATATACGAGTCACCCGGTATATTGTATAACTCGAGGCAAATTGCATTTAGTATCACCGGGGCTTTAAAGGCGAACGCGGCTCCGAGCAATCAGTATTGCTTCGCTCGTAGCGTCGAGAAGAATCGTCTTGTAAAATATTTTCCCCGACTGTTACATCGAATCTAAGTGAAACAGTGCAAAACATTAGTGAAACAACTTTATGCGATTTCTTTCTCACGATCAAAGGTGAAAGATTTTATACGAACACATAATAAATAACCCAACGTAAGACATTAACATTTAACGCGATCTCTTGTTGTAAATAAATTCAGAAATTCAATCTTACTTCATAGTTCACAAGTTGGATTTTTAACAAATTATTCGTAGTTTGTACCATGGCGAAACAAATAAAGAACATGTATTATACTATATTTAAGTAATATAACGATACTAACATTTATAGGACTAACGTAAAGTCAGCTAACAGTAGTTAGTTATTAGCATAAAGTTTTAAAAACTTTTGTTCTTGTTCGCGGTCTTTTTTATCCCCCGCTCTTGACCAAAGAATATATTAAAGTAATGTATATTTTAATTAAATACAATTTGATGTAATATTCGGTTATTTAAAAATTAAAATTTTCACTTTTTTCTTCGTATATTTATTTCACTTTAACGCCATTTTTTCAAATTTATATTTACACCGCCCAATTACGTGTTGAAATTGTCGAAATTTTATATACATACATGTATAAGTGTTGTATGTATCAAGAGATTTGTACGAGACATAGTTGATAAAATGTTTTAACATATAAATACGATTCAGAAAACACTTATTCTATAAAGTGGAGATATATTTGAAACATCCTATATAATCGATACTATATCACGTATCACATTTCACAAAAACGTAATACACGCTACGGTCAGAGTAACCGCAGAAGACGTGGAGAATCGTCTCGAATTTCCCATACGAAACGAGATTTGCATCGATATAAAAATCGGTTAAAAAAAGTTAAAACCGAAGAATCGAATTTATTTAAAAAAATCTTGCATTTAGGTCCAAGTCCTGATCTTTCTAACATTTGAGATTCTCTGCTTAATCCACCGTGAACCGTGCCTGGGTCTGCTCTGTCCCATGTCCAGAATAATCTCTCAAATTGCAATTGCTATACAGGCTATAGGAAAAACTTATTCATTATGTATACATTGCAAAGAGTAGATAATGTTCTTTGTGTTTTGTTTGTATCTTTTTATCTCTTAATTTGAAAATGTTACTGTAATATAGGAACTATAAACCCAAATGATAAAAGTAAAAGAAAATGGTAGACTGGGTTTGCACCGACCCAGACATGGTTGCCGACTAACCTTGCATAGAGATTGTACCAGAACGACTTAAATGCGCACATTTAACGTTTTAAAAACACTTATCGATTGAAATTAATCGGTAACGATGTTTATGGTTTAATCATAAGAAATGTGAACGACGTATCATGATCTTTTCATACCGTATAAAAGATAGGTCATATTGACGACGAACGTGATGAAAACGCACGGGGAAGTACCGCCAAGAAATTTCATGACAAAATATGTCAAGCATAATGCTGCTGCTGAATGAATCGTATTAAACCCTGTAAGTATTATTAATATTATTTGTATCATTCGTTTGTCAACAAAGCAAATATAAATTGGTCGATTAAAAAATGGAAAGTAACACGTACAAGTTAAATCAGCGAGATCAACAATATTGAGATATTTACTAATAAAGATATTTAGCGTGGAAATTTAGTAAACTACAGGCATGTTTTACGATAACAACTACAATAAATTTCATTTCCTTATATCTATACATTTATTTTATTTTATTTACATTAAAATAAAACAAAAAATGACACGGTCAAAGTTTTTACACAGAAGACATGTTTTTCTCGAATACTTTTCGTAGTGTAATTATCGTTTTAATAAATCAAAGTACAAATAATTACCATAATTCCAGTAGCAGGTCAAAAGCCCGCAACTTGTGAAATATAAATGCTGATAAACTGGATATTTTCCATACAGCGTATACCTGTGAAGAAGGGCGATGGGTAATCCTGAAAGTTTAATCATATTTGTATCACCCTTACATTTTGTTGAAACGTGTAAAAGCTTCATATTTCTAAAAATAGTATTTCATAATCAAAACCATTGTTTCGGAAGTAGTTTACATTTCAAATATTAGTACAGCTGTAACTGTTTTTCACTCTTGAATCGCTATTACATTTTGCTAATGTTAGTAACAGTTTTCTTTAGATTTTTCAAGCTATACAAGACATTAACTGCATTGTACAGATTCTTGCTATTATTAAAATTCTAATTGTTACTTTCAATAGTGTATAAAACCAGAACAGTAATTGTAGTACTTACCTAAGAGTAACTGTCATAGTAAACTAAGAAATGTAAGAGTAAATTTGTTATTATTATTATTAATAGTCTTTACTATTGTGAGAATTATTATAGTTTATTGTGTTAACATTTTGCAAACCTACAGTTACAAAGTTATGATACAAATGAAAGCTATATAGAAATTAAATAAACAAAATAACTTTAGGATAATTACATGTTTGTGCAGAAGAGGTCTTTAATCTGAAGCACCCATCAATGGAAACAAATATACCAAATGTGTTTCTATGCAGAGCAATTTAGAAACTTTGAACTATATTATTTCAAAGTGATAATTAGTAAACTATATCTATTTCAATTAAACTGTTTTCATCTCCATGTATTTAAAAAAAAATTTACAAAAAACCTGTTACAGTACCAAAAAATAATATCTTAAATATACTTATTACTAGATTCATTTAAATTCGCAACGAACGCGTTAATATCGTCTTATTTATCTTGTAATAATAAGCAAAGTAAAATAAAATAAAAATACACAGATACTAATATTATTTAATATAAATAATTAAAGTCATTCCCACACAAGTCACAGAAAAAGATTCGTTCTTTTTTTATAATAATGATTTATTGAGTAACTATGGTAGGTACATGGAAAAAATAAAAATTTAATTCGATTCGAATATCAATTTCTGTAATGACTGTCAACATTGTCATTAATTATACAATTTGTGAGGGAATTATATTGTCGTAAGCACTTAAATGGAACTTGTAATATTTCCCAAAACAGACATGACCAAACTTTGCTTCAAATTTCAAGTTTAAAAAAAATTAGATAAATCTCGGAATCGCAGAAAATAGAAGGACCAAAACAAATAAGTCAAGATTATGTTGATTACGCAATCGATGATTAAGTAAAAAGTATTAAGGGTACACATTATACGCTTATCATTAATGATGAATGTAATCAAATATATGTAATGTGTTGCTAATTATATTTATTACCAAGTGAAATGGAGATAAGAAGACGGACTGCGGCCTCAGATACATTTAAAGCTTCCGAAAAACTCGATAATATACTCGTAGACATTGTTGGTCCTTTTCGAACTTATCTTTACAAATCGATCGTTTCACTTTTTTAATAAATCCTATAATGTTTCTATTGAATTTCTGTTCTGTCAACTACATTTTAACAAATATGCCTGTAATTTTTCAAAGCAACACCGTAATCGTTGGAACCAACAGAATTTTAGTTAAACTTGGTAATTGGTTGGTAAGACCGAGAATTGTATGGGAAGAGACGCATAGCTTGGATGAACGAGAGTAGACAGATAGCAGGAATATTCTGCGAGGAAGAGTTTAATCTGTTTAATTGTTCTGTCAAAAAGAATACTATTTTAATCTATACTGATTTGTTGTTGCTAGATTTATCTTCAGATGGTGTCACGATTCGACACAAACTGCTGAAAAGTAAGAAAACTAACAAGAGAAATTCCCTACAATGTCGTTACAGAAGACCTGTTTGGTAAGTCTCTATGCGGGTTTCGTCTTTATCTACAACACACGGTCAAACTTCGCCACGAGTTATGTTGTGTGATCGGGTGAAATGAATTTACACTCCGTTTAACAATAACAATGACAAAGAATATATATTTTAATACAACGCAATAAGTCTTGTCTTCGGTCAGTCACCGTACTCCCACGCATCTTCACTCGATGTGTTTTTTACAGCAAGTGAAGCAAAGACGCAGAAAGGATGCGCTCTCGACTCCCGCCATGCTGCGCGCGCAGCCTTACGACGAGTTTACACAAGCTGCATGCGTATGCCCCGTGAGCTGCAGTATGGGCGAGACCGCAAGTCTCGACTGTCTCGAGTCGTGGCTCTCGACTGCGTATCTATCTATCTTTTCTAAGTTCTTGATTTGTTTGAAACAGATATATGCTATCACTTATGTACTATCGCGTTGTTTAGTGTCCGACATTGGATAATAAATATTAGAAGTAAGGTTACACCTATTTGACACTATATTCTGACGTTGTTTTATATATTATTAAATTCCGTTGTACTTTCACTGTCGATAGATTTATTAGTGTAAAAATATACAATTAATTTCTGTGTTATTCATACGTATTCAAATAACCATTTTTGTTGCAATGAAGTGTAATTAATTTTAGTGAATTTAAATATATCAATAGAGTAGACATGTAATATCACAATTTCTCTCTTTCACTCTCTGTGCGTGTATTCTATATACCATTTAAATAAAATACCTTTATCGATAAGAAAGTTTCATACCATTTAATTTAATCATAAATAATTTGTAAGTTTTAGATACGTTAATTAAAATAAGGCACAAAATGGCTCCAGTGCCTTTAGAGGGTCATCAAACTCCAGTTACCAACAATATACCGCAAGAAGGAAACCGCGGTGGTTCTATTTCCCTTGGAATGCTTATTGATTTTATCATACAACGCACTTATCACGAACTTACAGTTTTAGCTGAATTGTAAGAATCTTTATAGTGTCAAGATACTTTTACGTTATTATATTATTAAGATACATCTAAACAAGATCAAAATATAGCATAGATTAAATTAATAGACACAGTAAGAAAAAGTAATTTGATGTGGCCAAAGTATCTAAGAAGTTTTAATATATATTTACAGATTACCTAGGAAAACGGACATGGAACGTAAAATAGAGATATATAACTTCTCTGCTAGAACTAGACAATTATACGTACGATTACTAGCATTGGTTAAATGGGCCAACAGTGCTTCTAAAGTTGACAAATCTGCGGTATTTTTAAAATGAATATTTTCTCATTTACATTTGTATTACACAGATACTTTCATATACAGTACTGCCCACATAATTGACCAAGCCGGCCGCGATCATTTATGTGGGCATGGTTACTTCTCAGAATTCAACGGAGATAAGAAAAGAGGATAAGTGAGAGTGAGACGCAATAGCTGGCCACCCAAAACCATATATACAATGTATCATGTCATTTATGTGGGCACTACTGTTATTGATATAAGCTTATATTATTGAATGACTGGAACGAAGGTTTTTTTGGTAGCACATAATGGCCTTCTTGGATAAACAATCGCTACTTTTTGTCGATACGGCCGATATGCTTGCACGAATGGCTCGAGAAACATTAGTACATGCTAGGTTGCCTAATTTCCACATTCCTGCCGCGGTGGAAGTTTTGACAACTGGAACGTACAGTCGTTTGCCGGCATGCATAAGAGTAATTTTAACTTATCAAACATCTATCACTATACCGATGAAAGTCATTTTAATTTTAATGCTGGTCGTACAAATCTTCTTTTAATAGGAAAGAATTGTTCCTCCAGATCCAATCACGCCTGCGGAGAAAAGAAGTACGCTTCAGAGACTAAATCAAGTCATTCAACACAGATTAGTAACTGGAAATCTGCTTCCACAGATGCGTAACTTGAAGATCGAAGCAGGAAGAGTAACGTTTCTTGTGGAGCAGGAGTTTTCAGTGTCGCTTACGGTTATGGGAGATGGACCGACCGTACCCTGGAGATTGCTTGAATTGGAAATTTTGGTTTCAGACAGAGAAACAGGAGACGGCAAAGCTTTAGTGCATCCGTTGCAAACGCGCTACGTCCATCAAGTAATAATGTTTTTATAAATTACTATACTTTTTTTTTGATTAATCGTTTGTCATTGAAATAAGTACTTTCGATTGCAAGGTGGTTCAATCGAGGTTGGCAGAGAGTTCAAATCCGTTATCCGAAGTTTATCACATATTGCATTATTTCTGTCAGTCCCTTCAACTGGAAGTACTTTATTCCCAAACACTGCGATTAATAAGAGACAGGCTGGATGATCACATTCACGTGGACGAATATACACCGGGGAAATGTCTTTCTGTATCGTACTGGAGAGAACTGACTAACAAAGATCCTCGATCGGAATTGGGATACAAGCTGACGGTACAGGTGGATCAACACGATCCAGCTAGATCTCTTGCGATAGTACACGTTCCATCGTTAGGCAACAAGGAAAGTGAAATAGCGGACAGAGCAATCAGGTCCGACCAGTTATCGATGGAATGTTTGTTAGTGCATACAATTTATATACGCACCAGAAGTAGGTTATTAGATTTAAAACAAGAGTTACAGACAATGTTAAAAGACGTCGAGTGCACTTTGGCCGGATCGCCTGCAATTCTCTCCGTTCCAATTTTGCAACCTTGTTTGAGAGCGGAACATCTTCTAGTTACCGTCGATACTCATACAGGAATGTTGCAATGCCATGTACCTCAGTACAAGGCACCTTTGGTTCCCGAATTAACTGCTGCCTTAAACGGCGACCACTCACGTCTTTCATCTTTGATATCGGAGCTCAGGTGACTTTTTTTCTCAATTTTTTACTCGACTTTATTTGACATTTATTCCTATTTTTTGTTTCTCTTTTTCTATATCGTTGCACAAAATACGTTGCAGATTTTGGATAACGCAAAGAAGGTGTGAGAAAACGCTACAGCACCTTCCAGCGACTTCCCACGAACGTTTGCCGGTTCTCCATCACCCGGATCATCCTATGTCTAAAATCAGTAGACACCGTATGTTCGTTCAGCTCCATCGTCATCCTACTGTGATCTTGATAGTGGCGTTTAAAGAGAAGGAGACGTCGTCGTGCGAGATCGAATGCTCGTTTCATCTCGCGGTGGTGAAGCACAGTTCCGTAGAGGACGATCCACACGATGACAGTATCGAAACTGAAATACCAAAAATGTATTTGAAAGTTCAGAGTCTGATCGAATTCGACACTTTTGTGATAACCCATGGTCCTTTTACCAGCGTCGATAGCGGTCAGTTTCTTTATTATTTGTTATTGTAGTACATCGATATTACCATTCTGTTTCAAAGAAGAACGAAATGAAAAGCTTTAGCCAATATGTCACAGAAGCTACAGAAGCAAGCAGCGTGAAACGCAGAAGCACCGGGCCCAGCGGGAGGACCGACACCAGCGCCACCTTGCAGAACAGAAGGTCCAAGCAGCCCGCGTACTTTATTCCAGAGCTGGCGCACGTGGTTGCCCTTTGCGACGAAAGGATACCTTTCGTAACGCTGGCGCAAGAATTAACCAGAAGGGACATAGCTCATCAAGGGCTTCAAGTGGAAGCAAATGCTACCGCATTAGTTTTGAAACTGGTTCAGTTACCTATGCCCTCTGGCGTTACAAATTCCGACTGTGCGTGGTACGCGCTTCTTAAAAGATTGCTGAGCGTTTCGATCAGAGTCCAGGGTAAAGGTATGGCCAAAACGTGGATGGCCGAGTTCGTGTTTTACAGCAGCCCTCTATCCAGCAGTCACCCAAAAGAACAAGGTAGTATCATCAATTTTTCAAGTTAATACATTTAATCTCCTTTGGTAGTTCCTTGATTACTTGTATGATTTGTATCAGGGCTACGCAGACCTGTATATTTCCAATACGAAATGGGAACAGCGGATACCGTGTCACGCACGGTAGACGCGTTGCTCAACGATTGGGCGCAAATTGTACACCTCTATTCCATAATACACGATTTGGCAGAATACTACAAGATGGGTATGTTACAGAACATTATTGAAATTATATCTACCGACGATGTACACAGGGTGATAATAATTTATTCTATTTTTTATGTAACTCAGAAAAATACAGTCTGCGTAATATGATCAGCGTGAAGTCATATAACTATAGTAAATTAGTCTTAACTTATGGTCCAAATCGGGGAGCCACCGTTACCGTACAATGGAACACGATCGATAAAACGTTCAAGTTAATCTTTGGGAAAAGTAAGTGTCGTTCTACAAGTACAGTAGTGCCCACTTAAGTGGCCATACATTGTATACATGGTGTCCTCTTTCAGACACTCTTTGGACACTTAAGTGGGCACTACTGTATGTTGTTAGTGAATTACTTTTACAATGAATAACAAATGTATTTTTCTAATTATACAGGTCCAACGAGCACTACGATTAACGCTCATTCGATAATGAAGGAACAACTCGAGGCTCATTTGAACAGACACAGAAATCTAGCACAACTTACACACATTCTTCACGAAACGTTTCATCCTCTTACGTCGATCAGTAAACTGCCAACTATTCCACAGCTTTGCGTGTACAATTCGGTATGACTTTAAAACAAGCTATATAAACAAAATTAATTTAATATTATTATTTCTAATTTTAAATTACACTTTATCGCAGCGACCTCAAGTACCGGTACAAACCTTTACCATCATGCCGCAATGCGTGACTCTAGTTAGAATTGCGTATCAGGGTATGTACTGTTTGGAACTACGTTTACGCGGAGGTGGTTTAGTGAGTTTGAGAGACGGAGCGTACAGTCGCTTCGATAGAAGCTACGTCGTAGATGAATTTACCCCGACGCAAGGTCTTAAGGTGAACAGAAGTTTCTAAAAGAATTGCACATAGTATTCTCTATAATTCATCTTGTCGCTTATAGCGTTATGTAATGATCTCTGTACGATTAGGCATTTTTGTCGAAATACGTGGACGAGAGCGCGGTGTTCCGTAGAAGATCTCAATCGGAGGACGACAATCCTCCATCCCCTGTAACAATGGACAGCGACGGTGGCAGCGGTAGTGGAAATGTAGGTTTCCTGAGCCATCATAGAAGTGGACCACAATCGCCTGCTCAACAAAGGGATGGCTTGAGATTTCATCCACCCCTTACGCCACCTTCTGGCAGCAATCCTCATACTCCAGCCAGCCCACACACTACCAATATATCGCAGGTAAAATAGGATTAAAAATAAAAATAAGGATTTTTAAAAGTTCATAACTAGAACGACTCCTCAAGGAATTCTATATAACAATTTTAATGTTATTTCTGGGAAAATTTCTAAACTGTTATCAGCGTCACGATTTCTTTTCAACGATTTAGACGAACCAACATCAGAGCTTTGGAAGCAGCCCAGCCACTTCTTTCAATCTGGCTTCGCCGCCGTCTCTTCCACCTAATACACCTAACATGCTGCCACATCCTTCGCCGAGTTCCGGTTTGGTTGCCAATAGCCCTCTGAATCCAATGCACGTTCCTAGCCCGGCTGGCCTGATGCCCACTTCATCGCCTGGTCCTTGCAGCAATGTTCAAGTGGGGCACTCGCCTGCAGGATCTTTTATGCAGACAGGTACTAATATAACTTTGGTATCCTCTTTTCAAATTGCAATCACTATCGTTCAAAAAGAATTATTGCAGCTTTCAGGTACAAAGGACCCCGCACAGATCTCATGGAAGATGGCCCCCAGGTGGTCAAGGGGTAATATTTAAGGCCCCACAGTACTACCATTGAGTTTTAAGGGGTCAAATAAATGGACAGTGTACAACGGTGCTTCTTGCACTCAAATATGCAGTTATTATTGACTTTTGATCCCCCGTATCTCGGAAACTCAGTTCCATTTACGAGTTTGGGGCCCATTGGAACTTTTCATCAAGACACAATGAACCACATCATATCAAAAGTTCAGCTAATTTAACCGGGGGGCCATTTTCCACAAGATCTGTGCGGCGGGGGTCCTTTACGCGTTTGCATTTGTGGAAATTTGGGCGATAAGTAATCTTGTAAAATTTATATGAATGGCGTTGTGTAATTTTAGGGCACATAGACGGGAGCCCGTTCCCGTCTTCGCAGAGTATGGCTTCACCAGCGGCATCTAATTGGCCAGGATCCCCCAATGTACCTAGACCATCTCCAGCACGTCCAGCACAGAGTCCAGGACACGCTGCTCTACACAGCCCTCAAGCTTCCGATCACAAGGCAGGAACACACATTTCAAGAGTGCTTCCACAACGTTCCTGGGCGGGTGCTGTACCCACGCTGCTTACCCACGAAGCTTTGGAACTGCTTTGTTGCCCCTCCCCGCACCCTTCCGGTCTCTCCGGACCAGATCTTTCTCCGTTGGAAAGATTCTTAGGGTGCATCTATCTACGTAGACAATTTCAACGATTCATACAAACCGATGATTGCGTACGAATTCTAATTTTTATTTCATTTACATAAAATGTTGGTTCGTTGCTTTCATAATGTGTTATAAAAATATCAACAGCTAACTGCGATCAACAGTACCGAGCCAGGAGTTGTGCAATTTAAGGTAGAAAGCTTGCAGTGCCGAGTTGGTTTAAATCCACAGCATTTGCAGTCTCTTCATATAAAAGTACAACCTCTTCCCGAGCATAAGGATCAATGGACGCTCGAGGAGTTACAAGTAATCCTTTTGTTGTCGTTTTTATTTTAATTCTGTCATTTTTTATATACTTTTATCTTCTATTTTTTGTTTCGCAGATTATAGAGAAATTCTTTGACACGAAAGCAGCAGCTCCGCCGTACAAACCAAACACGCTCTCCGGTTTTGGCAGGATGTTGAATGTTCCTTTTAACGTCCTGAAAGATTTCGTACAAATTATGAGATTAGAACTAGTACCTGGGTTAGTGCAGCATCAGACACTTAAGTGGAATGTACAATGGTGTTTGAGGATTCCTCCTTCCGGCACTCCGATCGTACCCACTGGCATGGCGGCCGTGCTTGTGTGCAGAAATAAAATTCTTTTTTTCGTAAGTACACGTTCGCGAAAATGAAATACGATTTTATTCGATTTTTTAACAACGTGATTAATAACCGAACACTTTATTCGTCAGTTGCAAATAACGAGGATCGGATTACCATATCAGGGGGAGACACCCTCTCTGGTTTTACCATTAGTTTACGACGTTAGCACAAATTTAACGCAATTGGCGGAGAAACGTGATCCTAGTCCAGCATCCGCGATGGCCGCCGCATCCCTTCAATTAAAGAGATTTGCCGAGTACAGTGCAAATCAATCCGAGTGTTCACTTTTCCCTGCTGTTCTAGATTTGTTATCTAATTTGACTCTACCGTCAGAGCCACCGGTTATGCCTCAGGTAAGTGTATGTTTATACAAATAACGTACTTAAAAAGCTAACTTGACAAAGGGAACACATGAATTTTAAGCTAAAAAATAAGATGTTTTGCATTAAAATATCTCGAGCATTTACATCAAATATCTAAATTTAAATCCTGTTTCATTACCTTCTGTCAGACTTTTTTTAAAAGTTTGTTTTAAAAGGATTACCACTCTGTATATAATAGAGATATAATTAACAACACCGTGCTCGTGATTATTTAACGGACATTTAGTATTATTTATTTGTAAAAGAAATCTGCGCGTGCAATATATTTTACAATATTGTAGTATAATGTAAAAATAATTGTATATACAATGTGGTCTGAATAAAGGTGTTACGAAGCTGTTTTATCCAAAACCGTTGCAGATATCGACTTCAATTCCTCATCTGAAGATGCAAATATGTATACAATTTGGTATGTTTAGGTGGTTCCGTCGCCAGCTAGCGGACAGGTAACGCCGACACAGCAAATTCAAAGCCCCGCGATGCAGTTACATTCTCCTATGGCTGGAAACCAGGGCCCCGCGCAAGGCCCATACGGGATCCAAAGTATGCCACAGATGGGAATAATGGGTGGACCGCCTCAATAGGATATGCTTTACTCTCCGAATCCCCTCTGTTTGTCAACTCCGTCGACCTGGATCAACTGAGTCGCATCGCAACGTCCATTTTATATCTCTTTGTTTATTCAATGGACCGTTCTGGGGAATTTCAGGAGAGTCGTCTTGTAAAAATGTTTGCTTTGCAAAGAAATCTAGCTATGAACATTACGTCTGTAAAAACTTCAAACTAAAATTTTGTTTATACAAATTTGTACACATCACAGAAACAGTGTTATACGATAATTTAAGAATAGACGGACTATGTTTCGTGACAAGGTAAGTGTAATTTATTAACTGAATAAAATTTACTTTTAATACAATCCATTTATCTTTCAATTTATCTTGTATTTTTGTACAAACCTGCATTCATTAACATTGTGACTGACCGTAAGAAGAATCATGTCGCAAACTTTTTAAAAGTACAAATTCTATTGTAATAAAGTTTCAAGGTAGTGCAAATATTCTTCTAAGGTTGAATGGAACTTCCAAGTTGCTTTGGCAGTGAAAATGAGAACTTTAAGATTAATTTTGTGATAAGGAGGGAAACTACTAAGTAGATGGAACAAATTATTACTGTACCATGTATTATATTAAAGTATTGCAATTTACCAATGTATGGAATTATGTCTATTATGATCAAAGAGCTGATTGCGTAACAAATTAGTTTGAGATTGTAACTTGAAAGAAGCCCATGGTTTCACTATGCAAAAAATTATTAAAATTAACGAAAAAATGATGAGAATTAATAAAAGTAATTATCTAAAATGTATTGCTTGAAATACTGAAAATTTAGACATAAATGATAATTATCATGAAATTTGTATTTTTACAATAGAAAAGTATCAATTATTTTGATTCAAGAAATATGATATAACTCCATTAATTGGTACCACCATTTAAGTGTATGTAAAATTAATATTTTCTGTAGTTATTATTTACCATCATAAACTCATTTGTATCGCTTACATTAAATGACATAAAAAATATTTATTATAGTACTGTGTTTACTGTAATTGTCGGGTATGTCTATATTTACATTTAATCTTTATCTTATATAATAATAAATATGCGCATACTAAAATTTTTAAATCCCTCAAAAATTCAGGTAATATAACCTCATGCTAGTTGTAGAAAAAAAAAAAATTGGATATCCCATACATAACTTGTTTTTTAAGTGATTTCTAATCTTTGTAAATTGTACGAATGTTTAGCTAAATATCAAGGAATATTCAATCCACAAAAAAAATTGAATGTTCAAAAATATTTATTTATGTATTCATGAGATGGAAGTGCTGCCCATGCTACTGTTTCATGGTAACGGTAGAGCCAAGAACTACTAGATTTCGGAATAATGGAGGTATCATAGGTCATAGCCCGATCAAGATCGTGAATCTGTCTTGTTTAATAAAAGTTGAATTGCGTGATTTTACCGTGAAAGAACTAATTTCTAATATATGTTTCTAAGACCTAGCACTCTGTTTCGTATATAATTTCGAAATTTAAAAAGTGAAAACACATTTTTATGCAGTAAAATGCAGGAGAGACGGTACTTCTATATTGTATTCATTTCTAGTTTCAATTTCAAATTTGTAATATTTTTCAATCTGCTGACATTCAGTGTGTATCAGAGAATTAATAATCAGTTTCAAACTATATTTCCGAAGCGTAATCTTTTAATCGTTTCGATGTTGCTTTTAGTTACGCGATCGTATTTCTCTTAATTTCATTCTTCCTTAAGATCCAACTTCTTTCCCTTGTATCTCACAATAAATCATTACTCTATAGAATTTCTAAATTTATCTCTGTTCGCTGGTTTCTACTTTATTTCCTTGTTGCAAAGCTTACATAATTTTATGAATCGCTAAATTTTTCAGTTCTGACAAGATAATACATTGGATGCACAACGCTTGCAAAAAATGAAATCAATGAAAGCGAAGGCAAAAGCCAAAAAACACAATGGCAAATTTGGAAGAGTTAAATTCCCTTCTAAAGAAGCTGCTCCTACTAATCCAGATTTGTCGCACCTACGTCCACCGATAGACACGAGCGTGTCGTCTCTGTATCGTGTGAGCAAAGTTTTAGAAACCGGAAGCGATGAAGTTAGATCCATTTTGGCGTACGAATGCGATTTGATATACGAGTGTCGTATATGTCGAAGCCTCTTCAGAAGCCTGGTTAACTTCGTCTCTCATAAAAGAATATATTGTAAAGAAAAGTTTGACGTCACGTTTTATAGAAATTCTTCAACGAATCACGATGCTGTACGTTCTGCTTTGTGTATTTTTGTACTAAGATAAGGCATTTAGGCGGTACCAATTTTGTTGTAATTCTTATTGCAATTATTTCATTAATGCTGTTCACATAATGTATAATATGAATTAGTAAATTAATATATTTATCATAGAATAGGACACATATACATTATAATTTATTTTATGTAATCATTTCTTCAAACCTTCTTCAATATTTCTGTAATTATTCCACAGTTTACGTTCAAATTTTTCAAGTCTAGTTAAGAAGCCTATTATTTATAATAAACATATAATTATTAATACACGTTTGACAATGTTCTCATTGTATATTCTGATTTTCAATGCGTATGCAGACTTTACATGTATAGACGTTAACTGTGTTACAGATTCTGACGAGTAAATTAGATGTACAAAGACCAGAGAAAATATCTCAAGAATCTAGCGAAAACAATAGGATCTTGAGAAGTCAAGTTCCTAAAGAAGAGCAAAAGAAAGATCTCACTTCTGTCATTAATATGTTACAGAAGAAACAAACAGAAAGTTTTCATAGTCATGTACAGCAACCTTGTTTCGAGACTGTGCAATCGAATCCCTCTGCGGTTTATCAGACCGTCGAGTCTGTGGTCCAGACACCGAATCATGTGGATCTAATGAAAACGCAGGTGAAATTATAAGCAACTAAAAATGAAAGCAGTTAAGGAATAAATAACGCTATAAATACGTAATACAATTTAGGCAATGGAGTTAAAAAACATGATAAGTGGACAAACTGCAGTATTAGGCCCGGATGGACAAGTTTTGCAATCTACTCAAGAAAAGAACAATAGCAACGAAGATAGTGGCCAGATTTGTGAAACAGAACTCAACTGTTCTACATGTACGTTGTAATTATTTCTGAATACCCGTTATTAACTGTAACAGTCTAAAATATTTGTTGAACTCGACTGTTTCTCTAGCACCTGTAATTTCTAAAGTATCGAAGATGCTTGTTATCGTTTATCCCTAATTATCCATAATTTTAAAATAATTACTAATCGTGACAATTTTTTATTTCATTACTGGCCATCCTCGATTGTTAGGCGGAGCAAAATTTTCGACGAGAAAGACATTGGCAGTTCATACGAGAACACTGCACACGTCTCGTAGATTATGCTATCCTTGCCCTTGTTGTTCCAGTACATTTGCGAACACTTGGAGCGTGTATCGCCATCTCTTCAAAGGTATTTAAAAAATTAAATAATGTAATACTCATAAAGCAACACTGGTCCGAATAAAATTTGAAAGTAATTCGAAATTTTTATTTTTGAGCAAGCTTTTGATATTGATAAAAATAATACAGTCCACAGGAAGTCGAACGAGCAAGTGCGAAAGTTCAGATCGCAGATTCAGGAGAAAGCATTTATCAAAGATACAACTGCCGCCGAGGATCTGGAAAGGCAGCAGGCTAATAAAAATTTATTGAGCAGAGCGCCGCTCCGAATTAATGAAACACAGGTATCTCGATTGATATAGTAATTCGTTGGTTCCTGTTAAAGTATTGTTAATTTGGGAAAAACTCGGTATTTTAATAGGAGTGGATGAATCATTTAGAATCTGATACAGCGTTGCAAAGATGCGGTGGTTGTGGGAAACGGTTTGATAGAAAGGCAGCTTTGTCTGCTCATTCGCAATATTGTCATCAACGTGTAGCAGCCAATGGAAATATATCTAAAATAAGAAAGACTAATAAAGTTTCGCCGGACTGTATTTCGAGCAACGTCGTGGTTGCTTTGGAGTCTTCAGAAATTTGCAATAGCAATGAGACACCTATTCGCGTGGAAGCTGTTGCCAGTCTGAGCAAAGTTGACTGGGACATGTTAGAAAATGGAAAACCAATTTCACAGGATAAAGTCAGTGAAAATGTAACGGTTCCCACGACGAACGAGGATAAAATAGAGGCGGATGAACAGAATCATTTCTCTACAAATAATGCCTCGAATTCTTTAGAAATCGTCTACACTAATATAAACACCCGTAAAACTAACGTTGGGAGTAAGAAAAGAAAAAACAAGGACAGCGCGAAGAGATTGATCACCAATATAGGTGACTTTGTTTGACCAGTTTTATCAATTTAATATTATTTATAAAACGTGTACTACAAAGTGAAGCTTTTCTTTTCAGATAACGGTACGAGAGTAATGCCTGGGAAAGTAACCGTTGAAAAAGAAACGGAAACTGAAAAAGTGGATCATGTATTGGCAATGGAAATGAAGGTAGCCTCGATAGTGAATCTTCAAAAACTGCAGTGCCTTTTATGTAAACAAAAATTCCCTTCGGTGAATAATTTAAGAAGACACGCTGCCATTCACATTGGTTGGAATCGTTATCAGTGTAAACTTTGTAGCTTTAAATGTTTCGTTAAGTGTGACTGTGTTGCACACTGTAATAAAGAACACAATGCTCAGAATAACCGTGTTATTATAGAAGAAATGATATCTCAAATACCAGACGATAAATATACGTCTGAACAAGATATAACGTTGGATATAACTAACTTGGAAGAGCAGTTTCGTACACCGGAAGTTGTGGAAATTAGTATCTCTCCAGGGCATAAAGATCCGGAAATTCATGTGCAGTCGAATGCAACGCATGAAACGGACACGGGAATAGTAAACGAAACGGGAACAAAAGCAGACGATGAAACGGAAGCAAGAGTAGCAAACGAAACGGAAGCAAACGTGGTAGATGAAACGGAAAAGAAAGCGGAAGAGAAAGTGGCGGATGAAACGGAAGGAAAAGCAGCGGATGTAACGGAAGAAGAAGCGGTGGATGAAAATTTGGCCGCGTTTCAAGAAACAGTAGACGCCACCGAGGGAATCGAGGAGTCTTTGAGTAATGGCATTAAAAGCCAGAATACTTCGGGACTGGATCCTGAGCTCAGAAAAATGGTGATGGAAGTTATCTTTGGATCGTCCGAAGTAAGTTCTACGAAAGAAGTGGAAACGAATGAAAGCGTGTCTTCGGAACAGTCCCAGGTAAAATTGCAAAATAAAGGGGACGGCGAAATGCAATCGAAAGATTCCGATTCGAAGGAAAAGGACATCGCGTCCCTGCACGATAGCTCGAAACCTCAGCGCCCCATTCGGAATAAGATCAAACCACTGAACAAAGATTTCATTTACGATTTAAAGGAAGTGACGTTTCGTAAGGACGTGGCGCTCCGAAAGGATGGTTTGATCGTGAAACCTTTCAACAAACCACTTGTGAAAAAGTCGTTGATTCGGGAGGAAGATAATTTGGATGACGATGAACAATTACCGAAACGTTTTAAATCTTTAGAAAACAACGAAGTGTCGATTCTGTGCGACAACAGTGCTATAGACAAATACGAGATGAAGTTTAACAGAGGCGGTTTAAAGAGTAACCATACGTTTTCCCAGTGTCATGGGTAGTTAAATGTGTATAATAATAAAAGATAGTGTGGTCTTTATACAATATAATTACTTCGTTGTGTAAAATTTCGATTTCTTAGTAGGAGTTTTAATTACTTGTAATTATTATTATACAAGCATGTATATTGTAATATACAAATATGTTTCAGCTAAATAGGATCACCTAAAAATGTTCGTCTTATTTTTTCTACAAATTAATTTAGCTTTCCTATGAAACTGATATCTTTCCCTCTCTACCAAAGTCGAGCAAGTTTTACATTTGCTTCGTTGTGGAGTAAAATTGGGTGCAAGATGGATTTTGAAAAAGGAAAAACTTTCAATAAAGATTTGATAATCTTCTATGGCGTTCGCGCCTTTTACAGTATCCTCCAGCAAGTGATGAAATTCGCGGGAATTATTGGTCATGCGCACTGGAGCGCGTGATCACTGCCGTATACACTTAACTAGAATGTAAGGTACCGTTGGATCCCAGTAAGGAACAAAATTCAAGGAAGTTACAGGGAAATAGACAAACACAAAAAATTTCCTCTTAATCTACACGAGTATAGCTAGAGAAATACGTAGGGGATCTTAGATAAGTTAATTTTTGTGTGATTGGCGAGCATTCGAAGTAGAAAGTTCAATTGTATACAGAACACGGGAATTTCCAACATGCACCTCTTTTTGCGCCAAAGATACATCTATGGCAGAAAGCTAAATTCTAGTGAGCACGTCCAAAATTCCCACGAGTGTCCATTGTTGCGTGACCACGCGAACGTAGCCCCAGAAATATAATAATCGATAGGTAAATTAGGAGCGAAATTCAAAAGCGGATGGTTATGCGTGATTGAGAGAATATTGTTAAGGATGCGCGATGCTGGTGGCACGCGTGGGAAAGATCTTGGGTAGAGCTCGAAAACAGGAAGAGGACACCAATTAGCAGACCCCGAAACGAATCGCGAGTTTCTTGTAAGTCACGTAACCTCTTGAAAAGGCCTTGTCCTTTTGTTAGTCTTAGGAGCGTCGATCGACTCCAGAAATGTTGGCAACGCTAAGGAAGTCATAAATTTCCTTCAAGGGTTGTTCTCTCGATCCTCGGAGCAGAGCCTATTTTCTCTTCCCACGTAGGCACCCCGCTGTGTAACGGAAAAGCGCGACTCCACCGAGTTCCCACCACCACCCGAAGACGGAGGGAAAGTTAGACGCCGATTCGCGGGGGCGTGCGTGCATCGGAAGGACGGCCTACCGCTTGGATCTGATGCGTCCTTCACCCTGATTGGACTACGAGGATCTATGGGAGGACTAGGAGGATTTGGCCAACGACTTCGGCGAGGACCTCGGAGGTGACTTCGAAACGCTACGATTTTTCTTATGTCATTGCGTCTCTAACCGGCCTTCGGACCAGTAGAATAAAGTACGAAGTTACCTAACGAAAGAGTTCTCTTGTCTAGTTTTATTAAATTCCCACACTCCGACAAGCAGAGCGGTTCTGCGCTCCACGGGCACCAACCCGCGTTCTTATCTCAAATTCCCCGCTAAAATACGCGACACCATCACTGCCTCCAGGTGAATCGTATTGCCAACTCTTCGGAAACAAACTCCTAGACTGTCGCTACACATATTGTCAATACATTATAATTTTGCAATAGAGCCGGTTGCAGTCTGTAGATGGCGCAAACTGCACTATTTTTCGATACTATATAAATGCCGAGTCTCACATATATACATATATACATATATATATATATAAAACGAACGTTATATTGAAACCGGTTGCCGGTTGGATATTTCTTTGTGCTGAACATTAGCTAGCAAATAGTTGGGTGACGTGTCTTAGCTCCTGGTAAGCTGCAATTTACTTTAAATATAAAAAGAAAGATATCAGTTTCGTGCAATATAATCCGAATTTTAAACGAACGTTCACTTTCTATTAGTCCTTAAATTTATTTTATCTCGCGTTCGCTCGTTTCTTTTTTTTTTATTCAAGTACATCGGAATTGACGTCGTAACAATTGCGAAAGAACGTTGCAAACGGTAACGCAATTTCAATTCCGAGAAACGTGAATAATGATTTTACACAAATTTACGATTACGTAACTGAATTCCTTCTACGTTTCATCCGTACTTTCATAATCCGGCGTTTCCTTTTCAAATATTTTCGATCGTGCAAAACGTTGTTACGGCGAAGAAAAATTGTCGCCGGAATTTAACGATTACCGACGCCACTGTTACAGATCAATCTATCGATATCAGATAGAGAATTGCTGCGTAATGTACGAAACTGCTTTAATTTAAATAGATTACCACACATTTAAAATTATATAAATTATCGAAAGACGACTATGAACGTTGTAAATTATTTTAACATCGATGTATTTGCATTCGTGCATTAATTAACGCCATTACCAATTTTTATTAAGTATTTCACACGATATTTACGATATATCAATTGTTTTTAAATCACGTAATAATGTTTGATATCAATTTAGTTAATCGCTAGCCTCCTTACGTACAGAAACATATATCCTTGAACTTATGTTAAGATATATTGCCTAGTGTCAGAGGATACAAAGCTTTCATTATGCATCTATATTATCTGGCTTCTCGTGGACATTAAGATCTTTTCTTAATAAGTTTCATAGATTAAATAACTTTATTCTTTGATGCAAACAAGAAAAGGTACACAAATTGCAAGTAACTAGTTTTTTACATCGTTTTAAGCAAGTATTCGCAACGTACAGGCTTTTTTGGGCACAGAGTAAAATGTATGCACAATCTTAGCAATTAGAAACAAAACAAATGCGTAAGAGAACGTAAGAAAGAAAAGAATAATTATTAAGCGAAAGAACTTATAATCCGAAAGAGATGTTTAAGTTATCCTCTTCCTTCGTTGCAATTAAGGCTCTAAGATACAACTTTTATACGTACAGATTACTTGAAAATTATGTAACAGCAAACTACTTTGGTCCAATGTTGCTAACGTCGTTTAAATTGCAGAAATCTAGAAAGACATCATGCCGGTTCCAGCGATCCAAAAACCAGCCCCTGCTTTCAAAGGCACAGCGGTTGTAAATGGAGACTTCAAAGACATTTCTCTCTCCGATTACAAAGGAAAATATGTCGTTCTGTTCTTCTACCCGTTAGACTTGTAAGTATATTGCTGGAAGACAGTGAAAATTTGTTTGTGACTGTAAATCATGCGTGATTTATTTTGTAGCACGTTTGTTTGTCCAACCGAGATCATCGCTTTCTCCGATCGCTCTGACGAGTTTGAAAAAATAGGCTGCAAGCTGATCGCAGCGTCGACCGACTCTCACTTCAGTCATTTAGCGTGGGTGAATACACCGCGCAAACAGGGTGGTCTTGGCGAAATGAGCATTCCTCTTCTCGCCGACAAAAGTTCAAAAATCGCACGCGACTATGGCGTGCTCGATGAAGAGACCGGTGTTCCATTCCGTGGTCTCTTCATCATAGACGATAAACAAAATCTACGTCAAGTCACTATCAACGATCTACCGGTTGGCAGGTGAGCTCGTTTGAAAGAAATATTCACGAGATACTGATATATCAATGATGATATTTATCGTCTAATCGATACGTTTGTTCGTAGATCCGTCGATGAGACTTTACGTTTGGTTCAAGCATTCCAATTCACCGATAAACACGGAGAAGTATGTCCGGTTGGTTGGAAACCAGGAAAGAAAACAATGAAGCCCGATGTCGTCGGCTCAAAGGAATATTTCAAGGATTCGTAAACGAAGCGAATAAATATATCCATGTACTTTTCTGTCTTACTTACGTCTATTGTATTTTGTTCATTATGAAAAACCAACTGTAATTCCATAATTATTACTAGAGGAAGGGGAAGTAGTAATATCTTAAATGTCAACTGTTTTAATTTCTTACAATAAATAGATGTATTTTGTATGTCCTTAGATGTTGATACCATTCATTTAAACAATGGTGTGTTTTACTATGTATTCGATCTTGCATTCGATAGTAACTATTCGCTTTAGAAGAAATTATATTTTTACGGAATGTCGTGGAGCTGTTCGTAATCATCGTATCGCGAATTTTTGACAGCAGATAAGAAGAAACTCATTTTTTTAGTCTTGTGACGTTGTTCTTAATTATGAATAATTATAATAGTACTCTTTAAGTTATACAGTCTCTGTGAACCGATGGTCTGTTTCAATAATCGATCGAAAATGATTTAAATCAGCGAAACGAGAGGTCATACGGTACATTAATTTAATCTCAGTGTTACATCGAGACGTTTTTTAAAGAGCATATGCAATCGACGATAACGCACGCAAGTTACAGCGTTTAAACGGATTGAAACTAGTCGTGATATCGATTCTGAATAACTTACACGGAACAGATCGATTTTAGTTATTGTTCTAACATTGACTCGTCGGAGAATAAAACTGTTAAAAGTGGTGCATGTTAAACTAAACGCTACAGAAATTTATGTTATTATACATTTCTTTATTTATACAAAAACAACCGTATAACATTGAAATTCTGTACTCGTTTAGTTATTAGATATATTTCGACCTTCTCGAATTTTTTTCTCGAAAATGCGCAGGATTTCGGGGGTATGTCTTTTGACCAAAAATGCTTGTACTTGACCCCTGCAACTAAAAATAATTTTTTTAGAACGATTGGAAATTTTTTAATTTTGTCGAATATTTCAGCATCTACTCGAATTTTTTTCTCGAAACTGGGTAGGATTTTGGGAGTATGTCTATTCACCAAAAATGATTGTAATGGACCCCCGCAACCGAAAATAATTTTTCCAAAACGATTTGAAATGTTTCAATTTTGTCGAAAAATTTCACATCTTCTCGAATTTTTTTCTCGAAAGTGGGTGGGATTTCGAGGGTATATCTAATGATGAAAAATGATTGTCATTGACCCCCACAACCGAAAATAATTTTTCCAGAACGATTTGAAATTTTTGAATTTAATTGTTAATAACTTTTCAACGAAGCCTTCGTCAACAAATTGGTATTCTTGATTTTCGTCTTATTTTAGCCTCTAGAATCTCCCATTAAAATATTTCCCAAAGGTGGTCGAGCACTTGTGAGAGCGCGAGCCCTCTGGTGGCGAGCATAGGAAGCAACGCCACAGATACTCGTCCATTCTATAGAAAGATCTTTATATCATAAAGATAATTTATATTTATTTACTGTCTCTGCTGGTTGCTCGTAAAATAAAAAATTGAACGAGTCGTCGGAATGAAATTGAAAAAATCGCAGCTAATACTTTCTAATCACAAGTAAAAATTCTTAAACGATAGTTATCTGTAGGATCGTACAGCGAGACCGGTCGCAATCGATCTTGATACTGAAGAGGCACAGGTGCGGCGAACATAAACAGCCGAATGCTCGCCACCGACAAATTTCAACCGGTCGATTATATTTATCGCTTGATTCCAGTCGGCAGATTACATTATTTCGATGTTTAAAGCGTTACGGCTCTGTCTTGTCGCGTCTGTTCTCTCGTGAAGATAGGGGGGGAATCGGATGTGGCAGTGGGACCGAGAAAATATTCGCCAGGGGTTTCGGGATCTCTCCACTAAACGGAGTCAAATAAAGCAATCTCCACGATCAGACAACGACGACGCGGCGGCGGTTCGTCTTTTATCCTCCATTTTATATCCCCCACCCCCCTCCCCCCTTTGCCGTTTCTGTCCGACTTCCTCAAACCAGCCCCCCGGGCCTTTTGGTCCTTCGAGCATTTTGACAACAGTGGCTTGCGAATCCAGATTCCTACTCTTTGTCGAGGGGGAATCTTTCTGACAGAGCCTAGGTGGTAGCCCGCCGAACAATTAATTGCTTCGAACAATATTTACGTTCTCTTGTCCAACAGGTTACCTTTTCTTTCCTTCTTTTATAATTTTTATTTCTTTTACCCCCGCATCGAACCGATTCTACGTCCACCGTGGCAAAGAAAGATGTCGCTAGATTTTTATCGAACTCGAAAAAATTCTCCTGGCTCACCTTTTACGCAAGGTATTACATATGTATTTCTAAGAACGGCGAGGGAAGAAAAGAGCCACGCGACAGCCATTGGACATTTTCTCAGGCGAGCATATAAATAGATGCAGGTATTTCCAACAATTTAAGTAAAATGATTTACTTCGTTTTCTTCGCGAGAAAATAAAATCGAAACGGTCTATGATCAATTGTGTATTTTTGTTCACGAGTTTCTCTGACATACTAACCTCTTTACTGTACGTGTATTCGAGAACAAAAGATTAGATATAGCGTAGACCTATCATTGAATGTACCTATGTGTCGAACAAGTGGAGGGGATTACGTAAACTCCTTACCATTATTCTTTCTCCTACGAAATGCTAACGTTATCGGTTAAAGATAAAAATACGACGTTTGTGTTTTCAACGTTTCGAATGAAGATTAATATGGCCACCAAAATTGTATCAACCGTATAATTATTCACGTTAACCTTTTCACAGTGAGTATATCAGACTTTGAAGACACGTTAAAACTTTTATTCTTTTTCCCTCTGTATCTACTACGTAACCAATTTCAATTATCTTGTATCTCTTTATATTTTACTGAATGGTTATAGAATGTATCCTTGAATATTACCAAGGGTCTATACTATATTATTCAATTCTAAAAGCTTCTTATTATTTGTTAATTAGTGAATGGTCAAGCTAGGAGGATAGGTTAATCGAATTGGCGGGAAACATGTTCATGGCATACCTCCATCCCTATTCTGTGACCCTGATACGGTTTTGTAGTTCGAGCCCCAATCCATAGATGGCGTCGCATGTATTAAATAAAGAAATGACCATATTCATAATCTTCTGCGAATATTTTCTTCTATTTTCAGTTGTTAGAACTCCGATCCATTGATAGCGCCATATATTTTCGGAAACTTAACGCAACGACCAACAGCAGTATTGCTTCCAATAATTATTTACAGTCTGTGCCCAGTGATGATACATTGAGCACCGGGTGCTTCTTTATTATTCCTATGTATGAACGTACAAATGTATATCATTTCAGATATCACTTCTGATATATCTGGCAATGTGTAACCATTACTACTGGCTACTGCCAGCCTCTCGTAGCCTCTGCTGGCTTCTGCTTGCCTCTGCTGACTACTGCTGACCACTCCCGATACTTTCGACAACGTATAACGATTACTACTGATAACTGCCAGCCTCTCCAAGTCTCCGTTGGCCTCTCCTGACCTCCGCTTATATTTCTGACAACTTATAACAATTACGACTGACTTCTGCCAACCCCCGTTGGCCTCTGCTGACCATTGCTGATCTCGACGTGCCTTTACTGGTGGCTAACTTGACTTAGCAGGTAATGTCATAAAACTGATTTACCTAGTTATACCCCTTTTTACCCGAAGTATAAGGTACGACTACATGTACTTTTGAATTTTCCTACAGTCCTCCGCTGGCCTCTGCCGACCGCTGCTGACCTTTCCCGGTATTTCTGACAACGTATAACGATTACTACGGGCTACTGCCAACGTCTCCCGGCCTCTACGGACTTCTGCTGGCCTCTGCTGACCACGGCTTATATTTCTGACAACGTATGACGATTACTACTGACTTCTGCCAACCTCCGCTGGCCTCTACCGACCGCTGTTGACCACTCCTGTTACTTCTATCAACGTATAACGATTACGACTGGCTACTGCTAGCCTCTCCCAGCCTCTGTTGGCCTCTCCTGACCACCGCTTATATTTCTGACAACGCACAACGATTACTAATGACTTCTGCCAGCCTCCGCCGGCCTCTACTGGCCGCTGCTGACCACTCCTGTTACTTCCGACAACGTATAACGATTTGTAGGTGTTACTGCTTGATCCTGCTGGTCTCTACATGCCTCTACAAGCCTCTACAAGCCTCTACATCCCTCTGCTGTCCTCTGCTGGTCTCTGCTGGTCCCTGCTGGCCTCTGCTGACCGCTGCTGACCACTCCTGATACTTCCGACAACGTATAACGATTACTACGTGTTACTGCTTGCACCTGCTGGTCTCTACATCCCTCTACATGCCTCTACATCCCTCTGCTGTCCTCTGCTGGTCTCTGCTGGTCCCTGCTGGCCTCTGCTGACCGCTGCTGACCACTCCTGATACTTCCGACAACGTATAACGATTACTACGTGTTACTGCTTGCACCTGCTGGTCTCTACATCCCTCTACATCCCTCTGCTGTCCTCTGCTGGTCCCTGCTGGCCTCTGCCGACCGCTGCTGACCACGCCTGATACTTCCGACAACGTATAACGATTACTACGTGTTCCTGCTTGCTCCTGCTGGTCTCTACATGCCTATACATCCCTCTACATCCCTCTACTGGCCTCCGCTGGTCCCTGCTGGCCTCTGCTGACCGCTGCTGACCACTCCTGATACTTCCGACAACGTATAACGATTACTACGTGTTACTGCTTGCTCCTGCTGGTCTCTACATCCCTCTACATCCCTCTGCTGGCCTCTGCTGTCCTCTGCTGGCCCCTGCTGGCCTCTGCTGACCACTGCTGACCTTTATTGACAACTTCTGCCATGATATACATGTATTAAAACATTATAATGTAAATCTATGACAATAAATGATATAATTTCAAAGAATTCTATGTGTTCTCATCATTTTTACCTTTCTTTTCCTCTCGAAATCATTCCCATAGTTATAAGATACGTGCCACCTCTTCCCACATCATGTCCTCCTGATAACAAAGTCTTAAACGAAAAATTTCTAAGTTCCTCGAAAAGATTTGAGGGGTCCCGTTTAAATTTTTGAAAGTCCTGAAACAATTGGAAAGTCCTGAAACAGCTGGAAAGTCCTGAAACAACCGGAAAGGCCTGAAACAACCAAAAATTCCTGGCAGCTGGAAATCCTGAAACAACTGGAAAAGCCTGAAACAGCTAGGAAAGCCTGAAACAGCGAAAAAGCCCTGAAACAACGAAAAATTCCTGGCAGCTGGAAAGTCCTGAAACAGCTGGGAAAGCCTGAAACAGCGAAAAAAGTCCTGAAACAACGAAAAAGTCCTGGAATTTCTTGGAAACGCCGAAAATTCTTGGAAACCGTGAATTTTTAGCAAAGTTCTGAGTTTTGAGGACATCCGAGGTGTTTCCGGACTTCCTAGTGGGTTCAGGGAAACCAAGGAGTTTCAGGGTGTCTTATAACTAAGGTAATGATTTGGAGAGGTAAAGAAAGGTAAAAAATGATGAGAAGACATAGAATTCTTTGTAATTATATCATTTATTGCCATAGATTTACATTATACAAAGTTTTAATACATATACATCATGTTAGAAGTTGATAACAAGGGTCAGCAGTGGTCAGCACGGGTCAGGGGGGTCGGGGGGGTCAGCAGGGGTCAGCAGTGGTCAGCAGTAGTCGGCAGGGGCCAGCAGAGGGATGTAGAGGCATGTAGAGGCATGTAAAGACCAGCAGGAGCAAGCAGTAACACGTAGTAATTGTTATACGTTGTCGGAAGTATCAGGAGTGGTCAGCAGCGGTCAGCAGGGGCCAGCAGAGGACAGCAGAGGGATGTAGAGGCATGTAGAGACATGTAGAGACCAGCAGGGGCAAGCAGTAACACGTAGTAATCGTTATACGTTGTCGGAAGTATCAGGAGTGGTCAGCAGCGGTCAGCAGAGGACAGCAGAGGGATGTAGAGGCTTGTAGAGGCTTGTAGAGGCATGTAGAGACCAGCAGGAGCAAGCAGTAACACCTACTAATCGTTATACGTTGTCGGAAGTAACAGGAGTGGTCAGCAGCGGCCAGTAGAGGCCGGCGGAGGCTGGCAGAAGTCATTAGTAATCGTTGTGCGTTGTCAGAAATATAAGCGGTGGTCTACAGAGGCCAGCAGAGGCTGGGAGAGGCTAGCAGTAGCCAGTCGTAATCGTTATACGTTGATAGAAGTAACAGGAGTGGCCAGCAGCGGTCAGTAGACGCCAGCGGAGGTTGGCAGAAGTCAGTAGTAATCGTTACACGGTGTCAGAAATATAAGCCGTGGTCAGCAGAGGCCAGCAGAAGCCCGTAGAGGCCGGGAGACGTTTGCAGTAGCCCGTAGTAATCGTTATACGTTGTTAAAAATACCAGGAAAGGTCAGCAGCGGTCGGCAGAGGCCAGCGGAGGACTGTAGGAAAATTCAAAAGTACATGTAGTCGTACCTTATACTTTGGGTAAAAAGGGGTATAACTAGGTAAAACAGTTTTATGACATTACCTGCTATGTCAAGTTAGCCATCAGTAAAGGCACGTCGAGATCAGCAATGGTCAGCAGAGGTCAACGGGGGTTGGCAGAAGTCAGTCGTAATTGTTATAAGTTGTCAGAAATATAAGCGGAGGTCAGGAGAGGCTGGCAGTAACCAGTAGTAATCGTTATACGTTGTCGAAAGTATCGGGAGTGGTCAGCAGTGGTCAGCAGGGGGCAGCAGAGGCAGGCAGAAGTCCGCACATGCTGGCAGAGGTTAGCAGAGACCAGCAGAAGCCAGCAGAGGCTGCGAGAGGCTGGCAGTAGCTAGCAGTAATGGTTATACGTTGCCAGATATATTAGAAGTGACATCTGAAATGATATACGTATGTACGCTCATGCATAGGAATAATATAAGAGAATTTCTTTTCGTTCAATAATTCAAATATGATCAGGGGGTCTTAAAACGTGTATTTCCGTAAGAAAAGTTTCACCAAATTCCTTTTCATTATAGTACTTTGCTTATGTACGCTTACATAGGTTGGAAAGTAAGAAATACCTGGGCAGTCGAGACTTGGAATCGTATGCCGTTGTCGCGAAGTTGAATTTTAGTCGTTCAAGAGCGAGAAGGCGAATGTGAGCCTTCCTCTCTCGACTCCCACGAGACGGTCCGAACTTACTTCGGGCAGCTTCGGGGAATCGAGAAAGAGGGCATGCGTCCAGTTTGCCTTTGTCGACTTTCCGAAACTCCACGAGCTCACGTACGTGCGATCTGGCATGTGTGAATAGAGGGCACCGTCGATGCTTTTCTGGCACCTCTGGCTGTGTCTTCTTCTTACGGAAGAATGGTAATTTTTACAGCTTTCTAACGATAAAATTATTAATTATCAAATTCTATTTTGTTCGCGATTCGCGTGTATTGCCACAGAGAATAGGTATAGAAGTTTGCTACGGTAAATTTTTGTATTTTAACGATAGATTGGTCGCTTGATTCCTTTCGTACCGGATGAAGGAATACTGGTTTGGAAACGGTTTCGTGCCGGGGTGGAAATGAACCGATACAAGTAGGTACCTGGAATAGATTTATTTGTTCTTTTCTGTTTTTCATGTTTTTCTCGACACTTAACGTATCGATAACTGTTTGATTATCAGGCGAAGTAAATAAAAAGTTTGAGAGAAAGAGAACGAAAGAGGAGTCATCGTCGAATAAAGGAGGCTGCAGGTTCTCAAATTGCAACGAAACCTGACACCGACGCGTCGCATGGGTTTCGTATGACAACTAGACCACCGATGACGATGCTGGTTTTTCCTTGGCTCTCGACATCGTCCCTTGATACGAGCCTGGTATCGACACTTGTAAGTAACTGTACCAATTTCGAATTTATATCAGAAATTCCCAAACGTCGGAACAGCCGACGAGAAAAGGTTAGAAAAACGTAACGATAGATTCGCCAATTTAGCTTTCCAATTCTCTGGAAACGAAACGATAAGGTTAACGAATCGACATTTTATGTTTATTCGTAATTAAGCTTCGAACGAATCTAATATTAAAAGAAGGCAAGGGCACATGCTGTGTACAATTCCAAGGTTTTATAAAATAACTTTATTTTCCAACGCATCGCTCATCAGTCTTGAGAAAGAGCACGTTAATATTTATAATAAATTATAAGTACTTACATGACTTGGTTCGTTTTATAATACAATACTAAACTAGATGCCTTATTCGTCGAATTATTGCTATTTTACAAAATATACAAACTTTCTATTATTTACAGAAATTTTCATTATACGATCCTATTTCTCGCGCAACAATGTTTCTGCTAATTTGTGTATTTTCATGGTTACGAATGAAAATTGAATTATTTGATCGTTCGTTAATTCCAATGCTTGTTTCGATAGATTGAAATTATTATTGCCCACGAATATTATGATTTTCTATCTCACATGCCCCCCTCCCCCCACTGAAGATTTTCGTCTTTTAATGAAATTCATCTTTTTGCAAGTCATATTCACCTTTTTTATCAAATCAAATTCACTGTTACAAATTCGATTTATTCTTTTGGAAATGAAGTTTATCGAAATATATACTTTTTCAAGCTATCGTAATAAAGATAAAATACTTATTCAACACTACGAGTATTAATTGGTCACGTCTCTGTAAAACTTCACTTTTCGGTCAGTCACAAGGCAAATATCATCTGCAAAATGGTTAATTTCGCTAAACTAGACGCGGAAACATTTTCGAATACAATTTTTCCATCGATAGAATACCGGATCAGTGAGTAATTACTAGATCGTGGATCTTTATATAAATTCATATTTTTATTAATAGAATTAATGAAATAGAAGCTTAGCAGAAGGTCGTCTCAACCCCTAAACATAACCATTTCTATCTTCAAGTGTTTCTTATATTTCTGCATTGTACAGTTTTTTCTTTTCAGAATTAAAATTCCCCATAAATGCATAAGCATCCGCGGGTCTAGTAATTACTTCACTTTCGAGTATTACAGGAATTTCGATATCCGTCGGTAACGTAATTTCCATAAGAAATTATCCGTGAAAAGGAAATCTTGAAAATCTTGAATCGTGAATACGATCGATAAATACAGAGGAAAGAGATATATGTACCGTATATCGATACGGCTTCGTACCGGTATTTCAGTATCTCGATTTTCTCTGACTCCCCCCAGTAAGTAAGCATAATTTATTGCAACAAATCGTAGAGTGCCGTGATATAAGACTGCGCCATCTGTAGCGTCTCGTACTTGGACAATTGCCGGTCGTTCCCCAACGAGGGCAGATAAGTTCTCAATCTATCGAAAGCTTTGTTCAAATTCTGCATCCTTCTTCGTTCCCTGGCGTTCGCCGCCAGTCTGCGTTTCCTCACGATCATCGAGCTGACGTATTTCCCCCGTCTCCTGACGGAGTCGCGACTCTCCTCGATCCCGTCGTTCCGCGAACGCGTCTGATCGGCACCGTCGGTGTCGCTCATCTCCGCGTCGTCCTCGCTATCCCCGTCCGCGATTCTGTCGGAGAAGCTGCTGGCGTTGCTGATGATACTGTCGCGACGCGACTGTTTCTCCCCGCGGTTCGCGTCCGGTTCGACGTCCACCGTTCCATCGGTATCCGCGTCCATGCTGTTCACCTCCTCCGTCAGATCTATCGCGTTCATAGGATCGCGGTTAGGTTCGGTACCGATCGTCGACAGGCTCCGTTTGCCCGCGTACCTGTCGTTGAAAAGCTCCATCGAGCCCAGGAGGCGGTAAGTGACCGGTCCGCCGCCGGTCACGCCATCCGATTCGGACGACACGGACAAACTGTTCGCGGGGCTGACGGATCTAAGGCTCGCGGTCGGGCTAGGCGTGTGCCAACCGTCGCTGCAGTTGCTGTCATAGACGATGCACTGGGGCACCGTGATACCGTTCACCGGGGCGACGTCGGTCTTCTTCGAGTACGCGTAACTCGGCAGGTCCAGGTACATGCACGATACCGGCTCGTCTTCTCTCGGCGGGAACATGTAACCGTAACGAAACATTTCCTGCAGTTCCATGCCAAAGTGTTGGTCGAACAGTCGGACAAGCTGGCTACCCCTAACAGTGCGGTCCCGTACTTCCACTGAACGTCCACTGCATCGACGCGGAGTCGCACGGGTCGCTGCGTAAAACCGACGATTATAGACGAAATTGTTCTAGCGAGAATCGTGGATCGTGATCGTGGGGATCACGAGCGCAGGAACCGAAACGTTTCCTCGAAATTCTGTGCACGCACGCCGGGGGTACGGCCGTCCGGGATAATTCTGAACTCGTCTGCCGCAACGCCAAGGGATTTATGCATTTTCGAAGCGAGGCACACTCGTGGCAGCACGTGCCGTCCGACCAATCGAAATTCAACGGCTCCCCCCACCATTTCCACGCTCAAGTAGAGCCAATCATCTCGGAGTATGCGTGCCGGTTAGTGCAACAGGTGGCACGGCGCCTTCAATCTATACGATCGTGTGTACAGAACCGCGTAGCCATTACGCGCGCCCCTTCGCATGTGTGTGCGTGTGCAGCATGGGGGTGGGGGGCCCTTTGCCTGTTACACACGCGACGCAACCCTCTGTACGCGCGACCGCGTGGGTGAATAGGGACGATGCTTATCAAGTAACTGATGCGATTATCTGCAAAGTGTAAGGACCTACAGTTACCAAAGGGCTGCTCGAATCTCACCTTTCGAATGGTCCAAAAACTTTTTAACGCCGCTACGCTGCTGAACAAAATTATTACGATAGAATGAGAAACGAGAGCTTGCAAGAGGGAGGACACTGTCCGACTTGGATTTTAATGTACTTTCGCAGAACGATAGTAGACTAATCCCTTTCGACACCTGTTAAATATTAGGCGTAGATGTTCGATTATTTTTAAGATACGAATAATTAAAGCGGTGTGGTATTTTATTTCTTATGAAGCGTAATTTTTTTTTTGGCATAAATATTGCAATTCTATTGTATTCGTATAATACGAGGAACTTATTTTGGTAAAACTACGTGGTCAATTTTCGAATCGTGTGTACCTTGTAATAGTAAAATTCTCGATGAAGTGAAATTGGTTCATGTTTTATAATAAAGCAAGTGAAATAATTTAATAAATTTTAAAGTGGTATAATTTTGAAACTATTCGGTGTAGGGCATAAGTGTATTGATACTCTTTTGTAGCGATTTAAAAACTGCACCGAATAGCGAGATCAGAATTATAAAATTCCAACTTTTTTAAAAAGTGCAATTGCACTTATGAGATGCACCGCTGCAACTGTATCCTTTTTAAAAATGAAACTCTATGACTGCGACGGCACTGTTCAATCTAGTTTTTTGAGCTCTACAAAATAGTATTAAGGTACTTATGCCATAAATCTAATAGTTTAAAAGTTATAATAATTTAGTATACTTTAAAGTACTATAACTATTATACTGTTGAGTATAGGGCATAAGTGTCTTGATATTCTTTTGTAGCGATTTAAAAACTGTACCGAATAGCGTGATCAGAATTATAAAATTCTAACTTTTTTAAAAAGTGCAATTGCACTTATGAGATGCACCGAACTGCATCCTTTTTTAAAAATGAAACTCTATGACTGCGACAGCACTGTTCGATCTAGTTTTTCGAGCTCTACAAAATAGTATTAAAGTACTTATGCCATAAATCTATCAGTTTAAGAGTTATGGCAATTTAAAGTATATTAAATTGTTATAAATTATAAGTATTGAACTATTAAATTTACGATGAAAATTATGAAAAATTGTAGAGTTCCATGTGTGAGAAAGATACAGTTGCATCGATGCATAGAAATTAAGTCCCTTGAATTGACAATTTAATAATAATATATGAAATTTCATGAAGAACAGCGAACTTCTCGTTCTTTACGAGAACTTTATTAAATCGTTGATGCGGAATATCTTTAAATTAAAAACTAATAAGCCTGGGGATCGTTGTATTCTATTCCTCATAAGGTTCGGTTTCATTATACGCTAACAAAAATATTCCAAGTCAGTGTCCAATATCTATTTCTTTCACATTTCCGTGAATACTCGATGTTGGTTTAAAATTTCAATTTGTTGTTTATTAAATTACGATCCTCGTCGTATTTTCGGAATATCGAACGTCACGAGCTCGTGGTAGGATACGATGTGATCGTAAGACCGGTGTCGAGAACCTTTTTAAAAAATTTTTTAAACCAACGATCGGGTGAAGCGACTGCAACAAGGAACGCGGTCCATCGGAAATTTACCTTGGGAAAAGAATGGGATCGTATCTAGAAAAAGGGTGCAAATACCTCAGGGGCGTAAGGTCCAGTTACATCTTTACTCGCTCAATTAGCGAAAACAGGTAGGATAAAGTTTGCGGCAAGCACGACGGTGGTCTGAAGCAACCCGATCTCTGTCATTCCCTTCAGACGCAGCCGTCTTGAATTTCGGGATCGCCTCTCGCCGTCCTCCTAAAATTCTTCCTAAGTAGCGGCACGATAATCCTCCGCTTAAAAACTTTTGGTACTTTTCGTACCTTCAACGAGACCAACCATCTTCTAGTTACCATCGATAAATGCTCTACGTTCCAACGCTCGTCATCTCTAGCAAACTCCATCACCCTATTTTTACACGACAAAAGAGCATCAACCCCTCCAGTGGACTTTCCAATCTCGAATTATTTTACTCAACATTGATTTTTACCAAATTAGTAAAATTGGAAATCAACATTTCTTTAAAGCATTTAAAGAATAATGAATTAACAGAGGAAAATATATGCATAAAGTTTGTTTTCTACGCGTAGGTGTGGTTCTAGCAGTTATGGTTAGCGTCTAATTCGCGGTTTCAAGTGAAACTGGCAAGAATTTCACCAATGTAAACGTTGTATTATAGCTAAATGAATGGGGGAAAAGAGGAAGAAAGGATGCAAGTTAAACGTTTCGTTGCATTAAAATTTTTTTGCCATTTTCGCGCGATAATGTTTTCCCTCGAACGGGTGTATAATTTAAAAATTGATTACTTTCATCTATTATCGTTCCGATTCATCACGGAAACGTGGCGGAACCAATAATTAGGGCTTCGAAATGTATGCTCGGCCGTGTCTATCCTTGCTTTATTCACCCACGGCATCTCGCCTCTGCCTTTCCACTCTTTCTTCTTCGTCTCTCGGCTTACTTTGTCGGTGTCTCGGTTCGATCTATCTTATCTTTGCTTGCTCGAACCACCCCCTCGAAGGAAATTTCGATTTTCTCATAAATTTCGCTCCGAGCGAACGTGGAAAACTATTCTACAGACTTTTAGTAACCGTGGAATAAGAAAAAATTGTAATGGGAGATTTTAGAGGTAAAAATAGAACGAATATCAAGAATACCAATTTGTTGATCGAGGCTTCTTTAAAAAGTTATTAACATTTAAAGCTCCGCCCATTCTGAATTTTTTTCTCGAAAGTGGGTAAGATTTTGGGGGTATGTCTATCCATAAAAAATGATTGTAATTGACCCACGCAACTAAAAATAATTTTTTTAGAACGATTTGAAATTTTTCTTTTTCTTCGAAAAAGTTGGGCATCTTCTCGAATTTTTTTCTCGAAAATGCGCAGGATTTCGGGGGTATGCGTAATGGCCAAAAATGATCGTGATCGAGCCTTGCAACCGAAAATAATTTTTTTAGAATGATTTGAAATATTTTAATTTCATCGAAAAATTTAGGCATCTTCTCGAATTTTTTTCTTGAAACTGAGTAGGATTTCGAGTGTATGTCTAATGACCAAAAATGATTGTAATTGACCCCCGCGACCGAACATAATTTTTTCGAAATGATTTGATATTGTTTAATTTAATTTTTTAATAACTTACTAACGAAGCCTCAGTCAAGAAATTGATATTCTTGATTTTCGTCTTATTTTGGTCTCCAGAATCTCCCCTTATCATCCTGTATAGGTATAACACTATCATCGAGTATTGGTTGAATCAAACTTGAATAAAATCAAGTAAAACACTTTACTCGCTTTCGAGTCACCTAGACTCGAGTTAATTTGATTTACAAAAGAATTAAAATCGAGTAATGGAAACCTGGGAATAACCAATAACAAATGAATTGTAATGACGTCGAATCGTGAGCTTATTCGATTAAATTACCACGAATGCGAGTGGAAAGAAACGAAACAAGGAGGAAATATTAAGAAGCAAACAAAGCTTCGTTAAAAGGTGGTACCCGAAGGGAAAAGGAGAATAAAAAGGAAAGATTGAGAGAAAGGAGAGAAAAAGATAAGGGAACGAAGGGATATTCGTGAAGCTGTGGTGGGCTGAGGTGGGTTCTGCCGCGAGGATACTCCCTGGGCGTGAGTCGAGTAATTAAATACAAAGTGCACTCATTTGTGGAGCTCGGTGGCAAATAACATGTTACCCGCCAACTAGCGGTAATTTATGAGACCGCCGTATGACGCTTTCTTCCCTGACCCTCCACGAAGTTCACCCGTGTTCATTCCGAATACGATGAATATGCATTTAGGAATAGAGACGTGAGCATTCGCGGACAAATCAGAGAACCGAACACACGCCTACTAATCGAACGATTATCATTTCCTTAGCTTCGTCGGCCCTCTTTCTCGTCCCATTTTCGTCCTTTGCATCTCCTTAGCAATTCATCCTCGGTTGGCTGGACTTTAAAAATCCACCAAACCGTTCCATCAGCTCCTCTGCGCGTTCTTTGCATTTTCAAATATTAAAATCCTCCAATCCACTCTAAAATTATGATTTTTTAAACTTTTGCATCAAATTCAAGGTAAACATCTCCAACTACATATTAGATTTTTGGTAAGGAATTTTTTTTCTCGAATACGCGTAGGATTTCGGAGGTATGCGTGTTCACTAAAAATTATTGTAATTAACCCCTGCAAACGAAAATAATTTTTTTAGAACGATTTGAAATTTTTTAATTTTATCGAAAAATTTAGGCATCTTCTCGAATTTTTTTCTTGAATATGCGTAGGAATTCGAGGGTATGTCTGTTGACCAAAAATTATTGTAATTCACCCCTGCAACCGAAAATAATTTTTTCAGAACGATTTGAATTATTTTAATTTTGTCGATAAATTTCACACCTGCTCGAATTTTTTTCTCGAAACCGAGTAGGATTTCGGGGGTATGTCTATTGACCAAAAATGATTGTAATTAACTCCTGCAACTAAAAATAATTTTTCCAAAATGATTCGAAATGTTTTAATTTTGTCGAATTTTACAATTTTTTTCTGAAAAGTGCATAGGATTTCGGGGATAG